GACTCAAACTACTCATAACTTGGGTTTTCTGATAGCTCCTATCATTATGAAAAATGCCATTGGTATTCTCTTCTTTCCCCTCTCTTATTCATTTGATGTGGAGCTAGTTGTCAATACCTCGAAAGCAGCTTTCGAAATTAATTGCATTAAATTGTCACCAGATTCTCTTTAACTTCGAAGCAGTTCTGTTAGTTACAGTGCTAATACATAACGACGGGTTTGGCCCATTAAAAATTCGCTTGAAGCGTTGGTGCGTAGCAAGCGACACGCTTCTTGCCAAGCCAATCTCTCACCACTTTATCCAATATATGTGTATGTGCATATGTATGTATATTTGCCTGAACCACCATTGCTCACAGCTTTTGCTGCGTTGTCTTGCAACGGATTTTTACTTAACTTAATCTAATTAAAGCACGATTTGCGCTTATTGATAAATACCAGTTCACTCGTAAATATCCCACAGTCGAAAGCAAAACTACGAGTAGTACGAAAGCAACTTGTTCTAAACTGGTATTCAATGGATGGCATCATACGAGTTCTTAATTTCCTTTTGAAAGTGAGACAACTAATTTCTTCAGAACCGATAAGGATTTCTCCAAGGCAAGATGCCCAAGGTATCCAGTCATAAAACACACAGTCATCGTAGTCTTTTCCTGGTCTCCCTGGTCACTGTTGGCAGACATAATTTTGTGATTTTAGACAATTTCGTGCTGAGTCCAGCAGCACATCAACATGGCTTCCAAAAGGAATACAGCACTCCAACCACACTTAACGCCACAAGTAATCAGACCAACCAAGACCTGACTCAGACAACCATTCTGCGCTATTATCGGCCATTGAGGATCCAACATCAATGTTGTGGTTAAAGGGGACCATGGACTACCAGAGTGGTCGATAGTCATCTTTAGAATTTCGTGGTCAAAATTCAAAACTCCGTAAAATCAAACAAATGGTTCCCCTCTTCGCTTCTGTTTAATTCATACATTTCGGCAGCTTCATTCTCCACCAAAGGCGATTCTTTGATTTGCCGATAACTGCTCGATATTACTTGCTCAGCTCTGAAGGCCGGGTACTAGCAAGATGCAGATGAAGTAGCTAGAAGCAAGTAAGACGACCGCTCTTAGAACCATGGAGATATCCTGATGTCACAAATGCATCCTTTGTACAGTGAGACATTTTTGCTACAAGTTAAGCGGCATAATCACTACCATCTCAATAGACATTTACTTGAGACTAAACCTCATCCAAGCGCACTTCCCCCCGACATACCCGACGTACATCCTGCATGTAATCAGACCCCGCATCAAACCAACTCATCTAACCGGACCCTTCGAAACTGCTTGTTTTCTGGACCTTCCGTTGGATGACCTCGACGACATAGACCAATTTCGCTTGCTCATATGCGGTGTTGGCAAACCGCTACAACCACAACATTAAAAACAATCTAAAACTACAAGGCTTGCCATATGCCGTATAGCAAAGAAACTCGTACGGCAGGGAGAAATTTCGAGAGAAAAGCATTATGAAAGATTTACGGTCCTCTATGCATGGAGCGATTATAGATGGATTATAGAGGAGTTAACAACACTGCGTCATTCATTTCTTCTTTTCGTTGTTTAGCGCCGATTGCAAATGCAAAGTACAGCCGGATCGTTCTCTACCTGGCCATTCGAACGGAGTGAAGGTCTTCCTCTTCCTCTACTTCCACCAGCGGGTACCGCATCGAATTCTTTCAAAGCTGGAGAATTATTATCCATCCGGACGACATGACCAAGCAAGCATAACCGCTTACTTTTGATTGGCTGAATTATGTCAGCAGTACCGTTATTCCCAACTCGTGGTGGACCGTAAATCCTGCATGAAATTTTTCCTCAAAAATTCCTAACAAAAACTCATCAGATGTTGTCATCGTCCATGCCTCTACATCAGATAACAGGACGGAAACCGTGAGCGACATGTAGCGTTTGCAGCGAAAGGGTGTCCGAAATATATGGCGGCATAGACATAGTTCAAGAAAACGGTATTATTGTTTAAGTTATCAGCGTGTAAGTGCTGTTAAAATCAATTGAAAAGAAGAAAAGTAATGTCTCATGATTAAATGAACTGGTATTTTACTAGTATTATGCTGATGCATGGCCGAATTCACAATTCGTTTTACGTAGCAGCATTAAAATGTTTAGCGTTAGCTTAAGAAAATGATGGTTCATAAACTAGTTGTTGTGAAAACACAAACTAGTGACATTCTAGTACCCAACTAGTAACCTACATTACTGGTTATGTACGCGTATGTACGTGGTGTTACAATTTGTCGTTGTTAAGTGGGTGAGATTGTTGCATAGAATGAGAGAATTGGACATTCACATACTTAATTAGTTATGTACATATATGTATGTAGGTATGTATGTATGTATGTATGTAGGTATGTATGTAAGTATGTACGTTTGTTTGTTTATTTAAGCACATCTATGGCATTAATTGTTTCCATTTCCAGCTTAGATTCTTAAGTATCGCAATTTGTTATCAAAGCTGATAGTAAATGCTCCCTGTCATGCATTGCACTCATGTACATATGTACATATCTTTATTCACTTATGCATATTTGTATGTATATTTTTGCCTATATATAGATACATACTTGTATGTGCTCATTGCATATAGTGAAAGTTTTTTCTACCTAACGGTCTATGTATCCACGAATACTGCACACGCTTGTCTTTATACCTACATACGTGTGTACATACTTATCTATCTACGAGTATCTATGCATTTGGCTGTCATCAAGCAAGGTGCAAGACAACATCACGCGGTCACGTCAGTTTTCACTTAACATCATTTGTTTCACGCCTAAATATTTTTATATTCAAGCAACGTTTGTCTATACGGAGTAAATACTAATTGTGTTTAGACTTAGACTTTTAAGAAAGTATTCAAATTTTACTTTCAAAAGCGCTTTTGCAGAAGTATATATTGTACATATATATTTTTAAAATTTAGCTCATTACTTACCATTATCACCTTCAAGCTTATTTGAAGCTAAACTACGGACAACCCTAATGACCTACTACTACAAATCAAATATTCATTTCCTTTGCTTGTTTGCTAAACTCAGACCAAACTCAGACCTGGAAATATGATGATATTTGAAATAGTTTTCACTTGGGTTGTTGAAATTAAAAATTTTTCAAGCTTTTTAGTACCATATAGTTAATAATACAAATTTTGAAGCTCAAAACAGGACACAATTCGTTCAACTTTTTATCCCCAAATTAAGTAAGTTACCATTAGGTTAGGTTAGGTTGAGCTGGCTGACCCAGTGGGTCTCACATAGACGACAATACATCCATAGTGTTGCCAGGGATATTACATACGACAATACAAGCTGTGTTGCTACACTCCTATTGTGCTTCTAGTGTGAAGAACATTGCTGTACTTTTCGCGTATATAATTAGCTTTTCATGGCCCTTCGGGCATTGCTGATTGAAGAGCCCGCAGCCTTTCTGAGCCCCAGGTATACATAGCCTTTGTCTGCCGAATGCCGGACATTCACAGATTACGTGCTCCACTGCCTTCACCATTGATTTTATTAAAATTTTCCTGCAATTTTCTGTAAAAGCCACAAGATGTTAAATTCGTTGGCAAATCAGCAGTTCGATGGACTTATTTTTACCAAGACTTTAATCCCTATTGAAGTAGCATACCTACCTACCGAATATTCTCTTTCAACGTAACACCCAAAAAAAAAAAAAAAAAATAACCAGTTTTAAATCCAACGATCCAATAATCTCTGCCCATAGAGGATTTTACAGTGTCTTCACACTTGGCTTGGGTATTATCATCACTCCAAAAGCGAACATTTTAGTTATTATCGTTCAACCAATAGTGGGCTTCATCGCTGAACAAAATTGTCTTGGGGAGAATCGGGATCGGTGGACATGTCGTTTTGGTCGCATTCACCGAACGTGCTACGCGCTTGATGATTGTTGCTTGGCTTCAATTCCTACACGAATTGGATTTTGCCGGCCACAAATCAAAATTATTGCGTAAAATCTTCTAGAAAATTTATGGACTCATTCGGGTCCTTCTTCGATAATCTGATCCACAGCAGCTACAGCGGCCTAAGTGCGGGCTGAACGGCAGCTCTTAGAATACGCATTATCCACTAGAGTAAACGTGGTGCAAAATTGACCCATTATTGCTCGTATTACCGACTCTGCTGGGCGGTTATGTCCGAACCGAAACTCGTACGCAGCGCACGATGCGTCGCGTGAATCGAACCATTTTCTTTTTAATTAAAAATGGTCCAATTTGCAAACGTTGTTCCAAAAAAGTCTCTTCATTATGAAATGGCAAACCAAACAGGTAACATAGTCAAAAAGATCAACTCCGAAGAAAGTATTCCCTCATCGGTAACCACACGTCTAAAGTTGGCGAAATCTGACACTCATTAACCGGTATTTTTTGATAATATTGAAGCCGTTGAAATTCAGTAACTAGAGGATCTAGACGTGGAGACTTATACAAGTTCGCTGAGGCAAGAAAATTTTTTAAAGTTTTTGAGAAAAACCCATAGCACCGCCCACTTTCAAAAAAATACTTCTCTATGTACAATATTATCATTAACTCTTGAACCACACCCAGTTCTCACATAATAACAGGTTCGCAGATTGGAAAAATCTTTATTAATTTTATTCATATATATATATATATATATATTATTAAAGTCCCATAAATCTAAAAGTACTCGTTCAAGTCATTTCTATATTTGAATGAATACCCTTCTGCCTGTCTTTAAATAATTTCCCAAAAATTTCCATCTTCCAGGTTCGCTTAGAATCGATCGGTGCTGAGGACATTGTGGATGGCAATCCCAGATTGATTTTAGGTTTGATCTGGACCATCATTTTGCGGTTTCAAATACAAGAAATTGAAATTGATGTGGTGAGTATGTGGCGGACAATTTAGTAATACATATTATACTATCAAAATTTGTAAAATATTTTAATGCCAATACACGCACTCTCCACAGGATGAAGAGAATGAATCATCCGAAAAACGCTCGGCGAAGGATGCGTTGTTGTTGTGGTGTCAACGAAAAACACATGGCTATCCCGGTGTTAATATACAAGATTTCACCTCATCTTGGCGTTCGGGTCTGGGCTTCAACGCCCTCATACATTCACATCGGCCCGACCTCTTTGAGTACAGCACGATTGTCAATTCGAAGAACTCGAATATTGACAATCTGAATCATGCCTTCGATATGGCTGCCTCCGAGTTGGGTATACCAAGGTTAGTACTGAAATACTTTCTGAAATTTCACGAACTTATAATTTCTTATTTTCGTTTTTTTTTTTTTTAGTTTATTGGATGCCGAAGATGTTGACTCTGCACGTCCGGATGAGAAATCCATCCTGACCTATGTGGCTTCTTATTATCACACATTTGCACGCATGAAAAACGAACAGAAGAGCGGTAAACGTATTGCCAATGTAAGTGGAAAGAATTCATTTCCTAGTCGAAGCATCAGCTGAGCTTAACTTTGCTGCGTCACTTTGCATAATCAGTCAGTCATACGCATACCTTCTAGTATTTACATATACATATACACATATGTGCGAGTATATGTTTGCATTGAAACTCTATCCTTGCCTTTATGCATTGTTATGCAGTTACTTTCATACAACTGTTCTGGGCGCAACTCAATACCAATGTTAGGAAACGCATACCATAACGTAATAATTAAAATGTTTACGCTCTATTTGTTGCCTCGGTGAGGTTCAATGACTAGCCCAACGCCAACATATGTTTGGCTCAATTGATTCTTTTATTTTTTATTGATGCTTAGACGTCACTAAGTTGAAAAATGTCGTTGTTCGTGCAAATATTTTATTGTGCTTAGCTTAAAACTGATATTGAATTACACTACGTATTTATGTATGTATATACAACAATAAATTCTTAATATTTTTTTCAAATGTTTTTAGATTGTGGGACAATTGATGGATGCTGACCGCAAGAAAATCTATTACGAACGTCTCACAACAAATCTACTGAGTTGGATTAGACAAAAAACGTTGGAATTACAACAACGTGATTTCCCCAATTCATTGGAGGGTATACAACGGGAATTGTTGGCATTTAAAGAGTATCGCACGATCGAAAAACCACCAAAGTAAGTTAAAAAAAAAATAAAAAATAAAAAATTATAGCAAAATAAATCAAAATAAAATGAAATTAAAAATATAATAACAATAATAGTAAACAAAAAAAAAAAATTAGATGAAATAATATTAAAAACAATAACAAAATAATAATAAAAATAAAATAATATGGAGAAAAAAGAATTAAACAAATTAAAAAAGAACCAAAAAAAATTAAATGAAACAAAATAATTTAAAATTAATAAATATGAAATAGGCTGCCGCGTTAGCCAAGTGGTTAGCGTTGCATACTGCCATTCAAAAGGCTCGGGTTCAAATCCCAGTGCGACCAACATCCAAAAGTAATTAAAAATTCACTTAAATAAAAAACTAAGTTAACTTTTCGAATTTCGGTCGCCCCTCCGCAGGAAAAGTCAACCTCTTCGAGTGTATTTCTGACATTCCTCATAAAAAAACCCATTAGCCGTTCGGAGGCGGCTTAGTATAAATTGTAGTTGCCTTCATTTGTTGGAAAAACATCAAGGAGTAAAACCACAAATTGGTGGGGGGCTCGGCGGAAAATCGCTTCAGCGGTTACAAAGCGCCAATTATATATTTCTATAAATATTAAATTAAATAAAATTCAGAAAAATAAAGTAAAATAAAAAATAATAATAAAAATACAGTAATACCAAAGGAAAAACAAATAAAAAATATAACGTAAATAAAATAAAATAAATAATATTAAAAATAAATTATCATAACATAAAATAAAACAAAATATAACGATAAAATAAAATAAGCTAAAATAAAATATGTATAAAATAAAATGAAAATCAAATAAAATAAATAAAACGAAACAAAATAAAATAAACTTAAAAAAAAAAAGTAAAATAGAAATAAAACGAACTAAAATAAAATAAAGTAAAACAAAAAAATATCCATAATTTTTTTTGCGGCCATAAAATAAAATAAAACAAAAAAATATAACTAAATAAAATAACGAAACAAAAGAACAAATATAATAGAATAAATTAAATTAAATTAATTCAATTTATATTATATTAAATAAAACAAACTGGAAAAAATTAATAAAATTTACCGAAAATAATAAAAAATAAATAAAACTAAATAATTATACAAAAATATATTTAAAGAAATTTTGGTCGAATACTTGTATTCAATAAAATTAGTTGAATATTAATAAATAAAAGTTAAATTCAATGAAATAAAATTAAGAAAAAATAAAATAAAATAGAAACTTAAAGAAATTTAGTTAAATAAAAAAATAAAATTAATTTAAATTAATATTATATTATTATTAATAATTAAAATAAAATGAAACTAAATGAAATAAATTAAGTTTAATTAAATGAAAAGTAAATATAAAAACAATATATAAATAAAAATTAAATTAAATCTAATGAAAAGTAAAATTAAATAAAATGAAACAAGTTAAAAATATAATAATAAAAATAAAGTCAAATAAAATAAATGCAAAATGAAAAGGAACGGATTATATAATTGGCGCTTTGTAACCGCTGAAGCAATTTTCGGCCCAGTTCCCTCTGCGATTTGTGATATGCGTTTCCAACAACGGTCGATGAATTTTTATCTGGCTTGTCGAGGGATGACCGATATTAGAAAATTTGATTTTGTAACATTTTTTATTTTACTCAGAGCAGGACTCGAACTCTGGCCTTTCGAGAGCTAGTACGCAATACTAGCAACTCGGCTATAGCACTCCCAATAAAAATATATAAAACAAAACAGAATTAATTAATAAATCGAAACTTTTAACCTTTTCTATGCTTTAAACCCATTAGGTATAAGGAGCGCAGCGAAATCGAAGCGCTCTATTTCACCATCAACACACTGCTAAAGGCACTTAATCAACCGCCGTACAATCCACAAGAAGGTCAATTGGTCAACGATATAGAAAAGGCGTGGCAACAGCTCGAGTATGCCGAACACAATCGTGAAGTGGCGCTACGCGAAGAACTTTTGCGCCAAGAAAAACTGGAACAACTCAATTACAAATTCGAAAAGAAATCTGTGCTGCGTGAGGGTTACTTGAAAGAGATGATCCAAGTGCTCTCCGATCCGCGTTACTTGCGACAAGTAGATGCAACATTGAAGAAACACGAAGCCATTTCGGCGGATATTTTAGCGCGTGTAGAACGTTTTAATGACCTCACCGCCATGGCCAATGAGCTGGAGCGTGAAAATTATCATGGTAAGGAACGGGTGAAACGGCGTGAGGCAGAAGTGATGGATAAGTGGCGTAAACTATTGGAGCTGCTTGAAAATCAACGCCTGAATTTGTCACAAATGAGTACACTGATGAATTTGTTGCGCGAAATCGCTAGCACAACAGAAGCGATAAAAGAGTTACAAACACAATTTTCCTCTGAGGATGTAGGTCCACATTTGTTGGGCGTTGAAGAACTATTGCAAGCGCATTCGCTGCAAGAACTCCAAGTGAATACGTATGGAGAGACACTGAAACGTTTCAATCGACAGGCACAACCTTACAAAACATCTGAGCAAAAGGATGCGGCGTTACTTGTGCAACGGCTGGCTGAGCTTGAGGAGGCTTATGCTATGTAAGTAAAACAAAAAATGCTGTTTTTGATAAATTCGAAATTTTCACTAAATTCAACTCTTCTCCTTACGCAGCCTACTTAAGTTATGTGCCAAACGTCGTGCTTGTCTTGAAGAGGCGAGAAACTTCTATCATTTCATGGAGGATTACGACAACGAGGAAGGCTGGCTTGTGGACAAACAACGCATCTGCAAGACAGGCATCACAGCAAAGGATTTACGCGCTGTACTCTCGCTACAACAGAAACACAAAGCGCTCGAGGATGAGATAAAGGTACGCAAGCCGAAATCCACTCAAATGTTAGAGGCAGCCAAGAAGCTTATAGGTGAAAAACATCCACGTTCGTCAGATATCAAGAGCCGTATAGAGTCCTTGGCCGAACACTGGAAGGCCTTGGAGGAGTTAGTGGAACTGCGACGACGTCAGTTAGAAGATGCAGCCGAGGCGTATCAATTTTACACCGACGCCAATGAGGCTGAGTCGTGGTTGAATGAAAAAATGGCGTTGGTGAAGTCGAACGACTATGGCACCGACGAACCCTCAGCACAGGCGTTGCTACAGCGACACCGCGATCTACAAGGTGAGCTGAACGCCTACTCCGGTGATATACTTAATTTGAACCAACAGGCAGAAAAGCTCATCAAAGCGGGCATATGCACACTGGAGGTATGTAAAAGCTGTTTTTTAAAAGATTTTTATCTATATAAAAATTAAAAACCGTTACTTTCCAGCTATCAGCCGCCGAACCCGAAATGCCCGAAATCGAGCAAGAAGAATGGGTTAACGAGACACGTCTAGTGCCGAAAGAGGTGTGGGAGGATGAGTGGGTAGAAAAGTTGGAGCACAAGAAGGTGACTGAAACGAAACTACTGCCACACGTTCGATCAATGTTTCCCTTCGAGGGTCAGGGCATGAAAATGGACAAGGGTGAGGTTATGTTGTTGAAGTCCAAAACGAATGATGACTGGTGGTGTGTGCGTAAAGAAAATGGTTTGGAAGGTTTCGTACCCGCAAACTATGTACGTGAAATCGAACCACGCCCCGTACCGTGTATTGTGCCGAAATCTGAGAAGGTCAAAACATTACAAAAGGTGAAGAAGACCATTTTAGTGCGCCAAGTGGTGCCAGTGAAACGCATCAAACCAATTGCGGCGCCACCAAAACCACTCGTTAAGCGCCGTGCTTCTTCGAACAGTATTAATGAGAATGCGGATAGTGTGGAGAAACGACAGAAACGTATTAATAGCACATATGACGAACTACAAGATACGGCACAAAAGCGCCACGCACTACTCGAAGACTCCATACATCTATTCGGTTTCTATCGCGAGTGTGATGATTTCGAGAAATGGATGAAGGAGAAAGAACGAATAATCAACTCAGACGATGGTGAGGGCGTAGAGAATGCCAAGCGAAAATTCGAAAAATTCCTCACCGATCTTTCGGCCGCTTCCAAGCGTATTGAGGAAATCGATGGTGCTGTGGAAAATTTCCGTCGCCAAGGCCACTCACAACTGGATAAAATAATTGCACGCCAACGGCAGATACATCAAATTTGGCAACGTCTCAATAACGCAAAGGCACAACGCGAGAAGAGTCTGGAAGGCGCATCGAGTGTGGATCTATTCAATCGCACCTGTGACGAGGCTAAAGTTTGGATGAATGAAAAAATGTTACAACTTGACACAGCCGTCATAAGTCCCGATCTAAAGACCGTGCAAGCACTACAGCGACGTCATCAGAATTTGGAACGTGAGTTGGCGCCGGTCGAAGAGAAGGTGAATCGCGTCAACTATTTGGGCAACTCGTAAGTGTTGTGTGAAACAAACAATTTTTACTTATAATGAAAACAATTTGATAATTTTGCCTCCTTTTCTCTAGTGTCAAAAATGCTTACCCAGCCGAACGCAATAATGTAACCGCAAGACAACAGGAGGTTCTGGATATGTGGAAACAAGTTCACGGTAAAGGCAGTGAGCTTCGTGCACGCATTGAGAGCGCAGTGGGTCAACAGATTTTCAATAACAGGTAAATACTTCTGCTAAGTATGTGGAGTCCTCAATATCAAAACAAAGGAAAAGCCTTTAAATAATGGATTTCGACCGAGCTTCTTTTCCAATCGAAGTTGGATGTTTTCACACCTAGTGGAGAGGCCTAGATTATATTTTAAGCCGCCTCTAAACGGCTGAGGGCTTTTTACGGGGTGCATTTATTTCTTACCGGAAATACACACCGAGCAGTTGAAATTCCCTACCCAGGGGTGATCAAAATGAGACAAATTAATTCTTCACTTTAAAATTCTTTTATTTTGGTTATTGGTCTGACCAGGGCTAGAACCCATAACCCTCCGGATGATAACTTGCTTTTCTAATTACTCGACCACTGCGGCCGCCATTGTAATGGGCAGCTAAAGCACTTTGTATATGTTTTTTTGATTCGGGTGCCAAAGTAGAAAAGCTTGAGCTCCTCTCGGTTGACACTCTAGTAGTAGTTTGCATTCTCAAAAATAAATATTTTGCTTCACTAATCATTTCATCCTCTTTTCAGTGCTAAGACCTTACTCGCCTGGATCGACTCTGTTAAGGATCAATTAAATGCCGATGAGTCAGCGCGTGATGTTGAAACGGCCAATAATTTGTTGAAAAAACATAATGACCTGGGCGACGACATTAAAGCACACGACAATGAGTTTGTCGAAGTGATAAATCTTGGCAAACAACTCTCCGATGGCAAACCCAATATGGAGGAAACTGTGAAGATCATTGATCGTCTCACGGCCGAACAGGATGCTATACATCGTGGCTGGGTGGAGAAGCAAAAATGGTTGCAACAATGCGTTGAACTGCAAATATTTAACAGAGAGGCCGATAAAATCGATGCGACCACAAAGAGCCACGAAGCTTTTCTCGAATACAATAATTTGGGTGTAAGTAGAAACTGATCTACAGATAATTATATTTACATTTCCTTAACGATATTTATATTTTCAGAACTCGCTCGACGAAGTGGAAGCCATATTGAAGCGACATCTGGACTTTGAGAAGAGCCTTATGGCTCAGGACAAAATACTTAAAGGTTTCTCCGACAATGCCGACAAACTGATTGCCAATGATCACTATGATAAGAAATAGTAGGTTTCCCGAAAATTAATTTTCACCTAATTTTTATTGATTCTCTTTTAACATGCCATTCCTTCCAGCATTGATGATAGACGCAATCAAGTTTTAGGCAAAAGGAAAGCAGTCGAAGATCGCGCTTTTGACCGTAAACGCTCGTTGCAGGCTTCGAAGGACTTCCATAAATTCGCCGCGGAGGCTGATGACCTCGCCGTTTGGTTAAATGACAAAACTAAAATCGCCGGCGATGAGAGTTACCGCGATCTAAGCAATCTGCCACGTAAACTACAGAAACACAAAGCTTTCGAACGCGAACTGCGCGCCAATGAAGGTCAATTACGTAACGTCAACAAGGATGGACAAGCTTTGATAGCGGCGAACAATCGTGTGCCAGCTGTCGAGAGTCGTATGGGTGATTTGAATCAGAAATGGAAGGATTTACTCTTGCTCTCAGAGGACAAAGGGCGTAAATTGGAGCAGGCCGTATCACAGCGCGAACACAATCGTGCCATTGACGATGCAAAACAGAAGGTAGCCGAGTTGGATGCCGCACTTAAGAGTAAAGATGTTGGCAACGATTTGCGTAGCTGTAAAGACTTAATCAACAAACATCAGTTACTCGAGTCAGAGATAACGGTGTGGGAGCAAAAAATTGTTGAGCTCGTTAGTACTGGTGATGAAATGGCGCACGAGGGCCACTTTAATGCTGTGCACATCAAGGATGAAACAAAGGATATACAAAATCGTTTCAAATTACTTAGTGGTCCGGTGCAAAAACGTCGCGAAGAGCTGGAAGAGAGTTTGAACTATCACAAATTCGTATTCGAATTAGACGCCGAATTCCAATGGATAAACGACCATATGCCAGCAGCTAAGTCCAAAGAGTTAGGACAGAATTTACATCAAGCACAGACGCTTTCGAAGAAGCATAAGAAACTCGAAGCTGAAATTAAGGGTCATCAACCAATGATCAACAAGGCATTGCAAGCCGGTCAAACGCTCATAGCACAAAACCATCCGGAGAAGGAAAATGTGCGCACTTTGTGTGGTAAGTTGGAAGACGCCTGGGCTGATTTGGATAGCAACTCGAACGATCGCAGTAAGAAGCTGGAGATGTCACTGAAGGCGCAGCAGTACTTGTCCGACGCCGGCGAGATTGAATCATGGTTGGGTGAGAGGAGCAACGCCTTGCGCTCCACTGAATATGGGCGTGATCGCGATTCTGCCGCTAAGTTACTGACCAAACACAAGACAATCGAACTGGAGTTGGACACGTACTCTGGCATTGTTACCGAAATGGGACACAATTGTGCCGCCATGGTAGCCGCCGGACATCCGGACAGTAAAATTCTTACTGCGAAACAACAGCTGATCGAGAAAATGCTGAAGTCGCTGCATAAGTTGGCGCAACAAAGGCAAATGCGTCTGATGGAGAGTTTGTATATGCACGAATACTTCCTGGAATCCGATGAAGTTGAACAATGGATACGAGAGCAGGAACAGGCTGCATCATCCGAAGATTATGGGCAGGATTATGAGCATCTACAATTGCTGCAAAATAAGTTCGATGATTTAAAGCATCGCGTTGAAGTCGGTTCGGATCGCGTGAATCAATGTGAGGTGCTGGCGAAGAAACTCATCGACACTGAGAGCCCATACGCCACAGATGTGGAGAAACGTCAAGAACAACTGAGGTAAGTAAAAATAGTGAAGATCCAACCAAAAGATTATTGAGCTCATAAAATGATTTATAACCCTCACAGAGATTCTTGGGAAAATCTACTACAACTGCTGAATCAACGCGAACAGAAATTGCACGCCGCCGGCGAAATTCATCGCTTCCACCGTGATGTAGCCGAAGCCCTCTTCCGCATACAGGACAAGAATGCCGCGCTCTCTTCAGAGCTTGGCAAGGATTTGAACTCTGCTTTAGCGCTGTTACGTAAACACGAAGGTTTCGAAAATGACCTTGTCGCCTTAGAGGCACAGTTGCAGGTGTTGGTTGAAGACTCGGTGCGCCTACAAGCTAAATACCCCTCTAATGCCGCCGCCATTGCTCAGCAACAGGATAAGGTTGTTGCCGCATGGAATGATTTGAAAGAACGCTCCGGTGCGCGTAGTGATCGTTTAGCTGCCAGTTCGGATCTGCAATCGTTCTTAACTGATGTGCGCGACATTATGTCTTGGTCATCGAACTTGCGCGCCGCACTGCAGGCTGAAGAACATGTCAGCGATGCGGCCGGTGCCACAGCATTGAAAATCCAACACGATGCTATTTACGGTGAAATTGAGGCGCGTGAAGATAAATTCCGTTACTTGAATGAACTAAGCGATTCGATGGTGCAAACAGGTCACTATGCAGCGGCGGAGGTGGAAGAAAAATGTGCAGCCATGTTAGACGAACGTCAAAAGTTGCATGCGGCTTGGAACAAGAAGAAGATTATGTTGGAGCAAAAAATCGATTTATTCTGTTTCCTACGTGATGCCAAGCAAATCGACAATCTCTCCAGCTCCCAGCAGGCGGCACTCAGCAGTTCCGATTTCGGTCAAACCGTCGAAGATGTGCAAAATCAGATAAAGAAACACGATGAGTTCGAGCGGCTCATACAGACGCAGGAAGAGAAGGTGGCTTTACTCCAGGAGCATGGCCGCAAACTAATTGAGCAGCGTCACTACGATAGTGCGAATATTCAAACAATTCTACAAGGTGTGTTAGCGCGCAGACAGAAGGTGAAGGATCTCTGCGCTGTGCGACGCTATAAATTGGAGGATGCGCTGCTCTACGCGCAGTTCGTGCGTGATTGTGCCGAAGCCGAGTCTTGGATTAATGAGAAGAAGAAGAAATTGAGCGCTGATGGTGCCAGTTACGCTGAGGTGTCCAACTTGGATGAGAAGATAAAGAAATTGCAGAAGCATCAAGCTTTCCAAGCCGAAGTCGCTGCCAATCAGGGACGCATACAGGAAATACAAGAAACAGGCATGATACTCTTGACGAAGCAGCACGAGTCCTCGCAGGAGATCAAACTAGCCGTTGAACGAGTTGTAGCCGCATGGAAGAGCCTCATCGAGGAGTTGAATAATCGTGGTCGTGGACTCGAAGAGGCACAAGACATACTGGAGTTCAATAATCAGTTGGACAAGATCTCGGCTTGGATACGTGACAAGGAAATGATGATACAGGCTAGCGACACTGGTCGCGATCTGGAGCACTGCAATGCGTTGGTGCGTAAACTGGATGATGTCGACTCTGACATGCGTGTCGACGATCAACGTGTAAAGCATATTAATAACCTAGCTGACAAGCTCATCAGCCAAGGTGAAGTGCCGGCCGAAACTAAAAATATTGACAAACGTCGTCGTGACTTCAACAGTAAATGGCGTGATCTACAGGGTGCGCTTAGCGCCTACCGCGCTCTCCTCGGCGAAGCGAATGAGATACATGTATTCAATCGGGATGTCGACGACACAGCCGAACGTATTGCCGAAAAGGCGCTAGCCATGAGCTCCGATGACACAGGACGTGATTTGGCAGCTGTTGAAACGCTCATACGACGCGAAGACGCTTTAGAGCGTGATATGTCGGCGGTTAAACAGAAGATTGGCGAACACGAGCAAGTCGCACAAGCCCTACTCAAGCGCTATCCCGAACGGGTTAAGATTATTGAACACAAGATTGACGAGCTGCGTTTATCATGGCAAAATCTGCAAGACTTGGCGGTCAAACGACGATCTGTACTTAATGACGCCTACCTGGTACACAAATTTGTGTCTGATGTGAAAGAGTTGGAGCTCTGGGTGAATGATATGATAAAGAAAATGAATGCTGCGCAGGCGCCAATGACTATAAGCGATTGCGAAACACAATTGGAGTTGCATCAGGAGCGTAAAGTGGAAATCGATGGGCGCGATAAAGCTTTCCGAGATTTGAAAGCACAAGGCGAGGCACTCAGCGACATGGAGAAGCCAGCTAATGTTAAGCAATATCTAACGGCACTTGCTGAACTGCACAGCACATTGCACGAAGCATGGAATGAGCGTGCGCGCGATTTGACCGAGGCACATCAACTGCATTTGTTCAAGGCGCAAGTGGAACAAGTCGAAATCTGGTTGGCGAACAAAGAAGCCTTCCTGAACAACGACGATTTGGGTGATTCATATCCCGCCGTGGAGCGCTTGATTAAGAAGCATGATGCATTTGAGAAATTATTGGACTCAGATAATGTGACGGAGCTACAGAACTTCGCTCAAAGCATCTTGGAGGGCGAACCCAAGGACGCTGACGTGATTAAGGAAAAATTAAGCTACATACTACGTCGTAAAGAGAAACTTAATGCCCTTTCACTGGATCGCAAACAGAAATTGCTGCAATCACAACAACTGCACGAATTCCTACGAAGTCTGTACGAGATCGATCGTTGGTTGGTGCAAAAGATGCAGGTGGCCTTGGACGAGAATTACCGCGAGCCGAACAACTTACAGAGTAAAATACAAAAACACACCACATTCGATAGTGAATTGTTAACGAACGCCTCACGCGTACAGGACGTTATAAACGAAGGGGAGCGGCTGATCAGAGATGAGCACTTTGCCAAGGAAGAGATTGCGCAACAGCTGAAAATGCTCGAAAGTGATTGGAATAAGCTGAAGGCTGCGTCTAAGGAGAAACGCGAAAAACTCAGTCAAGCCTACGAAGCGCAAGCATTCAATCGCAGCCTGGATGAGTTCAACAACTGGATGGACGAAGTTGAGTCGCATTTGTCGAGCGAAGATTATGGCAAAGATTTGGCAACCGTTAATCACTTGATTAAGAAACACGAACGCCTCGAGGCAGATGTTGCACACCACAATGATTTGGCCGATCAGATCAAACAAACCGATGAGAAGTTTTTCCAAGCCGATCACTTCCTCAAGGATGAAATTCACGAGCGCGCAATGGCAACAATCAAACGTTATCGCACCCTCCACGAGCCCATAGCCATACGTCGTGAAAATCTAGAGGATTCTCTGAGTCTGCAGCAATTTCTACGCGATGCTGAAGATGAGCTGCAATGGCTTACCGAAAAGGAGGCGATTGCCAACTCACAAGATCTGGGCAGCAGTTTGATCGCGGTGCAGGTGCTCCAAAAGAAACATCAGGGACTTGAAGCTGAGATACTCTCACAAGAACCACTAATCAAAGCACTGCTTCAACGCGGCCAACAAATGATACGCGACGACCATTTCGCCAGCGAACAGGTGCAATACAAATGCGATTTGCTGCAGAAGAAGCTCGTCAATCTGCGCGATATTGCAAGTATACGCAGATTGCGCCTTCTGGACGCGGTGGAGAGTCAAATGTTCTATGTAGAGGCAAACGAGGCTGAGGCATGGATACGTGAGAAGCGTCCAATACTCGCTTCTAGTGATTATGGCCGTGATGAGACCTCCGTGCAATCGCATCAGAAGAAACTGGAGGTGTTGCAGCGTGAGCTGGTCGCTTTCAAGAGTTCGATTGAGAAGGTTAACAAGTTGGCGCATGGACTCGTCGAGCGCAATCACTTCGATAGCGCAAATATCAGCACAAAGAACGATACCGTCACCAAACAGTATGAAGAATTGTTGCGCTTGGCTAAAGATCGCGAGGTGCGTTTGAGTGAGTGCAAGAAATTGTTCGAGTACTTGCGTGAGGCAGAAGATCTGCACGAATGGATTGGTGATCAGATGACTGTAACCGCTTCAGAGGACTACGGCGAGGATGTTGAACATGTTGAGCAGTTGATTTTGGTCTTCGAGTCTTTCGTATCTAACTTGAATGCGAATGAAGGTCGCGTACAAGCTTGTTTGGCGCATGGCGATGAGCTTATTAAAGAGAACAATCCCTACCGTGCTTCGATAAAGACCAAACGTGATGAGACCAAGCAGCTGTGGGAGGAATTGAAGGATCTAGTCAATGCGCGTCAAGATGCGTTGGCCGGTGCGAAGCAGGTGCACGTGTACGATCGCGTGGCCGATGAAACGATTTCCCTGATTAATGAAAAAGAGGCTGCGCTCATCTCCGAAGATTACGGCCAAGATTTAGAGAGCATACAGGCTTTGAGTCGCAAACACTCTGTTTTCGAGGGTGAACTGGTCGCAATTAGAGAACAAGTTGATGCCGTACTTGTGGAGGCAACGAAGTTGGGCGAGATCTATCCGGACGCAAAGGAACACATCGAAGTAAAGCGTGACGAAACAGTGGAGGCATGGACGGATCTAAAGGAAAAGACGAATGTGCGCAAAGAGAAGTTACAACAGGCGGAGCACTTACAGTCGTACTTCGATGAATATCGCGATTTAATCGCCTGGATCAATGAGATGCTTGCCAAGATTACAGCGCCAGATTTGGCCACCAGCGTTGCGGGCGCTGAATCATTGCTGGCGAGCGTGAAAGAGCATCACGCAGAAATACATGCGCGTGATGAGACTTTCGCTAACTTCACTGCAAACGGCCGCAAATTGATCGACGAGAAACATTTCCTGGCACATGAAATCGAAGAGAAGATTCAGGTGCTACAGCAGCGGCACGAACTCTTAAAGAATACGTTGCAACAACGTAAAGAAATCTACGAACTCAACTTGGACACACAAATCTTCCTTAAAGATGCGGAAATACTTGAAAACTGGATAATTAGTCGCGAACCATTGCTGAAGGATGCCAAACTGGGTGAGTCAATACCACAAGTTGAAGATCTGCTACGACGTCATCAAGATTTCGAAAAGACCGTTGCCGCACAGGAAGAGAAATTCCAAGCTATCAAACGTATAACACTGCTTGAGCAACGCTTCCGCAAACAAGTGGAAAGCGAGAAATTGGCCAAACAAAAGGAGAAGGAACGCTTGGAGAAGGAACGCCTTGAGATGTTGAAACAAAAGGAATTGCAGCGACTCAACGATGAACGCCGACGCGCCGAAAAACAGCTGGAGAATCGGCAAAATGCTGCCGCACAAGAAAAGACGCCCATCTTCTCTACGCCCATGGTCGCAGTGAACACCAACAATGCGCCACAATCACCAGCCGTTACAGTCACCTCACCACTGCGTTCGCCCTTCGACGAGGATCAGTATTCGCTGCAGAAGAGCAGCTCTAGTGGCATGTTCGGTGATCGCCTGCGTCGCGGCTCCGATACGAATGTAAAACGCGCCGAAAGCATGAAGGTGCAACAAAAACAACCCAAACGTACACCATCATTCACTACACGTCGACGTGCACAATCGTTCCGTAAGAACCAGAAGGGTGAAGGTTTCGATTTGCCACCCGTCGAAATACAAGGTATGCTAGAACGTAAACATGGCCTACAGTCAGGCGGCAAGAAGGCACCCGTACGCTCGTGGAAACAATTCCATACCGTGCTATGTGGTCAATTGCTGTGCTTCTTCAAGGATGAGAATGATTTCCTGCAACAGAAAACAGCCAATGCGCCCGTCAACATACTCGGCGCCAAATGTGAGCGCGCCGAAGACTATACGAAAAAGAAGTATGTGTTCAGGTTGAAGCTGCCCGATGGTTCGGAGTTCCTCTTCGAAGCGCCGTCATTGGAAATCATGAACGATTGGGTGCGTAAGATATCCTTCCATGCTAGTCTGCCACCAAATCTACAATTACTCAGTTATGATGAATCGATGAAGGTAAGTGTGCTGTTTAAGAGCCTTATTTGAAGTACTTTTCTAATGAGTTTATAACACTTTTTTTTGTTTTTTTTTTTTTCTTTTTTGCTCCCACAGCAACAGTCGAATAGCTTCCCAGACATTAAAATCGCCAGCGGTCAGATAGAGTCGCCTGTGAGTTCGCGTACATCATCGCCGGACTCTCAACGTCGTGCCATCTCGCGCAATGACTCAATCAATAGCGGCATGTCGACCAGTTCAGCGACGCCACAGATGAATTTCCTGCAAAAACAAATGCAACAGCAACAGCTGCAACAACAACAAAGGGTATTTATTGCAAGCTAGTAGTAGTTAATATTAGACCATAGAAAATTAAAAAAAAAACAATATCTGAAAGAAATTTAGCAGACTTTTGAGGTAATTCACCAGAATCGACAACTTAATATATCTGAGGACACGTGACGACCAGTAAAATTCAATCGTTAACCACTCCTCGATGGACCCGAAAAAGTCGGGGATGTTTTTCAGCCGACTAATTGCCTTGCGCTGCTCGGTTAATTAGAGCTAAAAGAGAAATGAGTCACCATCTGCCAAATACCAGCGTTAAGCTTGATGACTTCTCTAGCGATAAGATTCAGAGAGTCAACGAGCAGTCTGGAGCAGATTATCTCATGACCCTCAACCAATCTTTGACCACTTTCATTGTACCCGACATGTCGAAACAGGGTGATTTAGTGTCATCCCATAAACCTAAACACGGAAGCCTGTGAAAAAAGAGGATAGGAAATACATCAGAAGCATTGCTGGTTTCGTGTGAGCGTAAGGGATTGCATCAGTACGGCTTTCGTGAAGTGTACAGTACCACCACAGTACCGAACACCCAGATAACTTGCGACCTCTACCAAAACCAAACCTGATCATCACAGCACTGGTCTTTTCACAAGCCTTCCACACTGACACTGGCACAATAATCCCCAAAAACTACTTTGCAGTTGCAACAACAACAACAATCAGACAATGAGAATTCCTAATTATCGTCAGGATTGAAAAGCTGCACGGTTGAAAATCGTTGGTTGAGTTTCAAATTCAGGCTTTTTGGCAAAGAAGAATTCAACAAAGGATTCCGCATGCTTTTACTTCCCCTCTACTAATGCTTTAATTTATATTTATGTCTCGCAATTCCCTCCGCCTCCTGAAGGAGTATCTCTTAACTCACGTGCCGATGATTGCTTGAACATGACATGTGTCTGGGGTATTGTATCTATGTTCTGGTTTCTCTCTCTGAATTTTTCCGTTTTTTTTCGCTGCCAAGAATCTGATGCAATGTCTCACCTGAATGCAAAAGTGTCCCCAAATTTTGTGCCCCAAGGAAATCCTCAAGTCACTTGTTGACAGCACATGACTGAAAGCCAGAAAAAATGCTTGGGACAAAGGTTTATCTAAGGTACATTAAGAAGGATATACATTGCAAAGGCAACAGAACCGCTCCACGCGCCACAGACAAGCCATCACAGGAGCCAATCAAAATCTTCCCCAGTTCTATTGTGAACGGAAACCTCTAGCTGCATCAAAAACCAGCGTAGACTTGTCCCTGCTGACATTTTCCCGCGGTTATACACACTCTTCCCGCGACAGACGAATCTTTATACCGGAACGATCAGGAGTTTTACACGACTTAGGACTGTCATCCCCTCAACACTCCCGAAAAACTACTTCGGGGAAATATTTTTTGCCGCTACAAGAACAACAAGAATCAGCGTAATCCTAACATATTAAGGGTTGGATATTAACTAAAGGGATTAAACTCGTACTTATCTATACTCGAGCCTGACATATAATACTTAAAAACAATGAGTTCTAAATGCAATGAGTTCTGTACTACGCTAACCACCTCATTGTGGGTCGTATAACGCCTCTCTCTCTATGTCCCAAACCCATCGAACTATCTCGTTTCCTGGCATTCCGGTTAGACAGCCTCGACGACATTGACTACCTTTACTTGCTCCTAAACAGGATGCAACGAACCGCTGCTAGAAAACCAACGACTATAATAATTACCATTTTTGTCGGCCCAGAAAAAGTCAGAAGATTAAAATAATATATTAAAAAAAAATATGATAAAATTGAATATAAAAAATTAAAATTCTTCCGTTAACTGTTAATTATCTAACTCTCTCCACAGACATCACCATCCTCACCAACGGCATCATATGGTTTTGAACAAAAGCCGCCAATACCACCACGCGGTGCGCCGCCACCAGTACCGAATCGTCAAAGCACCGAAAACCTTGTAGTATTGAGAAATCGCAATAACTCCAGCAATGGTGGGTATTTATTGAATTTTTTTTCTTTCAAAACTTTGCTGACTGAAAACATGGTCTCATTGCAGATTTAAATGAAGCCAATTACGGCGGCAGCACAGCCCGCCTACAATCATCCACCCTACCCGCAGGCATTTCTGGCATACAAAACGGTTCGAATGACGACAACGTTGTGCTTAAACGCAACAGTGAGGCTAGACAATCAGGTATAATATACCGTAATTTTTAAGAATTATATCCAAACATTGTACACGTCCACATACACCATATAGTAACAACAACAACTCAATTGTACCTTGTCGCTTATCGAAAATTATATATAAACGCCAAATTTTTTTTTTTTTAATAGTAACTTACATTTCTTGTATTTTTGTATTGTATTTTTGTAAAACAATTCATTCATACATTCATTCTTAATTGATCCACCCCAACAAAAAAAACGAACAAAAAAAATGCTAAAAAATTAGAAAACCCTCCACCTCTACCTGCCACCATGCCACCTGTGGGAAGTGTCCATGCGCAACATCCGCAAATACAACAACGCATAAATGCTTTAAATGCCGCCGCAATGCAACAACACCAACAGCATCAACATCAACATCATCAGCAACACCAACACCAACACCAGCAGCCAGACTTGCAACATCACTCTGGCGGCAGTTATAATATACGCACTCAACAACAACAACATGTGATGTCACGCACGCCGGTGGCAAGTGGACGCGCCGATGCTTCACGCAAATTCATTGAGATGGAGTCAAGCAACGTCGGCGGCGGTTTGGGGAATTCACCAACGGTCACGGCGGCCAAACGTACTGTGCATACAACAATTTCGACCAGTTCGAATTCGGGTGGCGGCAGTAATAGTAACACCACCAATGTCAACAATAACAACAACAATGGTAAACAACATTTGTCGTTTAGTACGAACAATATGGGGTCGAATTTAATGAACATGACAACAACAACAACTACCACTAGTAGTACAACAACGGCGACTAGTCGCACTGTGTGGCATTTCACTACCGATAACAACTCCATAAATAACCCGAGTTACATGGGCTTGAACAATAACGATGGAACCGGTTAGCAGTTACTCACCCATTTTTTTTTTTTTTTGTTCTAACACAATTCTTCACTTACACACGCTCTCACATACTCACTCTCTCTCTCTCTCTCTCTGTCTGGCTCACTATCTCTCTCACTACCTTTCTTTTGTTCGCTTACACCAATAACCGCATCTCAATTAGTAAATATGTATAAATGTTATTTGGTAGAGGTTATTTTTCTATAATTATTTTTCATTTTCTTTTTTAAATATTATATCTACTTTAAGTATATGTGTAATAACATTTTATTTATCTTCATTTTATTTTTACCAAATGCTTTACTTTTATTTTATTGTTGCATGATCGTTCGATGCTCAAAAGCATGAACTTAAGAATGAAAAATTATTTCCTATCGATATGAATACACACATTTCATATATTATATATACATATGTACAATTAGCGCTTTGTAAACGCTGGCGCGATTTTCGGCCGAGCTCCTGCTACAATTTTCGAAGTTCGTTCTTATGGTTTCTCAAACAAAAACCGCCTCCGGACGACCGGTAGACTTTTAAGAGAAGATTTATTTTCATGTCAAAAATATACTTTACTATTACAGCCAAAAAGACAGAAAATTTTTCAAAAAGAGAGCGGAATTTTGGCATTTCGCTGCCGGTCGAGGTGCGACCACAATAAAAAAAATTATAATTTTTTTTAATTAAATCAATATTCCATAATTTTGCATGTTGATCGAACCATTACTCGACCCTTGCTATCCGAATGTTACCACCCGGTTTCGCACCCAAACGTTTTAAGGCAGTAGTCACCTTTAGAACCCGTAAAAAAACCGTGTTTTCAGCAATTTTTTTTGTAAGGGATGGAAATTATTGCGGTAAACGACATTGTGAGACAATAATGTTTTATGTTTAACCTTCCAAAAAATAATTTTTAGTATCAAAAAATATTGAAATTTTCCAATGTTGTGATGAGTTTTCTGAAGCGGCTGCAATCTGAACTCGTGAAACGGTGCCGATCATGGAGGTCGTACAAGGCATCCGAAACAGTCAAAGCAATTATTTTTTCCATTGTTATGAGTGTCACTTCTATATGAACTAAAAAAATACCGAAGATGTTGGAAAATTCAAAATTGTAATCACTGAAGCCATTTTTGGCCGAGCTCCTCCTACATTTTGTGGTTTTGCGTCTTGATATTTATACTAAGCCGCCTCCGAACGGGTGATGGTTTTCTTATCAGGAGCTTTATTTCATGTCCGAAATACACTCAGAGGGGTTGAAATTCCCTGCCGAGGAGCTACCGCAATTAGAAAATTTAAATTAATTTTTTTTTTAATTAATTTTCTATAACATTTGGATGTTGGTCGCACTGGGATTTGAACCGAGCCTTCCGAATGCTAACCACTCGGCTACCGTGGTCGACAATTTTAACTCATAGAAAATAGAAAGACGTCATGCGACGCATTACCAATCGAAAATAAAAACGGAATTTTGACTTGCTTTTCTTAGGTGTGGCCATTGAAAAGATTTGTTGGCCACGCCAAAAAAAAGTTTGGACAGCACTGCCCTAGCTATTACATAAAGTATGTATGTATAATTAACTGTAATAATTTTTTTTTATTTTTTTTTTTCAAAACTCTGATTGTGTAAAAATTATATTGGTTATCAATTATGAATAATATATGTATGTATCTAATGTTATTTCTCGCATGCCTTGCACTTAAGGACCCGGTTTTAAGACGGCGAAATTAAATCGTTCATATCTACGCACTAGCCTTCAGAGTAGCTATGGTTTTGGTAAAGTTAATATTAATAATTTTTTTATGTTTATCATATATACAAATATATTTACATATATAATTTTTTTGTACTGCTTAGTCTAATTTTTACGCTACGCATGCCTTATTTGCATAAATTAGCTTGATTTTTCTTTAATTTTTTTCTTCTTTTCAATTTACTGCATGTTTTTGTTTTTGCTTATTTAATTTTCTCTAAACAACTCTAAATATGTATTTTTCTACATTCCTCTCCACTCACAGGCTGGGGCACGACACGTTTCGAAGGTAATCGGCCCGTTTCCCTGCAGCCCGACTCGATAAGTTTCTCGCGCGTATCAGCGGAAAGCTCCAGTGAGAGTGAAGCGCAATCCATCTCCTCCGTGTCGGGTGTAAAAGGTAGCAAGAGTAAAGAGGAACGGCGCAGCGGCATGTTTCGGATATTCGGACGTAAAGGTGGCGATAAGGAAAAAGAAAAGGATAAACGACGCTCCAGCCAGACACCACAGTAATTAGTTAGACGAAATTTTATAAAAGTTGCGAAAAAAACAATTTATTACCTACATATGTATGTAACGAACGAGCGTTGCGAGCGTAAATGTAACGAAACAAAAATATATATATTTGATGTAAACTTAACAATTTGAAGCATTACAAGCGTATGTACATACATATGTATGTGGCCGTCAAAATGTGTGTGTTAATACCGGCGAAATTTTGCAATAAAAAAAAAGCGCGAGAAGGAAAAACAATTTTGCCGGTATTGAGAAAGAGGAAATTTATTTATTTTATAATTTTAACTTTTATGAAAAAATATTAACGTTGTTATTTTATATATATATATATATGTATATATAAATACATATATACATACCTACTTACATATATGCATATTTTCTAATAATTAATAAACCCAATTAAGTCAACAATTTTTCTATGCTATTATTAAAAAAAAAACAAAAAAAAACACGAAAAAGTGCAAAAAAAACTAAGAAATAAAAAAAAAATTATATAAAATATATACATACATATACATATACATATATATTGTAGTTGCAAATAAGCTCATTGTCGTATTGTACACTTGTTTCGTACTTTGATTTCCCCCTCCCACTTCACCGCACTTTGCAAAAAAAAAATAATGCCTAATCCCGAATATTGAAAAATTAATAAAAACAAATTAATACAATAAATAAATTAAAAAATGTGTGTTAAGTATACAAATTACAATAAATTACATTATTTACATGTTTTGCTTGTAAAAGTTTAATTATTTCAAATAAGAAACTTAAATGTCGATTATTTATGTTTGAGAAAAAAAAATATACATATTTGAAAATTTACTGTAATTAAAACTCAAGAAGAATTTCATTTAAATTTTTTTATGTTTCGCACCAAAAGGTCAGAAAGTGCAGCCTAACCTAATCTAACTTCGAAGTAAGAACGCGCCTTTTAAGCTGTTTCCTGTAAGAGTTTCGTCTCGTCTTGCCTCAGCGTTTGAGTTTTGACAGATACTCGTATGTACATTCGAAGCATGGTGAAAAAACTAGGGTAATGGTGCTTAGACCAATGTGACGGGACTTAAATCTAGTACAATTCATCGTTCTATCGGCCAAAAATTCTTACGCAAACCCTTTCACACCAAAACTCCCAACTACAAGTCCATGCTTCCGCTCATATATAGCAGGATGGGAACGATGAGGAACATGTAGAGCTCGGTTTGGTTCGTCGGGAGAAACTAGACCTTTTAATTGATTACTCAGTTCAAAGTAGCAACTGTTGGCTGGATTTCCATGCGGACATTCTTGTTGGTATTAATAATGGTTGCAAGATAGACAAAGTTATCTACGACTTCAAAGTTATGACTGGGAGCCAAGTGCCGAACGCGATGACTGTTTGCGTGATGACAGGAGATATTTCGTCTTGCCCTCGTTCACTACCACTTTCGCATTCTTATCCAGTCTGTAGAAAGCAGAACTCACGGCGCGGTTATTGAGGTCGATAATCTCAATATCATTGGCGTAAGCCAGCCGCTTTACACTCTTATAGAAGATTATACCATCTCTATTCAACTCTTCAGCTCTTATGAAGTCAAACGATAAGGGATCACCCTGTCTGAAACTTCGTTTGGTATTGAACGGCTCGGAGAGGTTATTCCCGATTCTGACGGAGCTTTTTGCGTTTACATAGTCGTATAAGTATTGTGGGAATACCAAATTCAGACATAGCGGCGAAGCAGCAGCTTCTTTTCGGACTGTCGAAGGCTGCTTTAGAGTCGACGAAGTGGTGGTGTGTGTCGGTCGTGTCTGGAGATGTTTGAATAGCAATGTTTAAAGACCAACAAAGCGGCGGGGACTAATACCAACCAATCAAACTAATGTGTGGAGTTTGCACAACTGGACATTCGTCGTATTTTTTCCCCGCTAAATCAAGTCTCAATTCTCTGAAAGTTGCCGCAGCTAGAAGCTTCAACCTACTCCTCTAAAGTACAGAGTATTCGCTAGAGATGTGCCCTCAGGTTTCAGGCTACTCTTTTCGTCAATAGATGGTACGTCCAACCTCTCTGCTTGAGTATGTCCAAAAGAGGATGCTCTGTAAGAAGGACTGTAATTGCAGATATCTCTTTTCTTTTTAGCGCGGTAAGGTCTCGTGACCTCCTTTAATCTGATGTTATTTTTGGTTAGCTTCTTTAATAAATAAATTTCTTATAGTGAGCCTACAAGTACAGGACGGTATGCTCAAACTTTTCTATGATGTCGAAAATGGAAGGCTAGTGCAAGCTCGTCCGCAATCACATTACCCAATGTATTACAATATTCAGGCACTCATACTAAGTTCGAAGAGAACTGCTTAGCTATCATGTTAAGTGATTTGTTCTGGTGCTGGCAGGCACAGAGAAGCTTGCATTTGGTAGTCACTTAATTAGACAAAAGAGAATCTGCCGAAAGTGAAAATCGCCTTATAAGCTTGGACGATTCGTCGAAAAGAGTTTATGGCATATACTCGAAGGTATATCTTCGAAGTAATCAAATATATGCAAAATGAATAATGGTGAAACATTCCGAAATATGGTTGCTTATAATTCTAGATTTACGGACCTTGTGATAGATGGACAAATGGCTGCAGTGTTCTTGAGCTGCGTACGCTTGGAGGGCTTAACATCGATTTGGCTCACTAACTGGTAGCAGCAAAGAACCCTGGTCACACAAAAACAAACATGGTTCAGCGTCGAAAAACTACACAGAAAAACTCTGAGACGGTATTTCGAGCTCCCTAAGTGCAGCAGCAAACATGAGTATAGGCTTTACACAAGATGAAAGGAAGAGCTGTGACGATGAGTGATGATCCGATGTCCACAGTATATACTAAGTTAATGGATGGCGCACGTTTCTAGCCTACTGAATGGCAGTGAAAATCCTTCAATCGATGGCTATGGAATTCAAATTCCAATATTCGACTATAAAGAAGTCATAAAAAAAGAAAAAATGAGTCGGCAGTTATCACCTTTCGTCGATTTGAGAGCAGCTCTAAGCATCTATGGCTGAATTTGGTAACATTATACTGCTGAGAAAAGCTCACTCCGAGCCGTTCGATATTAAAAGAAGCTCCACATAAGTTGAGCCTTTATAGTATGACTTCTGCAATCTTCTATGCTGGTGTACGCCGATACTAATGTAATTGGTCGCAACAACCACACCTTCTCCAGATTGGATAAAGAAGGCGAAATGTCTTACAAGCCTCTTCACAATTGCCTGTCATAATCGGAAAAGTAAAGTCAAGACCATATTCGACATTCCCATCCAGCTGTATGGAAGGGCTTGACATTCTCTGCCGAGGGGCGACCGCAAGTAGGGAAATTATTTTTTTATAACATTGGATGTTGATCGAACCAGGAGTGGAAGCACATTCGCGGCAGGCATTCCAACCACTCGTCTATTGCGGGATATTGGCATAGTCTAGGGAATTAAGCTACTGTGGCAATGTTGGTTAGGTCTTGTTATCACAAGCTATGAGAGAGGAAGCAGACGAAGAGAGAGACCTCCAATCGGTTGAAAATATCAGATGGAGAACAGGCTGAGTGCAAATGGAGCGATGCTGTTAACTCGGCTACGAAGTCTCCCTCAATATAGAAGAAAAAGAGACCACAAAAATAGGCAGAAACCCTTAGCCAAGAATTAAGTTTGAATTTTAAATTTTAAGGATTAAGGATGAACTTGTTCGCTTGTCTCACCAATTGAATAAATTAAAATTAGTTACAATCTTTATTTTATATTATTTAGGAAACATATTTTTTTTTTCAAAGTGGGTCTACATAAAAGAACTGCAGTCCTCTATCAACCACAGACACTCATGCTGATACAAGAGAAAGTCCTCAGCGCGCCGACTATACACATGCTGCTCCGCACTACTCCACATAGTTTGATTGCCGCCGCATAGGTACTGCCGCATGGTGGGATCCATCAAAGCGACATTGTTACCAACAAAGACGGCCTGCCAGACACTTGGCGTGCCCGAGCTGTAGATGTTTTTGATGAAAGCTGGCACAGAGCTACCGTTATTTCGATTCTCCGACATTATATAACGCTGCCAATAGATGCTGCGCAATATATATTTGCTACCCAATAGACGCTCGACACTATACACCGAACGGTACTTATAGTTAGCGGAATAGGTGCACATCAAAGAGGTTTGTGGGCATTCACTTAAGTAGCCGAACGGACCGGTAACGTTACGTATACAAACTGCGCTGGCATTGTGTAAAGCTTCCATTGAGGTGGGCAAGAAAGGTAAGATGCGTATTAGGTGCTGCGGTTTCAGACGGGTCATGTCACAGAGGCTCACAAGTTTTTGGATCTTGTTGTAGAGTAGCGCATATAAATCCGGGTTTCGTTCGAGATATAGTAAATGTACGATTAGCTGTTGATTGGCATTCACACCCAAGCAGTTGAGCGCTTGTGTAATATTCTTTTTATCCTCCAGCGAAGCAGCAGCGTCGAAAGTTATATTTAAAACTTCCACGAAAATATCTTCTTCCAGCCGCTCCAGTTGCGTGAGTGTGCGTCGCACGAGCTGATAATTAGACTCATTCTTGCAGACATCACTTAAACCCTCAAAACTGGGCGGATGCAATGGCACTTCGAGTAGTTGTGCACAACGCGCCACTAGTTCTGTGCGTATCTCCAGCTCAAGTTCCAATAGTTGCTGTGAACTGGTCGCTACTAAGTTTGTCACATTTCTTACCGTCGCATAAAAATCCAATAGATTTGTTGGATCATATTGAAGTTTATTCGCTGTTAATTTACGCCACAACACTTTGTAGGCCGTATAATGCACGGTGGCGTTTTGTGTCTTAGTTGCGAGCTCTTTAAACAGATGAGAAGCGCTCCCCCAATCGTAATTGTCAACAGCTGCCCATAAGATGTTCTCCAACTCGCTGTGTGTAGCAACGTGTCCACTGGCAGTAGGAGCCCACGCCACAATAGCACTCTTAGCAACCGGTTCTCGCGGTTCACGACGACAAAGCAGCTCGTTGAACAATCTCACATGCATATCCAGCACTGGCTCTGAAGTGTTGCTCGTGACCGCATTTGGGTTTAATGCGAGTACCTGGGACAGGAGGATACTTTTTATTAATAAAGTCGGCAGGACCAACATTCTCCTTGCAATTATGCGTACGAAATGCCACTCTCGGGCAACCGGAAGAAGAATACTTTCGCGATTCCTCCGGCCAATGGCTTTAAATACTGCAGCCAGTTGTAAAAAATGGTGTTCTTATCAAGGGGAATAACGAACCATTGTGGGTTAACTGCATATTGACATACATACATACCCACTCGTACATATGCCATTAGAATTTAATTGCATGTTCCTTAAGAATATGCAAATATTTACGCTTAAATTGTACGAGTATTATTGCTAATTAAATTTACAATTCCAGTTACATACATACATACTCGTAGATATGTCTGTATGTAGTTGATTTATTGGTGGGCGGAAGAAAAAGTGAGTCACATTGCAGGAACTCAAATACGTTTTACGATGAGAAACTGTTTCGTTGGCCTAAATAATAAAACCGCTAACAAAAGCTAGGTTAAGTCCGACTTGGATTCGATTTGAGTAGCTAACCCACTCGCAGCTCACGCATTAAAATATTTAATGATAAATCCTTAGGAGCTCTACTCTGGCATAGACAAAATCAAAAGGAGTGCGGAATGCCTGCTACTATGGAAAGTGTTTAGATGAGGTTGCGCTCGGTTGAAGTCGCTGCTAGGCGTCAGCTTACTTAGGCCACCAGGCCATGTGTTTTTTTATAGAAGACCGCACATCAGATATCTGAAGATCGCAATTCCCAAAAAGCAGTTCGACTATAACAAATACGGTTTGGTATCTATCCCAAAGTAAGACGCATTTGAGAAAAGCTGGCGGCAAGGAATGATGTTTAAAAATTCTTAGAAAAGGTCCGGAGACTTATAGAAGGTTTCAATACCGAAGCTTATTCGTACAGAAACCAAAAAGGTAATCACGTAAGCGATACCTAGAGCAATCTGAGTTTATGGAGAGCTAAACTTAAGCAGCCTGCTAAATGACGGTGTACTCGAATCGCCAAACGAAGATAATGGAAAAGACTTTCCATCACCCATCCCCTCATCATAGGTTCGAATTTCGCTTGCTCGTTTTCGTTTAAAAAATAACAAGAATGAACGGAGCCGATGCTGAATGGCGGTGTACAGCTTGTCGACTGAGCTACTTAAATATTCCTGTAGGGAATCAACAAGGTGCATGCATCAGCTTATTTGGAACATAAATGTGCTCTGTCGAATGCATAAGAAGGGGGCCACCACGGCCTTTTCCAATTATATACGCCATGCGTGAGAAGAAAGTGGATAGATATATAGATGAGTAGCAAGGATATGCACCGCGACCTGTGGTGTATTGTGCGCTCCGATTCTTTCGCATAATTTCAAGCAGTCCTAACACCGTCTAAAACCAAACACGTTAGAAGTGTAAATATTTCAATGTGATTTTGCTCCGGCTGAATGACTTCTAGATGGATACTCAAAACCTTTTCATCGATTTTATGTCTGCCTTCGAGAGCCTAAGGTCGCTTGATATCACTACTAAACGTGTACAGCTGTAAACTGACGCTGGGCAATAACAGAAGCGGAGTCAGAATTGAGAAAGAACCCGCCGGGCTGTTGGGCACCGAACGAATTTTCAAATATGATGAGTCGTTATTGTGAGACTTTTTCAACTTAACGTTAAACAAGAGCTGCACCTTGAACGGATTAGGCAATTATAAGGTAAATTTCTCTCTCAACGAACAAATACTCTACAACGCGCATATCCATCCTACTATTTGGTGCAGAAGCGTGGACGGTGTCGACGTTTAATAAGTGGATCTTGGGAGTCTTCGGGAGAATGGCTTTTGCGAATGATTTTTGCTACTTTGCGCATTGGCAACGGCGGATAACGTCAACGAACTTAATCGTTTATTCTCACGAAGCATGATCAACCTGTACACCGAGCGCCGACCACTCACAGTTTACAGGCTCGCATGTCTGCGTACGTCTGCAAACGAGCAACTACATATGTAATGAAGTGATATCTATCTGTTCGGGAGTAGATCATATTTGACTACAGAAGTTCCTACCTTCTCTCCGTTGCTAGGACTTAAGCATACATACTGTAATGAGCTAAAAACTAGCGGTTCTATGTAAATCAGGTTTGTTGAATTCTATGAAACCCATTATGTCTAGATATAAGCCTAACCGGTGCATTACCTATACCAGCGAAGACCTTTTGCTCTTTCGACAGCATACCACCGTTTGATTCGGTCAGCTATTTCCGTGAGTTTGGACTAAAAAGAAAGGATAAGTATGTCATGATCAAGTCTGGATAGGTACCCGTTTAGTTTACTAAAATATTAAGACCTTAATTGGGACTGGAATACTCGTGAAGAAGCTAACATTCAACGACTGCAAAGAGGTGGCGGTGACTGAATTGCGATAATGCCATTTACGGGAAGAGAGTTCAGAAAAGTAACTCTCTGCAAATGGCCTTAAGACGACTGTCGCGTGATTTAGTTCTGACAGGTGGCATACACTCCATGTAGTCATGTATTTTGTTTCTAAAATTACTTGTTTTTGATGTAGTAGCGGCTACTTTAACCCCGCTTATGGACAGATTTAAAACCTGTTGACCTAAACGGGGTTAAGTCGCCGAAGGGGTGACAGCCCTTGACCGGATAAAATCCTGTCTTGAGAATAGCCTAATAAGACCTGAGTCTCAACGGTGGCATTTCAACAGATACTGCGACCTCTTAACTAAGAGCATAGAAATCACGATTAAAGATGGTGTAGATGAGCAAAAGGAGGTTTCTCATCACAGCCCTTAAGGCGAGCAAGTGCTGAAGGATTCAGGTGAAATTTAAGCTCGCTAGACTACAAAATTGTTGATCGTAATTTCATATGGGCAATCTATAATTTCGATAATGACAAATAAGTCCAACTCAAAAAGAGATGATTGGTGCAGTACACAAAGGTGTATCACACCAACTGGCATGGGGGGGCGTTTACTTAAATATCAATCACTATTCAGTTTAAAATTCAGCAATTGTATTTGGCAACTCGTTCCCAACGCAATTAAAATAAAACAGAATCAGGCCTGTTGGTTACATCGATAAATTGTGCCTGGAAAGCCACGCCTATGAGAGGCGACTGTAATCCAAATGTTCCCTCTAGAGTTGGGACCGTAACAACGCGAATTTTTATCCGACTGACTGACACTGGGCAATATTCTCCGGAAACCAAATTGGGGAATACAACAACAACAACTAAAATAATTTTTTTAATCTCATTCCATATAGATACTTTCCTGCATTTATTGAGGCACGTTGTCATATTTCTCAAAAATATTTATAAAATATTGGAAAACAAAAAACACATGTACATATAAAACGCACAAATTACAAGTGCTTAATTGATGATTCGTTATTATATCGTTTGAATTTTTATCCATTCAAATTAATTATTTGGGTGCTAGCTCGGTGTAAAGTCCCAGGGTATACAGACGATACCGTCTGCCAATACAGAATAATAATTGGTCACATGCAAATTCAGGTCCTTGAATTGCTGATCATTATATTTTACTAATTTCGTCATTGTTTCAATCATTTTGTCTGGTGTTACAGAATCGTCTTTCGTTAAACTCTGTAAACGTAATTGTTGTATGCATTTTGCGGTTAATTGTTGCTCAACCATCTTTTGTGTTTGATATTTTTCAGTGCGCTCCTTTGCCAAATTCAAATTTGTGGTAATAAAATCGATTAACATGAAGCCCGGGCAAGTTGCTGGTGCAATTAATTGACCTGTGGGATTCACCATCAGTGGACCAGCCTCTGATTCGATGACAATTTCATAATCACTCAATGTGGCAGGCCATGCCTTTGGATATTTATTTACAGTTAGATAATCGCCAAGTGTTGTCGTCACCTTATTTAAATGTGCCGCATATTCGCGTGCTTGTTGCTTTGGCATAAATTTCCTACGTCCAATTTTGATATTACGCAAAACCTGCGATAACGTGTTCTCGTAAAGTGGTATACGCTTTAGAAACTCGTCGTGTTGTGGAATGTTCTTAATGAAATCGATCCAACTTGTTAACACATCGCCGGTGAACAACATAATATGTCCTTCTAAGCTAACGCCGGTAAAAGGTGCAAAAACTAATATGCGATTTTTCAATGCACCCATTGCATCGACATGGAGGTCTGTCATACGCTCTAACGATTTTAAACAACCACGGAAGTGTTCATAATTCCAGCCACAATCATAGCGTATATCTTTTAGATACAAACGTTTCGTTACGGCTTGTTGTAGCTTTTTCACCTCCTCCTTTAGGTCATCCAACTCTGCGCTACGCTCCTTTGCTAATTGAGCATTTTTCTTCAACCAAGATTCTAATGTTTTCTTCTCCTCTTCTTTTGTCTACAGGTTGTGTAAATAAGACAAGTCTTAGAGTAATTTTTTATGGCCGAAATCTCGTTATACTTACATTATAAAAAGCATTTTCAAACCCAGAAAATTGCGAGCCATAATTAAAATCGCCACCACCCTTGAATGGGCTTCCGGGCTGTGAAAAACCAGCTGCGGCTGCGGTTGCGCTTGGCATGACTGTTGCTGGCATCGTTTTAATTGTCTTAACATAATCAGTTGGAAGATTGCATAATTCTAATAAACGTTGTACCACTAATTTCGGATCTTTCGTATTGCGATCCAATGTTACCTTGATCAGTTTGAAGGTGTCACGCGTTGCTGCATTACCATCTCGTATATAAAACTGTAATATTTTAGTTTCATATAATGTGTGATATTTACGCTCACACAACAATTCCATATGTGCACTCAACTGTTTCAGTGAATTCTCATTTGTATTCCGTTGTAATGGGTGCTGACCAAATAAGTCTGGATGTACGGCGAAATAGAACGGTCGCAAAGCGTTTGTCAATTCGGTGCTTATACATCTCCAAAAAATGTTGGACCATGGTGATTGTTGGAATTGGTGCTGGTTTTTAACTAAAACTGAATTCAAACGAAACAACATTTTTGCCAACTATGTAGTTACATAAGTTTGTGTCAACCAGTCGTGAAATAAAATTTGTATGCCACACTCTAATTAGTTTAAGCAATCATTTGTTGGGATTTATAGTGTTATATATAAAGAGAGATAATTTTGACACTATATTTAAACAAATTATCTTTTTTGTAATTCCAAATTTGGATGAAAGAAAATAAAACTAACAAAAAACGCTGTCACAAACAAAACAGAAAACAGCTGATATAACAAAACATATGATTAGTTATAAAGAGGATTGCCAGGTATAGCAGTTGGAAATCTTTTGAAGAAAATCTCAATTTAGAGTGTTATCGGCAAGTTACAGGGAGGAAAAGGGGAAAGCAAAAATGACGTAGCTCGCCAAACCATTTTGGAGAATGATTTTTCCCTCACAACAACAGTAACAAATGAAACAAATTTTTATTAATTTAGAATTTACTTAATAATAATCTAGTAACCGGCAGGCGCGGTAGCCGAGTGGTTAACTCTGCGTACTGCCATTCGGTTTTAAATACTGTTGTACTTACATCCAAAAAGTTAAAGAAAATTAATTTAAATAAAAAACTAAGCTAAATTTTCTAACTTTTAGTTTTGATAATATGAGCATTTTAAAAATTAGGAGATCCCCCCCTTTTCACACCCTGGCGCCCATAATAATCATTTGCACAAGAAATGTTACATACTATTAAACTCGTTGAAAAGGGGCGAACCAACGCCTAGTAATTAATTTTTACCGGTGCGAGGAGTCGGTATTCTAAATGCGTGGATGATCGCTTTATATAAAAGTCATCATCATTTTTAAGGGTTAATTAAGCATTTTTCGCTTTAACTAAAGCGAATTACTACAGCTGTTTGATTTGTTGTCATTTTACCTATCAGATACGGTTTTTTTTCAATTATTTTACATAGGTTATAAACAATAGCTACAAATAATTATTTTATTATGTCAAACAATATTAAAGGTAAATGTAGTCATTCAATATAAAATACCCAATTTTCATACATGTTTGTTTTGTCCAGGCACTTGCGAGCAATTTTGTCCGGAAGCTGAATCCAAACTGTAAGCACAACTAATAAATACCAATAAATATTATACCATTAGAAAATCTTTTTTTTCTAAATTTTCAGACGTATTAAAGAAAAACTTCTACATTATTATGAACTAAAAAACGGCGAAAGGACCGTACCAGGATTACTAGTAAAGGCATTCGCACGTTCTGCAGCAGGTGTGAAGGCGCCAAGAACAAAGGATTTGCGTACAGAAAGATGTTTACAAAAAACAGTGGAGTACTTATTAAAAGAGTAGGTTCACCACTTGAAGAAAGAAAGAAACAGAAACTTTAAAGAATATTATTTTCAGTATCGTTTTAGACAAACGGCGGCCGTACAATTTTGTATATGATTTCGTTTTTGATCGCTTACGGGCCGTCCGACAGGAGGTGGTCATGCAACGTTACGATGAGAAGCAGACTTTAAAATTACTAGAACCGATGGTGATGTTTCTGGCTTACAGTCGCTATAGGTACAAATACCAACGTTCATTCGCTTAAATAAAAAAGCTTTCTAAATAAATTTGTTATACATATTTTCAGGCTTTGTGAAGAGCAAATAGACAACTTCGATCCGAAAATTTGCAATCAGCACTTGCAAGAATGCCTAAAGCGGGCATTGTGTTGCTACGATGAAATCGATGTGCAAAGTCTCAATTTAAATGAATTAAACAGGCGCAGTTTTCTTGAAGCAATTTACCTACTTTTCAATTTAGGAACATCAGAGGCGTTAAATCGTGCATTAGGTTTACCAACTGAAGTGAGGTAAATCCTTTTAGACTTTATTAAATAGAATTTGATAAAATGAAATTTAATTACAAACTTAGCAAAAGTGAGGTATTTGCTTCAGCTTTTCAAATCGCCATACACTATCATCAAGGAAACTTTTATCGCGTGCTCGTAGGTATTCAAAAACTACCACATATTTTAAGCGCTATGGCTTCTTTGAATCTACAGAAACTAAGAAGGTGATTTGTGGGTAATGAGTACAAAGTACAGTTCAAAAATTTTAATCAGTAATTATTTGCAGTAAGGTTTATTTGGTGTTCGCGCATGCATATAATAGTACACAACTGATGGTTCCGACCAGCTTTCTAAGCAAATTGTTATTACATGAAGAAGTTGCTGATTTGCTAGCTGATTGCAAATATTACAATATAAAAATATGTGATGATAAGAAAAACATACAATTTATGAAATCTGATTTCAACACAAATATCGTGGTAATGAAAGAGAAACATGAATGTTTTGTTGACAAAAAGTTTGAGAAAGTATATCTGCCCGAAATTTTGCTTTTAAAACGTTTATAATATTTTTAATGTAAATATATTATACATAAATTGTGCATAAATATTAGGAAAATAAATAGATGTTAAGTATTTAAAAGAATTTTTTAAGATTATTGAATATATAAACGTGTTCCATTGTACATTTCTTGTATTTTTTTTTACAAAAACATACTCTTTATCGGACACTCGTAAAATATTACTCACGTGTTGATATATTTACATATATATTAAACACTGTTCCTATTAAAAGCATTATTGCATATTATTTTTTTTATTAAATGGGTCATTCAAAGTTGTTTTCTTTTTGACATTGTTATATATAATTAATACTTCTTTATTTTTGAATTTTTGGGAAATGTGAAAGTTATTTGCTTAAACTAAAGTACATAAGTATGTTTATTTTACGTATGGACAATAATAATAAGTATTCTTCTGAAAAGAGTTTTTTCTTTACATCCATTACATGACTTTGTTCCTTCGTTTGCACTCATGCTTGATTAATTTTAAACGAAATAGCCTACCAGTTATGTACATAAATGTTGCAGATAGAAATACAAAATCGATATAGAATTACTAGTTGAAGGCTTACTTGGTGTATCTTAGTAGTATATGAATGTATGATGGTGCTGATATCTCGCACAACTTTCTATGATAGCAGTTCCTACCATTAATTATATCTTGTTCATTTTATTACTTAAATTATGATTGCGCAGTGATTTCTGTACCCGCTCTAATGCATTTACTATGACTACAATTCGCATTAAATTTCCAACTGTGCGTGACTACATGTAGTTGCTACAAAATATATATGTACTTATTTGGTTATGCTATTTTGGCAGCCTGCTGCTCTATACTATCGGAAATGGGTGTAATGCCAAGTATACTTCCCGTAAAAGATAATAGCACCGAATAATTAAAATACCAGAAGAGGCAAAAGAGAACCGCAAATATCACATCTTAAAAAATACAAATTTTTAAATTGATGGTTTTATTGGTGGTAAACCAAATGTAGCAAAGGGATCAACTTACGAATGGTAACGCGTTCCCATTTTTCAACCATATACAGCTCTGTAACCATAAGATATCGGAACCACCAGTAGTTGCAGAAATCAATTATGTTTTGCAGCATTTTAAACGTGTTCTTTAGTACAGAATGTGAATCACTGGGATTTTGAAGGAAATATTACTAGTGCAATTAATTCTACAGTGATAACACGAAACTTATGACAAAACTTTGCCCATTTCTAGCGGCGAATATATCTTGTGTTGCCAGAGCGAATGTAAATACCTTTAAATAAAAGAATAAAGAATCTGGAAGCTACGAATGACGATTGTCTTAAATTTCTTCAAATAAATGAATTAAGAAGAAGAATCATTACATTTTCTATCCAAATATTTGCTAGATATACAGCTAAACAAAAAAATCATATAACAAGGCATTTGAATGTTCATAATTTATAACTTTCATAAACTCAACTTTAAACAGGTGCTTTCAAATTCCATATGCTTAAATTATAATTTATTCAACTCTGATTAAATCATTCATGATCCAATCCTTCATTCTTATTCAAACAATCAAGTTATGGACGAAGAAAAAATTACGTGCACTGTGAAAAAAAAAACTGTAGCACATTACAAAGTTGCTAGCAACCCTGTTACGGCGAATTAGAAAATGTCAAAATTCTGATTGAAATTAGTAGTCACTACTAGACGCAAATTTGCCGAAAAAAGTTACTGTTTTCCGTGCATCTGTTAATAAAATCACAGAAAACAATGGCTAGTGAACAAGCTAAGGAAGCCAAATTGAACGAGAAGATTATTGGGGAGTTCCAACAGCTTAGAAATGAACAACGAAATCTTGTAAACAATTTGAATACGTTGGAGATGGATCTGAAAGAACACAAGTATGTGCTGGTACCTAACCTCAAATAACATATCTATTGACTTTTAAGGCATTTTCAAAGATCTATAGTTAGATTCTCTATTTTCATTCTAGAACTGTGATAGAAACACTTAAAACTGTCGATCCTGAACGAAAATGCTTTCGTCTCATTGGTGGCGTGCTGGCAGAACGCACTGTTAAGGAGGTGCTACCACAGTTGATTGAAAACAAAGATTTCATCGAGAAAACCATTACACGCGTAAACGAAGACCTCACCGCCAAAGGACAACAGATAAACAAATTTAAAGAGGAGCATAATATAAAGATTCGTGGCGAACAAATGTCTAATGAAACACCAAAAAGTGAAGAGGGAGAAAAAAAATCGGAAAACCGAAATGTTTTGGTGTCAAATTGAAGTTGTTTTCTCCTTTTTGTGAATATGAATGTGATGTAGTGGGGACATAGCAGTATTGCTGTCTGTGCCCGTATAGCTCTTCTCGTTCATGTTTCTGAAATAAGTGCGTGGAAATTCTCAATAATCAAAGATAACAATATTACATTTAGTTTCTGTAATAAGACCAACTTTCTCATTAAATCGAAAAGTGTTTCAATTCTGTTGTTTGGGATTGACATTAAAACTTGCTTCCATAATAATTTCGAAAGATGGGCGGGAAGAAGTCAAAATATGCATTAATAAAAATTGTATATGTATATTTAATTAAAATATTTTTTTAAAAACACAAAATGGCTTGTAATAATATACAAAAATATAATGGATATTTTCCTAACATTTAAAATATTTAATTTGCTAAGGGTCCAATAAAGAACAAAACAAAACTAAAATAAACTCACTATTCTTATTCTGATAATTTTCACGGATGAAAGTTGATTTTGCTTTACTCCTATGTTATATTTGATTTCTGACATCTCGAAACTCTTTCTTGTGCGAATAAGAGTCGTTGCGTTAATAAAGTTTCAGTTTTATTAAAAAAAATATTTATTTTCAACAATTTATCTCACTGTGCGTTTATACATATTTCTTATAATCTAACTAATAACATAGATATGCATGTAAAAATTCATCTACCCTAAAACTAATCAACTTTATTTTGATTGCGTTCAAAATTCCGTTTACCCCCCGTCTTGTTCCAAAGCTTTATATCCGTTATAGTTATGTCATGCGAAACGGCTTTACACATATCATAGACGGTAAGTGCCGCCAATGTAACAGCAGTAAGAGCTTCCATTTCTACACCCGTTTGACCTGTACACTGTACTCGCCCACATATATCCACGCTATACATTTCCATAACTAATTTCGCTTCAACTTTCACGGATGATAAAGTAATATTGTGACAAAGCGGTATCAGTTCCGATGTTCTCTTAGCACCCATTATACCAGCCAATTGTGCAACACTAAGGACATCACCTTTTTTCATATTATTTGTATGTATGAGTTTTGTGATTTTCGGACCAACCAAAACGGTGGCACGTGCTTCAGCAAAACGCTTCGTAGTTTCCTTCACCGACACATCTACCATTTGAGCCTTTCCGGTTGCATCAACATGTGTTAAATTTGTACTATTGTTGCCACAATCTCCATCTGTATTTTTTGTACAAAAACTGCGTATTTGTTTAAAATTATATTTTGGAAATTGACTGCTAATTAGATTAGTATCAAAAGTGTATGGTAATGAAAAGTCTTTGCTGATTTTGGGGTAATTAATCCGTTGTTCTCTCCGTGATTCAAAAATTTCACTCTTTTTGTGATGTAATCGTGTGACGGTATTATTATGAATGTTAATGTCTACAAGAAAAAGAATATAAAAGGCATATATGTATGTATGTATATATTAAACCTGTAAATTTATGCACGTATATACATATGTATGTATGAATATGAATATTTCTATAAAAAAAATATAAATATAAAAGATTTCTCACTCTAATAGATGAAAAAAATTGCGAGATAAATACGGTTTATTTCGAAAATCGGTTTCTTATTTGTCACCACACGCTTTAAGCTTTTCTATATGCAGAAATGCGTACGCTTGATTTTTTAAGCTTTTAATTTTTTATTTCCTTTTTAAAAAACAAAAATTCGTATACAAAAGATTTTTAAAATATATTATTTTTATATGCATACATATATATGTATATGCATGTACATACATATATAAATACATTTGTGGTATATATACGCTTTGTATCTAATGTTATGTAGGTATTGTATATGTAAATGCAAAAACTTAATAAAGTTTAATTTTAATTTTTATATTTAGAAAAAGTAAAATTTTACAAGCCTTAATAAACTTGTTTAATACCCATATTTTATTCATATTTTATTCATATATATACATATTATATATGCATACATATACGTATATGTATATTTTTAAATACACATTTACGGTGGCTAATTTTATTTCATACCAACCTTTCTTCGCTTTCTTAAGCCATTGTCTACGGTTTATCAGTTTATTTATGTTGTTGTTGTTGATACGATACAAAACTATCCACCGATTAGTATCATTGGACGGTTTTCCATTTGAGACAAATTCAACATGCCTGCAATTATGGATACCAAAATGGATTAATCATCCAATGATTATGAAAGTTTTTATGTACATATATGTATATGCAAAGATGGTGATGTATTGGTAATATATTTAAAAAAAGTTTTATTTTGAACATAGACTATATGTTCATATTACTAAATCATAATTTTATATTATGTACAATATTTGGAAAATAGCTCGTTGCAGGAATACATACATGCATGTACATGTGTCTATGTATATACAGTAAGTATAAAATTAAATATAATTGTTTTTTATATTCGCTTAATTAAATTTATTCTATTCGCTGACTCTACGTTGATATGTATAGGTATATACACATGTATGTATGTATGTATAAATTTAAAATATCAATTATAATTTTCCTTACCCGCATGCTGTTTCTTCTTTCGACTCACTGCCGCACCAATCAATGCTATCAAATCATCTTCGGAACATTCGCTGCGTATAGCGTCACGTAGTGAAAACTCTTTATTACCAAAAAGACAAACTTTTATATTTCCATCGGCGGTTAGTCGTAAACGATTACAAGTGCCGCAAAAATGTTCGGTCATCGATGTTATAAAACCCACTTGACCCTTATAGCCAGGTACACCATACGCCTTGGAGGTATCATTTGGTCCATTGGGTAATGCTTTGAAGTCGGGCCATCTTTTTTGTATAATCTCTACGGATTCCCTGTATTTATTTCAAAAGAGTGTTATAAAAGAAATTTATTAAAAAAAAAATATATATATATATGTATATATTTAATAATTAAAATAGCATACATATTTGTACATATGTATGTATGCGATAAAATTATATTTAAAAGCATTTTTTTAGTGAAGTTTTCATTCGCTTATTTATCAAACAATAGATTTTGTAATTTTCAAATAATAAATTTCTTATTATTTCGTTATGGAATTTTTTCGAATAACCCACTTCGCTGAAAAAAAAAGTTTTCCACTCATTGACCTAGGCAAAAATGTATATTCTAAATAAGTATGACTCTTTTGGTATAAACTGATAGCAAGCCTACTTCCCGCGGCCCGTTAATTTAGGCAAAAATCCACCTCTTTATCAAATTTTATACCTACAACAAACGCTGGTCAGGCCGGCTTACCAACAGACACTAAACGCCATTCACCGAGAGTCCACCAACACCTGCCTGAACTCTCTTCCGGTGACTGGCGTACGACCTATTGCAGACATAGCACTCGAGACTCCCGCGTCATACTGGCCCAAATTAGATCTGGATATCTACTAGAGATTAAACTCCTACCTATCCAGATTAGACCCCGGCATACATAATGTACGTCCTGCTTGCAATCAGTCGTCGTACGACACACACCACCTCTTTGCATGCGCTTTAAAACTGACCTATCTAACCTCTCATTAGATGACCTCAATGAATTAGAATAACTGCTACAACAACAACATTTAAACCACTCGTTAAAAAAAACGGATTTTTTGTAATAAATCTATCCAAGGTAAACTTTCCAGAAAATCCTTTGTTATTGGCTGCTAAGTCAAGCTTTAGGTCTCTACGAACAGTGGCTTTAGCTGTGAGTTGATCCGTCAGCCATTCCGGACGAGGTTTCGGCAACATGGAATTTCAAAAGGTACTAATAAGTTTTTATTAAGTTTTTAGGTTGATGTTTATGACTTATAAACTCATAAAAAAATAAATAAAATTTTTTCAAGCAAAGAACTTTCTTTGTCTAAATTTCAAGAAAATCACACCATAAATATGATTTTTTTTTTAGATCGATCGGTGCCGAAAATACAAAAAGGTTTTATATGTTCCACTTATTAAACAAAACCTGACCATCGAATCGCTTCACAGCCCAGTTTCTGGAAGAAAAATTATTCCCGACATCAATTTCCGCAAAAAAACTACCTCCGTATGAAATTTCATATCAATCGAAGCCAAAAAACATGATTTCTTTAATTAGATTGATGCATAAGAAAAAATGTTCGCCATATAACTTTAGGCCCAAAGCTACCGACAGCTGTACCAAATTGTATATAAATCCAACGTTGTATAAAAATTTTACGTTTAGATCGGTCCCAAATCCACTAGCCGGAAGAAAAACTGTTTTCAATGTCAATTTAGGCAATACAAAATTTTATAAAATCCATGAAAAGCGAACAATTTAAAAAATTTAATCGAATAGATCGGACCCAGGTCCACGTACCGTAAAATACTTTCTTGTCGCATGAGAGCACACCTTTAAAATTTCAGTTCCCTGCAATCAGTGGCTTAAGCTGTAGGTTAAACAAACAGTCATTCTGTGCAAAGCCTTTTCAGTACATACATGCATACATACATACATGTGTACATATATATGCAGCCATGGTCATGCAAATAGCACAACTTTCCTTCCGATACATAATAATGAAGCAAAGGGATATCTGTGCTTAAAATATGAAAATATTGTAACGATGTGTTCACTCAGTTATTATTTAACACAACCTTTATAAAAAAAACTTAATAATAATTCAATGAAAGTTTAAAATAATTGAAAGTTTGAGGTTCCTAATGAAATTATCTGGTCACGCAAATAGCACATTTTGCAAAACTTGTAATTTTAAGTTCAAATATGCCAGATCATATAGCATTTTTAGTCTTAAGTAGGTCTTATCTGTTAGTATTTTGTAGTATATTCACGATTTTTAATAACAGCTTCACATCTGCGTCCCATGCTCCCAACAAGTTTCTCATATTTTTCTTTTGGTATGGAGTACCACTATCCCTTGACGTCCTCCCACAAATCATCGAATTTTTTGCAGATATTTTTGTTTTAACATCGTTCTATAAATTTTCTATTGGGTTTAGGTCTGGGCTTTGGGCAGGCTAATCCAAAACACGAAAATTTTCCTTTTTAAGCCAATTTTATGTGACTTTCGCGATATGCTCAGGATCATTATCCTGCATAAAATTGCAATTTTGGTGGCATGGAGTCAAATACGAATGATTCCATTTAATTCTTTAAGATGTCCAGATACTGATATTTGTCCATTTTTCCATTTATTCGCACAATTGGTCCTACGCCATGTCAGGAAAATGCTCCCAAAATCATGATATTACCACCTGCATGTTTTATGGTCTTTTTGATGTACCTAGGATTCAAATCTTGACCTCTTTGGCGAAATGTGGTTTTCCCATCCGGTTCCATTCTATTTATTTTAGTTTCATCGGTCCATAACATATTATTCCAAAATCCTATCGCCCGGTTCTCAGGCGTCTTAGCAAACTTTAACCGTTTTTCTATATGCCGTTTTGACAGGAGTGGTTTTTTGCGGGTATTACGTCCAAAGAGCTGGGTCTTATTTAAACGCCTTCCGACAAGGCTTCTTCATATAGTCAAATCGAATTCTTCGTTTATTTTCAGCATTTTTTGCCTAGAAAATTTAAAAGGATCTAGCTTCTTTTTTCGTATTTTGGCTCTGTCTTCAAAAATCGTTGTCTTGCACGGAGCAGGTGCCTTGGATTTGTTTTGAGATAGATAATCTTCACTCTCTTGAACCAGTTTAAAGACATTATGTACTATTTTACGGGAATAATTCCAGAAAACTGCAATTTCTGAGACACTTTTTCCTGTCTTAGCCATGTTATGAATAATGATTCTTTTTTAAGGAGAACAGTGCTTACCGCAACCCATTTTAATTCAATCTGCGTAAATTTTGATAGAACTGAACTTTAAATGTATTTAAATTTCACTTAAAATAAATAAAAAGATACTTTCAAGATCCAACCGATGACTGTGCTATTTGCCTGACCACCACTAACTAATAGCACGATCAGATAAATCGGCGAAAAAAATATGATTGATAGGATAACGGGAATGTACGAAACGCACTGTAAACTAGATAACATAAGTAACTATTATATATTTTTTTATTCAAAAAAATACCGTTATGTTCCTCAGAAGAGTTACATTTTCTCGTATGATACACTTTGTGATATTTGCGTGACCATCCCTGTATACATATATGTTTGCATATATGCAGGTGTATACATAAATTCAATACTCACTTAAACGAAATCAAACGATCTGTTTGCCATTTATTGCCTGTAAATGGCATATACTCAATAAAACGCACATCCACATCGCGATCTCTCGTAAATTCGACAAAATCACAAATTTCATCCTCATTGAAATTGCGCATGAGTACACAATTCAGTTTCGGTTTATAACCCAATTGTATGGCCAAATCAATGCCGGCTATTACACGTTCCCAACCCTTACGTCGTGTGATTTCTTCGAAACGTTCCGGACGCAATGTATCCAAGCTAATATTCACCGCATCCAGACCGGCACGTTGCATGGGCACCAACAGACGAGTTAAGACCAAACCATTTGTGGTAATACCAATATTTTCGAGTTTTGGTATGGATTTAATTTTGGCTGTTGGAGAGTGTACAGAAGTCATTAATACTTATGTATGTATATATGTATGTTTGTATGTGGTAAGTACTAACCTATAATATTTACTATATCACGACGCACCGTTGGCTCACCGCCTGTTAAGCGAATTTTTCGCACACCCTGCTCAACGAATATACGCGCTAAATAGAGTATCTCTTCGGTTGTTAGAAGATTGGATTTCGATTGTAGTTGTACACCTTCCGCAGGCATGCAGTATTGACCTGAAAAAAGTTTATCAAGTATAAGTATTGGAATTAGTTTTTCAATAGGATCTTGAAATACATAAGTGGTGATATACATACATACATACATACATACACAAGTGCATGTACAACTGTGTGCGTAATAATAGCAGTGGTTTTATTTGAAATTTAAGTAATGATTTTCTTACAATTCAAAAATATTTGATATATTGTAGTTCAGCGAATCAAGAAGCAGGTCATGTGGTCCGGATGGATGCGAATACTCCAGCTTTGAAAGTTTTCGATGCAGTACCCGCCGGTGAAACCAGAGGAAGAGGAAGACCTCCACTCCGTTGGAAAGACCATGTAGGGAAAGACCTAGCTCTACTTGGTATTTCGAATTGGCGCCAAACATCAAAAAAAAAAAAATCGCATAAGCGGTGTCTTCGCCAGTAAGGTAAGTAAATAAATAATATTTGTAATTTAAATTTGTCAATGCCAGAATGTAAGCCCGAATGCCCGAAAGTTGACACCAATTCGTGAAAGAATAGGACGCAAGCAGCTCTTTCTGACTGAATTGAGCAAAGTTGTAGCTGTGTCTCGAGAAAAGCCATTTTATACCTCAAACAAAGATTACACATGAACTTAATCTTGCGGTGGACTCGTCCACAATTAGAAAAAAGTCGATAGTAGCCGTACTTTTTTGTCAGGATTCCAATACGAGTGCCATTATTTCATCACCGACATGTGCAGATCAGAATTAAATTTGCTAAAGAACCCAAGCATGGACTGGTCAATGAAAATGCCGCAATATTTTATGGTCCGACGAAACAAAAATTTTGTTTTTTTTTGGTTCTAAGGGATGTCGACAATATGTGCGAAGGTCAGAAAATACTTCATTTCACTCCAGATACGTTTACCGGACTCTAAAACATGGCGGTGCAAAATCAATGTGTTGGGGTGCTTCTCTTACTTTGGTGCAAGCCTGATATATTTTACAAAGAAGAACATGTATGCCAAATTGTATGTCCAAATAATGGAGTCGACTATGCTATCAACAAGACAACGCCCATCAGCATACCAGCAACTTGGCAAAAAGTTGGTTTGTTTCAAATGGGGATGAGCTCATTGTCTGGCCGGCTGAGTCTACTGACCTTAATACTATTGAGAATCTTACAACAGATGAAAAGGAAGAGGTAGGGAAAAAGAATCTATCAAATATGAAAAATATGTGTACGGTAGTGAGGAATGCATGGAAGACTATTCCTCCAGAGAGAAGTAGGTTCATTTTTGAATAGAATATCTTACTAATATTTAAAAATGTATAAATTCACGGAAATAATTCTTCCAGCATACAAAATTAATTTAAATTTTCAAGTTTGTCCTGAATTCGTACACACAACACGGCTATTTTACTGGCATTGCTATTTTAAGGGGCACACCTAGTGTGAAATTTCAAAAAAAAAATCGATCTTTTTTCAAAATTTCGGTAGATTACAGCTTTAAAAATAACATATAACACATTAAACATATTTATATTTCAAATCGATATCTCAAATAGTTTCTGAGTTATAGCAATTTAAAGAGCAGTCGCTCGGCAGCTAGAGAGTCTCATTAGCTACGAGTGAAAACGATCATTTTATCTTCAAACGCGTTTTTCTCGAAACAGCATTTTCCGACTTTGCTGCTGTGATTACTCAAAAACGAATGATGCGATCACTATAGAATTTTTTTTACATGTTCTATATATAGTTCTCCCTACAATGACCTTTTAATTTTTGATCTGATCAAAACATCGAATTTTGGCAGGCCAAAAACAACCAAAATTTTGGGTAAAATTCGACTACTTTTTTTTTTGAAACGCTGCCATATGGTCAATTTTTGATTTTTTTATCGTAGGTCATTGTACAGACAATACATACATACAGAGAACTTTTTCTTTTAGATTTCATCCACGGAGAAGGCCGGAATCACTGCAGCAGTGAAGGACCTTTTTTTCGCGCCGTTGGAGAGCGACCGTAAATTAAAAAATATTTAATTTTTTCTTCAAAAATTTCACTGTATATTCTTAAAGCATGTATGTATATAATATATTTGAAATAATTGATAAAGTATTTTTTTTTATTAAAAAAAAAAGTCCCAAAAATCACCGTTTTTCAGGCCATTACACTAGGTGTGCCCCTTAAGTCACAGTAAAATAGTACCGCGTAGCAAAAAAAGTTATGGGATTTCATGAATGTGGTAACTACAATACATCAGAAATTAATTTAAATACAGGGAAGTAGCATTCGGGCCTACGTGCTGGCATTGACAAATTTAAATTACGGTTATTATTGAAATGTAAAAAAAAATCACTACTTAAATTCCAATTAACCACTGCTATTATTACGCACACAGTTGTATATGTGAATGTATATATATATATATATATATATAAATATGTTTTAATATACAATGTATGCATATATTGTTTTGCGTTAAGTGGTAGTCTTATTTTTACATGCATTTGTACATTTATATATATATATATATATATTTCTGTTTGTTCACACATGAACATACATACGTATGTGTACTCATAATTAGCGTTATCTTATCTAAAATTAATTCAACAATATTTATTCTATACATAGTAATGTATATTCAACAATATATCAGAGATACTCACATAAATATATGCATAAAAACATGCATACGTATGTATGTATGTTTGTTTATGCATATTTAATTACAATTAATATATATTTAATTACAATGTACCAGAAAAATGTCATGCAAACAACTTTTCTAGGTTAGGTCTCTGGCATTGTATTAAACATAAATTTAGAGAAAATACAGATGCTGACGATATTATGATATAAGGGTCTCTACAGAATGCAAAAAAAGCGAATAATATGAATGTTTCAAAATGTGAATGCGCTACTATCAAAGGGCTTCATAAATATCTCTATCCAAACGCTAGAACTTTTATAGCAAATATTCAAATAAATGGAAATCGTATCCCGGTTAAAGAAGAACTTAAATACTTAGGCGTTATACTGCAAAGTAAATTCAACTTCAAAACCCACCTGGACTTTGTGATTAAAAGGGCAAAAAATATGTTCTTTTCATGTACATTGCGCGACAACCGATTAGCACATATCTTAGCTACACATCTTCGCTTTCATGTCACTTTTTGCATGTAAGCTGCCTTGATTGGGTGTTTAAGTTTATTATTTATTTATTGGGACTAATTATCAATAAAATAAAGTAAAAATTGGACGAGTCTGAAAAAGGCAAAATAAGGGCTTACAGGGAGTGCGGGCACTCTATTCTTCAAATATCAAAAAATATTAAGCGCAGCCGTAAAGTTATTACCGCATATTTAAGCAATGAGGATACATATGGGAAAAACATGAAAGGTCAGCCATTATCAGTAATAACAGCAGCTGACAAGCGAATCATACTACGACACGCATCTAATTCCCACGACTCAGCCGCCAAAATAAAGGAAAAAACTGGTAATAAAGCGCGCGTTCAGACTGTGCAAAGAGTTATTTCGAATGCTGATTATATGAAGCATCTAAAATTAAAAAAAAAAAACCACCTCTAAACCAACTTAGAAAGATGCAACGACTTAATTTCTGTCGATCAAATATGACCTGGAGTAAGGAGTGGGAGCGTGTAGTCTTTTCAGATGAAAAAAAGTTCAATTTGGAGGGTCCTGACGGCTATGTCTACTACTTTCATGATCTCAGAAAGGAAGAGCATACTTTAGATCGATTTCACAGCCGTGCGGGTGGTGTCATGGTGTGGGGAGCTTTAACATACTTTGGCACTATAGAACTGCAGTTTCTTACCAGCCGTATGAATGTCATTGCGTACAAAGGTGTACTGAATACGGCTTTCCCTGCTATCAAGGATATTTTTGGACCCTTGAAATGGAAGTTCCAGCAGGACAACGCACCTATCCACACAGCCAGGATTGTAAAGTTCTGGATTGATGGTCAAAACGTGGAATTACTGACTTGGCCGCCATACTCTTCCGACCTAAACATTATAGAAAATGTTTGGGGATGGGTGGCACGAAAGGTGTAAGAGTCCGGCAGGTAGTATACAACTGAAGCAGAACTCATTGAAGGAATAAAAAGGTCCTGGGAGGCTGTTTTACTCAATTATATAAAAAAAATTATATGACTCCTTACCTCAGCGAATGTACGAAGTCATACTTAACCGTGTAGGCTCAACACATTATTAATTTGTTTTCAAAAAAAGTTAAACATATTTAAATTCATATTAAAAAACAATTTGAATGAAGTTTGAACCCATTTTCTTCTGCTATATTAAGTTTTATTAATTGGCAGTGCTAATCGGCTGTCGAAAAAATAATAGTGAATTTTTTGTGTTATGTTTGTTTAGATTAATTTAAAATGTTACTAATAAAGTTAGTATCCTATCTTCTATTAATTTTCGTGTGAAATTATATATTCTTTTAAGGGAAAAAATTATTTGAAAAGCTTTTTTAGTTTTCCTGATATTAAGTTTCTAAGACGAGCGGCATAGGGTGTGCTAATCGGTTGTCGCGCAGTGTTTAGTATCTCCTCAGCCCAAATGGAAAGATTACGAATTTTCGAACGGTACATTCTAAGAACTTGTACTGGTGTAAACCGTGAACCTTATCATGACGGCGATTTATTTTGAAAAAGAACATCAAACAAAATCCTATATAAATCCTATATAAATGTAAAACAACTCGAATAGACAAATATCTTATGGACCATGCACTACGGTTCTTAAATAAACTGAATCTACTAGAGAACGAACGCATTAAAACGTAAATTAATAAAAAGGATAATATTGACTATCCTCTTGTTGAACAATATTTGTCACCTATATATATATAAATATCCTAAACTCTAATGATATGTTGTCAAAGATAAAAAATTGTTATTCTATCACAGTAAATACAATTCTTATGATATAAGTGATAATTTGGTTTATAATGTAGATCAACATATCGTTTCAAAATAAAATATATTAACAATAAGCCTACTCTTTTAGAACAATTTTTACTTAGTTAATAATCAGTCATTAAATATAAGTACTCATCGTCAAACTGTTTTAATTCATCATATTGGATGAGTGCATAAGTTCGTGTCTGATTCCGCTGGATGCCGTTCGAATCGTTTGAGAGTGGCGCTCGTGAAAGAAATATATTGTATAAGGTGACAGTCGGAACTGTAGATCAAGCATAAAATAACTTCATTTTGATTTGAGTTGCTTAGTGAAAAGACGCATGGAAGATGGACAACGAAAAAGATCATATGCGTCATATTATGTTATACGAATTCAGCAAAGGAAAAACAGTAGGCGCAGCAACTAAAAATATTCGTGAAGTTTATTTGGGCCGTGCTCCAGCACTCCGCACAGTAAAGAAATGGTTCGCGAAATTTCGTTCTGGAGATTTTGACCTCGAAGATCAACCTCGCAGTGGACGGCCTTCTGAGCTTGATGACGATGTTCTAAGGACTTTAGTTGCGAATAACTCACGTATTTCGACGGAAGAGGTTGCCAGTGAATTGAACGTCAACAAATCAATTGCGTTTCGTCGTTTAAAAAAGGTTGGGTACACTTTGAAGCTCGATACATGGGTGCCACATCAGTTGAGTGAAAAAAACAAAGTGGACCGTATGTCAACAGCAATTTCTTTGCTTCGACGGATCAAAAACGAACCTTTTTTGGATCGGCTCGTGACTGATGATGAAAAATGGATCCTGTACAACAATGTTCAACGCAAAAGAATATGGAAACAGGCACACGAAGGGGCGGAACCGATGTCGAAAGGTGGATTGCATCCGATGAAGGTACTGCTGTGCATTTGGTGGGATATCCGAGGCGTGATTTATTTTGAGCTCTTGCCAGCTAGAGAAACGATCACTGCCAACAAGTATTGTCAGCAATTGGTCGAATTGAAGAAAGCAGTTGATGAAAAACGTCCGATTTTGGCCTATCGCAAAGGAGTTCTTTTCCATCATGACAACGCCAGGCCACATGTTGCAAAACCGACTCTGGTCAAACTGAAGGAGATGAATTGGGAAATCATACCGCATCCCCCATATTTCCCCGACATTGCACCTCTGTTTATAATTTGTTTCGATCGCTGCAGAACAATTTCTATGAATCAGGCATCCGTAATTTGGTTGAACGTTGGGAGTGGAGTGCCGAACATGATTAATAAAAGCGCTTTCTTCGAAAAATTTCAATTTTAGTGTGCACTTGAAATCGGGCACGAACTTATGCACTTATCCAATATTATCCTTCTTTTCATGCCCTTTTTGAAGAAATATAAGATATTAATCATATAATTGTATATGAAAAAAGTTAATTTGTAAAGGCTTACACGTATTTGTTTAAAGCGTTTATAAATATAAAATAAATAAATTTAGAAATCCTAGATAAAAGCAGCTTGTTAAGAGTAATTAAGAAGTACTAAATGTAATCTAATTCATGTAATATTAAGATATTTTTTGGGCAACTGAATAAAATAAATAAAAATAAGAAGTGAAATTAATAATTGTTGTAAAATACACATGTAGGAGGGGAAGCGACTTTTTATTTACAAAACGAACAAAAAAAACTAAAAAAAATAGTAAAATGTATTAAAATTTCCCTCTGATGCGTCAGCCAATCAGTGAAATATAACCTAACTTTTTCTGATGGCAACAATCTATGTTTACACTATACAACAAATACAGTTTTCTTTAATCACTTTATCATTATTGGCTAGCATAGGTACTCATACAGATAGATCGTTGAGTAAGGAGGATATGCGCCGGGAGCAGTGGTCTATTGTGCCCTCCTGTTTCTTCGCATTATTTCAAACAATTATTGGTGTTGGTGTTGTTGTTGTAGCGTCTTGTTATACCTGCTTAGGGACAGATTAATCAATCAAAGTCACCAAAGTCAACTAACGGGAGGTCCAGGAAACGTGCTGTTTCGACGGGTGCTGACCAAATGGATAGGGGGGTCAGATTTGCCGGTTTTAGGGGCATATAAAACGGTTCTTAGTGCCGTGCGGAGACTATCTACATGCATACCGATATACTACGTTGGGTATGTTGAGGTCGAGTTTGGACAATTAGAAGTATAATCTGCTACAATATCCAGACCAAAGTTGTGACAGTGTCACGCAGGTCTCTCGAGGCAGCTCGAGCTCTTCGTCTGCAAGAGGTCGTGCTTTTACTCCGAGTACACCATTCACGGGAAGGAAGTCTTTGAAGGTGTTGACTGACTCCTGGTGAAAAGCGTTCAGTGTTTAGCTGTACGCCGTCATGTCCAGCGGTTGTTGCACCCGTTGCGGGATGGTGTTCTTCATATCTAGTACTCCCTTTCTGATGTGCCTGCGTGGAGGTTCAGCTTCAACGATATGCATATGAAGTGCTACCTTCTTAACTCGTGGCAAAGGTGCTTTACTCACTACAAGTGATGCGCCAGCGACATCACGGGTTTACCCTGTCGTGGTCCTGAGCGGGGTGTTCTGGTAAGTCTTTAACATCTTCATCTGCGTTCCGTTCTTCCTCTGCGCTTAGAACGGTGCAGCATATTTAACGACAACCGGCCAAAAAAAGCTAGTAAATTGACACGTTTGTTAGACCATTGATGTCTATATCATCGGCGTACCTAAGCTCTGCCTTTCGTTCTAATTGTTCCAAACAATAAGTTAAAGACGTCACACGATAACCGATCATCTTTTCTGAAGCATGGTTCGATATCGAGCGGCTCGGGGAGGTCCTTCCCGATCCTGACGGACCTTTTTTTTTGCGGGGATACCAGATTCAGACATACTGGCGCCGTGTAGTGACAGCTTCTTTTCGTTTGTTTGGTAGTGTGTGACGATCCTCTTATCAAGCATCTTTGCAAAGATTTGGCGCATGGTGAATACCTGGCCAATTGTTGAACCGACAAGTTGCTGACGGTGGGATTTAATCATTAACACGATGCGCTGAATAGGACCTTATACATACGTGAGGAGATATGATAATTTACGCCTATTGCGGGAACACTCTTTTTTTGGAATGCGCAGAACACACTTAGACATGGTTTGGAAGGACAGTTGACGAAAATGTTGAGAAAGTAATGGAAATCGTTGAGTTTGATACACAAAATATGTGGGACGCATGAGTTAACGAGAAAAAACCGCATGTAACGAATTTTCATCTGCGAAACCAGATTTTGAAACGGATAGTGACTGGTGATGAAAAGTGGATCACTTACAGCTACATCACATGAAAATGGTCGTGGTCGAAGGGCAGTCTGCCCAACAGGAGGGAAACTGCATTATATCAGGACAAGCCCAGATCACCCACATCGACTCGCTAGAACCACCTAAGCCTGGTTGGTGGGTTCTTATGCATCCGAATGGCCTCAAGAAAAGCCTGTGGAAATCTATTGTCCCATTTTTTTGCCAATAGGGACAAGAGATTCTATGAAAAGGCCAAAAACTTAACGAGCAAAACGCTACGTACCTGACATAAATCGGATTATTCTAACTGTGGTAAATAAAGCCTTAAACTGAATGCAAACATAATGGATTACTTTTGACTAGACTAATTCTATGGGTATTGAACTATTAAAACTAATATTTGAGCTTGCAATTAATTAATTAATTTTTATATACATTTATATTGTATATGTACTTATTTATATCATTTTACTCACATCGCAAATTGCAACGCTCGGTCAATGAGATCCTCAGATATGTGTGATGGCGTCCAAAAGTGTCCGTCAACGGTTGACTGCTTATCGGTTTCACCTTTGCCTATAAATAATAAAAAATATTTGGTTGTGTTAATAACGAGCATAAAATTAAAATTTATATATGCACATTTGTATGTATGTATTCCCAATAAGCATGTAATCTTTTAAATGAACCTTATACCAACAGTCGGACAGCTGAATTTTACGTAAACAGTGAGAAGAGCAATCTGGGATTAGGTGCAATGTGATGTTGCTATCAAGAGTTCAAAAAAAAAACGGGCGAAATAAATTCGCCTAGACTTGAGTTTTAATACCCAGAGCCTTAGACATTCAATTCATGAAATGAGACTAATCCAAATATGTTTTCCAATCAATAAAGGAAGAAAGGAATCTCTCGTTAATTGCTTTGAAGAAAGATTTCCAAAATTTTAACGATCTAAATCTGTGTAGTTGTCGATTTTCCCGATTTATTGCATCTATGAAGTCTTAGAGACAATATCGATTCCTTAAAGACTGACCGCTCCTCAGCAGAAAATTTCAAGCCCTCCGTGTGTATTTCTGACATGAAATGAAAGTTCCTAATAAAAATCAATCAGCCGTTTGGAGGGAACTTAGTATAAACTGAAAAATTGCAGTAGGTGCTCGGCCGAAAATCGCTTTAGCAGTTACAAAGTGAAAATTATATACAAATATATACCTAGAAGCTGACTTTAAGCTTTTTACGTAGGACCCGCTATCAAAAAAAGATTGTTTTTCGGCAAGATCATTTTTATTTAGCGTGCTTAACTTTACCATGCCTTTAAGACCATCTAGACACTCAAGGCAATTTTTATTCTGTTCATGAAATGTACGACCCTTTTTTATGTTTGTGTAAAAGATTTTCGAGACTTTGATTCCTCTGACTCTCTTTTGTGTATAAAAAAATTATTTATTGAGAGCTTTCTCCTTTTTCCATGTAATTTTTAGCAGCGATGAGCAAATATGTAGCTGTTTAGTGTAAGAGACAAGTGTACCGCCTTCCGCGATTGGTTGAGGCCAGTTCGGTCTGTCACTGGTTTTTCGGGTAAAGCTGGTAAGGTGGGTAAAGAAGAGGTACAATGAGAATTGGCTTCCTCGTAACGCTACCACAACGAAATGCGTGGTAATGAAAAGCTGAAAGTTGAAGAGCTGTGTGATGCTCGAAAATTCATAAAGTTTCCAAACTAGAGCAAATTTATATTGAACCCAAAGAACTGAAAATCAAGGTATGTAGGAAACACTTCTCCAGCCTGCTAAATGGCAGTAGAAGTTCAACATCAAGAGTTTGTGAACCAGAATTTCAAATCGAAAGGAGGAACATGAGAAAGTTCCAACAATCTCCTCCAATTTTCGTGTTATAAGTCTTCTCAATATCGAGCTGATTAGAGCTTACCAATGTGACAATGCCAGATATTCATCACACGCTACTTCTTTGAGAATGTGCGGTAGAAAAACAATGGTACACACCAATTTTCGTGCTATCTCTATGCAACTATATCTATATTTGCTATCTCCGAGAAACTTAAGTATAATTCTGTGTGAATTGAAGCTGAGTAAGACTAACAGCGCCGTCAGAATAAAGAAGGATCTCTCCAAGTCGTTTAATACTAAACGAGATTTCAGACAAGTTGGCCCTTTATGTTGAAGTTGTGGATTTTTTAAGTTTTCGGAACGTTGGGAAACCTTAAGGCCCCCAAAATTTTATTCCAAAACTTAATTCCTTATTTTGGGCAAAAAGCTGCGTGACATATGACTTACTGTGCCCTTCGTGTGGATGGGCGGTAGCGAGGAAAACTTTGGGAATAATAATATCCCGTGTTCTCTTTGAAGACTTTTTCAAGAAAAAGTTCATAGGGCAATAAGGTGAATCAGCGCCGCAGAGATATATTGTTGATTATTTCAGGAAATGTTGGTACTAATAACAATTCAATACTGCAAGCTTAAAATCTCTATTTATTACCAATTTAAGAAGAAATCAAAAAAATTATAAAATATTTAATATAAAATCCGATTTTCGCTCAATTTCTTCGTCTTTTAAAGAGCTTTTAGGAAATGGATGATCCCTATCTTGTGAAAAATACGTGTTTAAAAATTCGAGTAGGTAAAAAAGTGTGCAAAGGGATATTGTGGACAAAAGTTTGAAAAAAATATTATGTATGATTTATTTTAATTTTTTTTTCAAAAATTAAAACAAACATGAGTTATTGTAAAATATTGGTGAATCGCTTCATGTTATGGATTATATGAAACAATTTTTTTGGACTGAAAACTTGAAGCTTTGGCAAGAAAAACTTGAACTCAGCGGAAAGGTAACAATATAATATATCCGCAAGAATGAAGTATTGCTATTGCTGAAATTATTGCAACGATGAGGACAGTTTATCAATAAAAAAATGCCTTATTTGATAACAAAACGAGCGAAAGACTTTTATGTGGAGCTTTTTATTTCATACCGCTGCCGAGGGGTGACTGCAATTAGAAAAATTAATTTTAGAAGCTGGTCGTACCAGGACCAGAACCCTGGGCTTCCGAAAGGAAGTAATCAATGTTAGCTACTCGGCCATTGCTGCCGTTATACTAGTCGTCAGCGAGTTCTGTGTCGACAGATATTGCGTCGCTTATCGTCGACGACGACTACGGCAATAGTAAATATTGTCACATGTTATCGATATAAACTAGAGTAATACTAATTTTGTCAAGTCATCGTCGTCTTGTGTGGACGATGTCAACCACAATAGAGTCGAATTTTTCATACACACCTGTTTAGAATTTTGTTGTTGCACAAAGCTGGGCTTGTGCTCAGCTATTGTGTTTGCTGTCGCTGAATGGGTATTAGCTGTTGACGCTGACTTTTCGACTGGCAGTTGTGTTTTCGTCGCGGCGACACCTGTTGCGATGCTCGCATAATTATTACTCGATCCGGTTGGATACGACGTGGTTATGGCTGCTGCTGCATTTCGCGCAAATATACCCACTCTCAATATGGCATTCATCACAATGTATTTAGCTCTGTTTATTGTTTTGTAGTTTCTAATGATCGTGCAGGTAATTTTTATTTGGTAGTCGCCACACTTCGACGAGAGTTTAAGCTCACTTTTGCGTTTCAGCCAAACCAATTATTTCACAATAAATTGCACTTAATTGTTGTGAACACATAACCTAAAGCGCACCGCTTGCGACCCAAATGAACTGAACGATGCTTAGATACGAGTACAATAACAACTTAACTTTTTGTTGTTCATTAAATAGTAATAGCAGCAATAACAAAAATATTAATAGCCAAATAACATTCACTCAAGTGTTTTTGACTTTCTTGTTATCTTCACTGCGTCACCTCGTTACGTTGTCTTCGTCGTCGTCGTCGTCGTCACGTCGTTTTTGTCGCTGTCTACTTTCCGATTTAAGCAACCGCCGGCGTGCAAGTCCAAATAAACACTGAATAAACATTCAAAATGTGAACAGAAAACCGGCGAAAAATCGTTTGCCATTTGTTAATAAACAAAAATTCCAACATATTATTATTGATATGAATTTAGCTCGCCACCAATAAGTTAACAAAATGCGCNATCAAATTTCTTTTGCAACAAAAATAATGGATTTTTTTATTGACATAGTGGCACTGGTGCATTTTGCACATCAGATGTTGAATGTTCCCCGATCTGACACTGCTGCCAACATTAGAATGTGAGATGGGGGAACGCTCTCAGCTGCAATTTGAGTGATTTTGAGTAAGTTTCGTATCTAGTCATCTTTGTCGCGGCGACACCTGTTGCTATGCTCACATAATTATTACTCGATCCAGTTGGATACGACGTGGTTATGGCTGCTGCTGCATTTCGCGCAAGTATACCCACTCTCAATATGGCATTCATCACAATGTATTTAGCTCTGTTTATTGTTTTGTAGTTTCTAATGATCGTGCAGGTAATTTTTATTTGGTAGTCGCCACACTTCGACGAGAGTTTAAGCTCACTTTTGCGTTTCAGCCAAACCAATTATTTCACAATAAATTGCACTTAATTGTTGTGAACACATAACCTAAAGCGCACCGCTTGCTACCCAAATGAACTGAACGATGCTTAGATACGAGTACAATAACAACTTAACTTTTTGTTGTTCATTAAATAGTAATAGCAGCAATAACAAAAATATTAATAGCCAAATAACATTCACTCAAGTGTTTTTGACTTTCTTGTTATCTTCACTGCGTCACCTCGTTACGTTGTCTTCGTCGTCGTCGTCGTCGTCACGTCGTTTTTGTCGCTGTCTACTTTCCGATTTAAGCAACCGCCGGCGTGCAAGTCCAAATAAACACTGAATAAACATTCAAAATGTGAACAGAAAACCGGCGAAAAATCGTTTGCCATTTGTTAATAAACAAAAATTCCAACATATTATTATTGATATGAATTTAGCTCGCCACCAATAAGTTAACAAATTGCGCCTCGCTCTTGCTTATAGACTTACTCAATGCTTGCATTTTGTGTGTTAGTGGCTGAGCGTACCTGCAGCGCGGATGATATAACACCTCACAAGTATTTCTCCGTCTCAAGCAAAGACAATTCAATTTGTTTAAAACAGAGAACTGGGGGAAGCATTAAGAGAGAGCGAGTGCTTGATATGTTTTATTCAATGTCAGCTAAATAAATATTATTAAAAGCGCTTTACGCTGAGCGATTAGCCACATATACAGTTACTCGTATATGTAATTGCTTGTCATTCTGTTAAAGTTTGTAGAAGCTTAAGCTTTTTATGACGTTTAAAAGCCCCAAATTGAGCTTATCTCCTTGTGGGAACTGGTATTAAATATAAATTACCGTTATGTACATATTCAAAAATGTATATACATATATGTAGGTATACCTAATTTAAATATTACTTTTTTTAGAGTGTCAAATTTAGCTAAACTGCAAGTATGTAATATACTTTTGTGTATTAAATCCTTATACGCCTGCAAATAGGCAATATTTTTTTATATACTCTGAATATCAAACAGTTGCAACTTTCAAGTAAAATTTTTTGCCTGGCTGTGTGTAGATATCTTACATTAAATACAGCAGTGCAGGACGGAGGTTCGGTACATAAGCAAACACATACATAAACAGGGTGCGCAATCTGTTAGGATATCATCTGAGACTGGAATAAATTTTGACTAAAACAACTTTTTTAATTATTTTTTTTTTACACAAACTTTATTTGTTGCTTTCTATTTTATTAACATAATTTTTTTAATATAATATCTAACAAATGACCTCATTTATATTTAATACAAGAAGATGCCCTTTTTCGTCTATTTTGTATCATACTTTGTAGCGTCTCGTTGGTGATAAGTGATATTTCCCCGCGAATATTGCCTTTTAGCTGACCTTTGGTCTGTGGCTTGTCGATGTAAACTTTGCTCTTCAAATATCCCCACAAGAAGAAGTGCGGCGGCGTGAAATCGATCGAATCGATGGTCACTCGGAATCGTCGTTTTTCTATTATGTGTTGGTCAAACATTAGGCGGAGTAGCGGCATTGAATCGCGTCTAGTGTGTGCTGTGGCTCTGTCCTGTTGGAGCTAGAAGTGGGCCATGCTATTTTCAGTCATTTCCGGAAACAAAAAGTCACGCAGTATCGCTCTGTAGCGCTCGCCATCGATCGTAACAACGTTGCCTGTTTCGTTCTCGTAAAAATACGCTCCGGAGTGGCTCCGCGTATAATTCACAAGGATTTCCGTCGGCCCCAAAGTCATTAGTTTTACTTATTAACCGCGCCAATCAATGTGAGCTTCATCGCTCATTATTATTTGGAACTAAAACTCACTATCGCCATAGAGAATGTTGTATCGGTGTTAACTGATTCATGGCACAAAGTATTGTAGATTAAAATAATGCCTTGAACAAGCCACTTTATATGTATGTCGAAAAATGGCGGAACTATTCAAGTTTTAAATGTAATCGCTGCACACCCTGTATACAATAAATAATAATAAAAATTGGTTTTGAAGCGCTGAGACGATTTTGGCCGAGGTCCTCCTTCAACTTGTGATGTGCGCCTTCATGTTTAATCCAACATATAGAGGGATCTATAATTCGACCTAAGCCGCCTCCGAACGGCTGCTGAAAATTTGTGAAGTGCTTTAAATTTCATGTGAAAACCCACTTGGAGGACTTAACATTCCCTGCAGATGAGCGATCGCAATTAGAAAAATTATTTTTTATAATTTTCGTTGTTTTGTCAGATGAGGACACTGACCCTGGCCATCCGAACGTTAGTACCCAATGCTAAGCACTCGACTATTGTGGAGAGATCTGGAAATATATAATTTCTAAGCAAGTTAGATGCATAGTGGTATTCTATGTTCCGGTCACCTCATTTGAACTGGTTTCTAATGAGCACTTCACCACCATTACTCCTCGGGTGATTGCAAATAGGTCAGAGCGCCTAAAGGGGAGGAGCAGTGAAATTCTTCACAGTCGCTCATATACTAAGACGGTGGAAGAGTTTTTATTCGTAGTCCAGTCGATCTATTAGAAGTAGTGAGAAAACGGAGCAAGTATTGCTCTGGAGATTAGTTAAGGGTATTAACATATATTTTACTAGCCTTGCGGCTAAAGTACCCCAGCAATAAATGCACGCTGCAGGATAGATCAAGAAAATTTAGAATTGAAGTTTTTCTTTTCCTAATCATTGAATACTTCCAAAGCTAATATGATTTCGCCCATAGGGACGACGTGGCCTAGTCAGTATCTGCTGTTTCTTCATTCGCTGAACTAATGCCTTCGGTAGTCGCTGTAGCCGATTTGCTTTGCAATCGTTCACAAATGTTTTCCTCCGAAACTCAGTTCTCACTCACGCGACAGAGAGTCACGCTGTTTTAAATTTCATTCAGTATCGAACGGCTCGGAGATGTGCATGCCAATTTTGACGGAGCTTTTGAGCTTTATCAAAGGTCACTTCAAAACCGATTAAGAAGTGATATATGTCGGTCCTCACGAGTATTTTCCAAGATTTGATACTTGATCAATTGGTGGATTTACCTGATCTAAAGTGAGACTGGGTCTAATCAAGTCGTTTTCGGTGGACACATTGCGATATTGAGAAGATTTTTATCCCCATATATGGATAGATTCTTATGGGCTGCGCAGAGCACAATCAGTTCAGTCATGCTTTAAACCGACCATATTTTGCAAAGAAACTGATGCATGCAACTTGTCAGCGCTTCACTGACGGATTTGAATAGCTCGGCGGACAATCTATCGGATTAGGGTTTGCCATCTGCTATGATTACTGCATCATTGCAATTAAGTAGGTCGGGGAAGCGTTCGTTTCGTGAACTCAATATGCTTTGAACATCTGCCACCCGATCGCCTTTCTCGTTCTTACATGAGTGTGGTCCGGTCTTGAAACCTAAAGTAGGTTGCCGCGTTCTTTTATATTATTTTTGACCTATAACCTTGTGGCCAGTTTCTTTTCTCTTATGCATTTCGGTCTGGCTCTTTTTTCCTTTACAAATCTCGCTCCCCCCTCCAACTCGCCGTGTGATTAGCATTACGTACTGCCATTTTGAAAACCAATGTTCGAGTTCTGTTTCGACCAATTTCCTTAATTATAGAAAACTAATTTCCTAATTGCGGTCGCCCATTGGCAGAGAATGTTAACCCTTCAGAGTGCATCTCTGACATGTAATACAGACTCTTCATGAAAAACCATCGGTCAAGCAGAGGCGTCCCAAAATGAATTGTAGGTCTCTCGAAGCTCGGCCGAAAATCGCTTCAGTGGTTATAAAGTGCAGCGATGATCATCCATTCGATACTCTCTAAAACTAATTTTTCCTTGGCTTCGACATGTAAGGGATTTGAAATGTCGTTCCTTCCAGCTTCGTTGTACCGGTTTTTTGGCGAGTGTTCTCAGAGAGCAGGAGCGCAAGTTGGGTAGAAAATTGCTCGGCTGTCTGCTGTGATTGGCGCTTATAAACGTGAAACCTTCTAAGACTTATGTTCTTTGTTGCGCAGAGGCGAGTGTGTATCTAAGCTGATACAAAAGAATGTTCCGAGTCGATGTTAGGACCTCGAAGAGTACACACTTTTAAGGCTTTGGAAATATGCCTTCCGTGTCAAAAGTATATAACTTTAAAATACCATATTTGTGAGAGGCATAACGACTTTGGCATGCCCGAAGACATCACTTCTCACTATATAAAGCTCCGCATCTCATATATGAGTGAAATGTATGTACACACATTTAATTCCATACGAAAGAGTTGCATTTTAATTGCCCAATATTTAAGTTCATAGGCAGATCGGAAACGATCGGCTCTGCTACAAATCGGTAGTGTATGTGATGTGCAGAGCGATACAGTTTCTCTCATTACGTTTTCGATGCCGCTTGGTGGGAACCGACCATCGCACAACGGATATCTGCTACATTAACACATTTGCATTTAAAGAAAAAAATATGATGTAGTTTCTATGGTTCTTTACTTTAGCTTAGATCCAACAACAATTCACCACACTTCCTATGGTAGCAACGATAATTGAACGCACATTCACGCGCACACATAACAGTATTCAGATGTGAAGTCCAGCATGGCCCACATGTGTATATTTTGAATGGATATCTTATGTTGTTTATCCCAGTTTCTGTGCCGAGTTTCCGTCGCGATCCAACAGTTTTAGAATTACCCTCAGCGGGTGAATACACAGTGTGAATCGGTTGGCGCATTGACGGAAAGCCGACGCAGCATTTTTTGACTGAAGTATTTTTCTTACTCTTTGCTTTGTTTTAAAATATTCTTAACAAAATTATAAAAAAATCGAAATGCACGCAAGACGTTGGAATATAAAGAAGTTAATTATTTGCGGTGGCGCCTTTTTGATTGTATACATTTTACTAACGAGCGGCACTCGAGAATATGAAATCGACGCAACGATCGAGAGCAGCAAGCCGGAGCAGGTGTGGGAATACGTGGCGGATTTTAATAAAATGCGTACATTAAATCCAACAATGTAAGTGAAAAAGTGTATATAAAAATTAAATGCTCTAATATGAGGGTTTTGAGCCAAACAATTTTCTTGCATCGCATTTCACGCCCTCATACCAGCAGTCGATCGATCAATTAATATTGTAATATCGTAATCTCGGCATATATATACGTGTATGTATATCGATGAGTCATGCTCATCTATTTTTGTTCGAGCCAATTTTTAGCAGCCTAAACGATATTGATATCCTGGTCTCGTACTAACATCCAAAAAGTTGTAGAAAATTAATATAAAATACAAAATTAAGCTAAATTTTCTAATCGCCGTCGACCCTCAGCAGGGAATGTCAACCCCTCCGAATGTATTTTGGACGTAAAATAAAGGATCCTCGTAAAAAAAACCCATCAGTCGTTCGGAGGCAGCTTAGTATAAACTGTAGGTGCCTCCCTTTGTTGGAAAAACATCGAGACCCAAAACCACAAATTGGAGGAGGAGCTCGGCCGAAATCGCTTCAGCTCAAAAATTAGTATGTATGTTTTGAATACGAGCGTAGAAGGTAATGCCATTATGTCTCTCTCATATAAACTCTTGTCCCTATTGGCAAAAAATTAAGATAAATGATTTTCTCAGGCTTCTCTTAAGATCAATTCTTCAACAGCCAAATTATTCGCCATAGACAGAAACAGATTGTAATAACTTTGTATGAGGTCTGGACTATAAGATGAATACATAACTACCTATGTTAACCCAAGCTGGGTGCTTCTGTGCCATTGCTTACTTCAAACGTTCCAATTGCTGACAGTACAGATCCGAATTAAGAGTTTGGATGTAGTGGAGTAGCTCACAGTCGCTAATTCCTTGCCAATCCCACCAAACACACCACAAAATCTGACTGGCCGTCAATCCTGGCTTGGAGATCTTATGTGTCGGGTCACAGCTCTTAGACCACAACTGTTTCCCTTGACGTTGTTGTAAGAAATTTGTCGATTTTGTTACAATTCGGCAGCAATTCTCAGATGGATGAGATTTTTTCTCGTAAACTCATTTGGCACCCAAGACCAATTTATGTCTTCTTTGTGTCTACAGCCTTTTTCAAGTGGTTCCAATATGTTTTTTTTTTGTACATTATTTATCTCCTCGGCAATCGAAACGATGCTCGTATGACGGTCGGACTCATTAAAGGCATCCATTGCAAAAACAATGTATGGCTGGTTATTAGACCTAATATACCATTTCAGGTTCATGAAAGGCATACAAATAATAATAATATTTTCCAGCCACATTATATGTATGGATAATTGTTTTTTTTTCTTCTCTATTTTCTACACAGTTTAAATTTTAAAATTATCGCCGACGCTGGACACACACACGATTGGCGTTATACAGTTGAATATACGGAGCGTTTATCGCACTGGCCCTATTGGTTGAATGGAGCGAAAGCAGATTACGTTGTAACTAAGACTATGCCAGGAGTAGAGCCGGCTGTATATGTGATTGAATCGAAACATAAAACATGCTTTTTCAAAGGCACATATTGTTGTAAGTAAACGAACAGCAACTCATTGTGGTATATAATATATATATTCGGATGTACATACATATGTACGATAAACAATATAAAAAACTATATGTATGTATGTATGTATTTAAATGTACTCGTATGTCTCGAAAGATCTGTAGAATAATGAAAGATGTGTAAAACCTCACTTATTTTCTTCAAAACAAACCAATCTCTACAAGTGCTGAGCCGGCTCCCACTACGAGTATATGGTGAAGAAGCGTGGACGATGACGACATCCGACGAAGCAGCCTTGGGAGTCTTCGAAAGAAAAGTTTTGTGAATGATTTTTGGATGGACGAGACAGCGGCTACGCTGGCTATGAGATGTCGTGCGAATGTATGAAAACTCGCCAACTTTGAAAGTATTCGAAAAAGCACACGCCGGTAGAAGCAGGAAGAGAGGAAGGCATACACTCAGTTGGTTGGAACAAGTGGATAGCGACCTGGTTTGACTTGATCTTGCCAACTGGCGCCGAACAGCGAACAGAAGGAAAAAATAGCGCGTTATTATTTATTCGGCTATAATCCCTTAAGAGATGCCTCACCAATGAAGAAGAAGAATAAGCTTATGCATCATGCCCTCCACCTCCTAAATTGGTAAGCAAACATTTTAAATTAAATCTTGACTCAGTGACGACCAAAGGAAAGGTGCAGTGCATTAAAAGAGGCGGATTTGCTCGTGAAAGTGATATCTCCCGTTTATTGCCTTAGGTCCGAACCTGTCGAAAGAGCTCGTTTCATGAACCTCTCTTTAAGTGACCACGACAACGTCGATTAGCTTTGCTTGCTACATTATATAAAAATATACATAAAGAAGTGCAGAAGAACCGAAAGGAGTAGATATCTTAATCTTCCTTTACTTCCACCAGCGCGTACTTCATCAAATAGTTTCAAATCTGGAATGCACTCAATTGTCCGGACAACATGACCTGACAACCGAAGCCACTCTCTATAGATTCGCACAATGGTGTAAATGCATCGGTGCAGATTAGCATTTGTACACTCTTAAAGAGGATTGTGCCTTCTCTGCTCAGCACTGCAGCTCATATTATGTTCTCCTCGTTTGGTAACAAAAGACTTGGAGAGGCCATCCCGATTCTGACGAAGTTTTCTATTGTTTTTCGTCGTAAGCTTACGCTGTCTTTTAAGTTTTGCGAGGACACCAAATTCAGATGAGGCAGCTCCCTTTTGTGAATGATGAATATCTGGTCGATGGTAGATTTTACAGGTCTGAAAGCCATATTGAAAAGATTCAATAAGTTCGTTAAAGGTGACCCTTAGTCTATCCCACAATACGGTTCATAAGACCTTATATTCGATATTTAGCAGGAATATCCCAGAATTGGTACAGATGGCGATGACTTCTTTTTGTGAATTCCGCGGAGCAGAGTCGAGTTGTCTACAATGCTGCAGACATATCGTCCGTCTATAACAACATGATCAATTCGCCTGCAAGTTTTTTGATCGAAGACAGCCAGGCACGTTCTCCGACAGTTGTACGAAAGATTCCTCTTTTTGCCCACCCTGGCGCTAAAGGCGTACAGTATAGTTTTGATATCGTGGTGAGAATAACGCCACAGTAATAAAAGAGATGAGAACATTTGTATGTTATTCCGTTCTTCTATCTAGTTTTACGCGCTGGGCAGCGACACTTTCGCAGTCAAGGGACTGGACATTCTAGGTGCATGTCCTCAAATCTTAGCACTTAATACGTTTGTAGTGATCGTCATCGGAATTGGAAGTTCTCAGCCCGCCGTGGTTGTGTCTGCGGTGAACAGACTTCACTGAACCTTTAAAAAGTACATATTCGAGTGGATCTACAAAAGCCCCCTTTTATGTTAGGCATTAACCAAGGCATCACAAAGAACTCTACAGACTTGAATATACTCGTATCTGTCTAACAGGGTACATGAAGACTTATCTCACAGCCGCAGTAGAAGTGTTACAAGATCTCATACCCTTAAGGCTTTTTTGGTTATGATAAGGTAAGAAAAAAGTAAGGTCGAAATGACCCCTGGCGGACGAACCCTTCTTTCCCATAAGTCATCAACAATAAAATAATGTATTAAAATCAGGAGAAAAGTATATAAGACATAGGTTGAGCCTAAGACAATCTATAAAATATCATCGGCGGTTATAACACCAATAGATTTAAACCAACTAATTACTACCACCACCTCTTCGTCGGCGTTTAAGCAGCCCTCGAGCTGCAGAATTTAATAGAGAAGGTACAATCTTCTATAGGAGTTTACCGCTGCTGGCGTACGCCGATGATATTGGCATTATTGACATCAATAACGGCGCCGTGGATTCTGCTTTCCAGGGTGGATGCGAAGCGTATGGGTCTGAAGGCAACACGGAATATCTCCTGTCATCTAATAAACAGTCGTGGTATTCACGACCCGGCTTCATCGTCACTGTTGAAAGTCCTAACTTTTAAGTAGTGGATAGTTCGTCTGCATTAACACCAACAACATCAGCCTGGAAATCCAAAGTTTGGAAATGAAAGATAAAGATCTATCTCAACGAATGAAGACCGTTTTATTGTGCGTATGATTTATGGTCGTGTACGCGTTGGGAACAATACACTGTACGATATGTGCGGCGACATTGTCATAGTTCAGCGAATCAAGAAACAGCGGCTGCGCTGACTCGGTCATGTGGTACGAATGGATAAAAATACTCAAGCATTGAAAGTTTTCCATGCAGTACCCGTCGGTGGCAACAGAGGAAGGGGAGAACCTGGTACAGAAGGGCTTAGCAGTACTTGGTATTTCCCATTGGCGAAAGATTTCGAAAAGAGGGAATGAATGGCGCAATGTTGTTAACTCGGTTATAATTGGGTAAGCGGTGTCTACGCCAGTAAAGAAGAAGAATCACTCACTAAATGCGATTCTCCATTGCTAGCTAGAAAAAAAGATAAAATAGGAACGATTCAACCTGAAGAAAATTCTATTCCATCTATCAACCCATTATGTTCTAAAGGATCCTGTAATCTAACTATGCATGGATGTAAATCCTATAAAAATGAATATTTGTTTGTTAGTGACGCTAAGGCTCGAATGGCTGCACCCGCCTTAATGAAATTTTCAGAGGTTGTTAGTTGTGGATCCCCAAAAATTAAGAAAAAAAGGTGTACAAGATTTTCAGAGCCACAATCAATAGGTCACAAGGACAGTCGCTGGAAATGTGTGGCATTAATCTAGAAGTGCCATGTGGCGAGTTCACGAGTTGGAAAACCATATTCTCTCTACATTTACGCTCCGGAACAGAAAATGTTGCTTATCAAGCTTCGTTACATTAAAAAAAAAACATAAATTCAACTTTATTTTTCAAAAATCATACTTTCACGCAGGACAACTCCTGCGGGGTCAGTTAGTAAGTTATAAATAAACAAGACTAGACGAAACTTGCGTTTATATGTTGATCTCAGTGAAAGTCTGCCAAAATACGTGGACTTAGGTCAGGCAAATAATCCAGCATCAATACACTGAGTATAGCTCGATTTCGAATAAGACATTCTTAACAATAGGCTTAGCGTATGCTTTATTGATTGACACATTTATTTGTTTAATGCATTTAATGAAATTGTTTTATTTCAAATTTCCGCCAAAATGATTATTACCCTTGACCAGGAGGTTCAGCCATATCTTTAATAAGCTTTATAATTATTACTTTTGTTTTTATATTATTTTACAGTTATTAAACTACATTTAATTCATGTAAGCTATAATATAAGGTTGTCAAATATCTACCTTCCGCTTTTTTGCCCTTCATTTAATGCTCTATAAAAAGTGTTACAGTGATCGGATTTAGTTAAAATTTGCGCCGTTTTGTTCTATGATCTGTTTCCATCTGGACGGCAACTTCATAATACCTTCCTCGTAGAAGCCCCCCTGCTTATTTGTGAAGAATTCGGACAGCCACTTTTCACAAGCCTCTTTTGAGTTCAAATTCACAGCACCAAGGGCAATCGCCATGGACAGGAACAGGTGGTTGGCGCTACGTCCGAGCTATGTGGTGGATGCGATGAAACCTCCCATCCGAGCTCCCGTAGCTTCTGACGAGTCATAGACGAAGTATGTGGTCTGGCGTTGTCCTGGTGGAACACTACACCCTTCCTGTTGGCCAATTCTGGACGCTTCTGGTGATCGCCTGCTTCAAGCGGTCCAGTTGTTCGCCGTAGATGGTAGAATTAAGCGTCTGGCCATATGGGAGCAGCTCATAGTGGATGATTCCCTTCCAATCCCACCAAACACACAGCGAAACCTTCCTGGCCGTCAATCCCGGCTTGGCTACTGTTTGGGACGATTCACTGGCCTTCGACCACGACTGTTTTCGCTTGATATTGTCGTATGTGATCCATTTTTCGTCGCCAGTCGTTCTCCGCTTCAAGAATGGGTCGAGTTCGTTCCGTTTCAGCAGCATATCGCAGGCGTTGATTCGGTCCAGAAGGTTTTTTTGCGTCAAATTATACGGCACCCATCACACATCAAACTTTTTTTTGTATCCAGCCTTCTGCAGATGGTTCAAAATGGTTTGGTGACTAACTCCCATCTCCCCGGCGATGTCACGAGATGCCATATGCCAGTCTAACTCGATGCATTCCATGATTTCATCGGTATTTGTCGTCACAGGTCTTCCGCCGGCTGGCTTATCCATAGTGTCGTTTTCACCGGCTCTGAATCGTCGAAACCATTCCTCCGCGGTTCGAAGTGATAGAGTACCATCCCCCAAAACACCATTAATCTCACGGAACGTTTCTCTAGCGGATTTGCCTTTAACGAAGAAAAACTTTAAAATAGCGCGAATTTCGGCGTTAGTGAACTCCATGTTTACACGTCTATAACTGTTGAACGCAATGTCCAAACTAATCATGCATAGCGTTGTTTTGTAGGTTATGTCAAGACCTTTCAAAAGACAAAAAAAGTGGAAGGGAGATATTTGACAACCTAATATTATGTACAGGTTAGTTTATCCAATAATATTTTCTTTTCTTCCTCTCTCTCTCTCTCTTTCACACCATATCATTTCAGTACATTCATTCAGCGTGTTCAAATGCACCGCCGCTGGCGAGGACACCTATTGCAGTGAGCGTGTACAATATCAATGTCCTCCATTTCTAGAAAATGCCTGTCGTCGTGAAGTGGAATTCCAACGCCGAGCAGTCATGCATAATTTGACTACGATTTTTAGTAAAAGACAACAACATTCTTACTAACAAATTTCAATTCATTTATGTACTTCATTTATTTCAATCACTTTTAGTTATTTTTTGGCAAATTAAACATCTAAATTAAACATTTGTTTTCAGTTTACATTCGCGTGTAAACACATATGTTTGCAATAATATATGTATATATATTGTAGTATATTATTTAACACTAAAACAAAACTAATATAAAGTACGGATTTTTCTATTTGTTTTCTTATTTCTTTTTTTTTTTTTTTGTATGTGTGTAAAGTTTTCAATTAAATTGCTTTCATATGTATGCATGTGTGCATTAGAATTCGTGGGGTTGTTGCATTAGCCTTCAGCGGCATATACATGAAACTTGTACTCAGCAGTTATGGTTTTGTGTACAGACAATCGGATAATGTATAAATAATAGTGTACATTTTTGATGCCTCTACTTTGAACTAATTCTTTTGTATGTTATATAAGTATGTATAGTACGTTCTAAAAATTCTTTAAAAAAAAAAACATCTGTGTACAATTGCGTTAAAATTGAATAAAGGTACATTAAAACCGTCTACAAATATAATTTTCGATTTAAATACAAGCAAACTTTTGATTAATTTGATTAATGTGTGTGTATACATACATAGTATTATGTACTGAATATAACTCAATTTTTGAATGATAACTCTAGACAACGCCTTTTAAGTCGCTTAGCCATTCTGCTCCTTGTCAGCTGCTTCATGCGTATGTCACTCCGTTCGTATTCCGAACTCGCCGCCAACTCATTAATTGTACCGTTTTTCTGAAACCATTTCGTTAGTTTCGTCGTTTGTGTGGATCTGCTTTTTGGAGATCTGCGTGTAGCTGTGCCGGACTGTGGTTGTGTTGGTGTGCGTTTGCTTGGCGTACGCTCATCCAGTACGGCTTCCGTCGGTGTCAGTTGTGTTGAGCCAATGAGATAATTGGTGATTTTATTGTGTTGTGTTGGTTGTTGGTTGCGCGTGGTCAGTTGCACCGGTGATATTTCGCCATTCGAATTTATACGCATCACACTGCCGAAGGCATCGTTGTTTGTAATCTCGAATATCTCTTCGTCTATTAATGTACCGTTAATCATTGGATTTGTGCTATTTTTGTTGCCTTGCTTCTGTTTATCTGTACCTTGAGTTTGGGTAACGTTAACAGTGTTTGGTAATGATGGCACCACTGGTTGGCTACCTCTAGTCGCCCTTTTTACCAGTTTATCATCGGGCACTTTTTTTGTTGATTTCTGCGTGTTTGAAGATTTTGTATGTTGCGTTGCTTGCGATTTTTTAGCTCTAACATCTGTCGGAGTCGGCTCAAACATTTTTTCAAGTAAATTCAAACATGAACGACCACGACTGAGTGCTGGCGCAGATTTCCTACCACTTGTTGTGATTGCGTGCTGTTGTTGTATTTGTTTAACTTCTGAACCAAATATTTTGAAACCTTGAAAGGTCTCAACGCCATCATGCCTGTCGGCAGCAAGTTGTTGTGTGCAGGTTAAGCCCAGATCTGTGCTCGCACTAAATAAATCAGGTGACTTTCGTTGTATTCGCTGCTTAGCCAATAGTTCACCGAATGACGGCGTTGTTGGTGGGTCATCTAAAGCATTGGGATCTGTAGCGGGCCGCTTAAGTGCTTTCTTCTGCTTGAGTGCGCGTGTGCGCCGACTTTGTTCCGATTTTTGTGATGATAAAGAGCCGTCATCCGTTGAACTGGATAAGATAAGAATCGCTTGACTTTTATTCGCTGCGTCAATGGGTGGCACGAATACTACTTCAGAATCGGTAAAACTACTAGGGGTTGTTAAAAAGTTTTTAGGCTCAGAATTACGTGTACTGCGATCAGGCGTGGGCGGTCTTAAAAAGCCATTATCTGAAGGTGTAGAACCACTGATCTTTTGCCCACACTGCATACCTTCTGTATTATCAGAGCATGGCAATATAGCCGAATCTCTGCTATTTTCCGTGTCTTTAGAAGCAGAAATTGCTTTCTGTCTTTTAGTTTCAGTGATCTGTGCTTTCTTCTTACCATCATTACTTTGATATAAACTTTTTCTTTTAACAATTTTCTTGCCATTGCTTGAAGTGTCCGTTACCAATGCCTCATTATCATCAAATTCCATTGTTTTGGTGCCGCCTTTACTATCTTTGATATCTGTTTGTTTGACAATTTTTTTCCTAATTTGTTTGCTAAGATCTAGTAATCGTGGCGATTTCATGTACTTACTTCTAGTACTATCCGATGATCGAGTTACTCGTTGCATACTTCTGGTATTCCTTACGGTGGGCGTTAGTGGAACTTCCACACGTGTAGTATTAGATGTTCGTTCTGTTCGTTTTGTTTTTTCCACATCTTTATCGGCAGAATCTTTTGACGACTTATTCTCAATAGCAATACTAGATTTTGCGGGCGTTTTAGGAGACGCCGTTTCTGAAGGTGCCTTTTCCTTAGGTGAAACCAAAGATTTCTTTTTACTCATATCTTTTTTATCACTTCTTAGTTGTCTCATGCGCCTCGGACTTACTTCATTTGTTTCTCCTTGTTTAGGCTTAGTTTCCACCTTTGTAGGTCTGCCTACTTTACGCTTAACTTCATCATTTTTCTGTGTCAGCTTGGCATTAGTGTCCTGAGGATAGGTAGTTGATATGCTGTTATCTGAATTATTGTTGCTTTCTTTATCGGACAGTTTTTGTTTCTCTTTTCCTTTAAGTTGTGTCTGTTCTTTCGGCGTGTGCCTTTTTGATGAAGTATCATTATCTTCCTCTTTATTACTTGAGCTTGCCTTTTTCCAATTTTCTGTATTTTTCGCTACCGAAAATTCTTTAGCTGGACTTAAACTCTTTGAATTTTCATGGCTTTCCTTATCAGTCATTTTTTTGGTATCCTTCCTGTCCTGTTGTGGCTGTTGTGGTTGTTCTGGTGAAGAGTGCTTAGGTGCAGCAACAGGCTTTTGCTTTTCTTTATTATTAATTTTTACTTTATTGGTGTTTGCATGGGGATTTTTCTTTTCTGGTGGCTTTATTGTTCGGCGTTTTGTTGCGGTAACGGGTGTATCTGCATTAGCTTGTGGTTTTGACTTTGAGGAAACATCCGCCTGTTTCTTATCATTACCATTTTTAATTTGCGGCTTTGAAACCGCGATATTTTCATTAGTGTCAATACTTGTGTTCGTATACCCTTTCAAGCTTTTATTATTATCTTCCTTATTATTTAGTTCTCTTTCATTTGTTTTTAAAATTTTGGTGTTTTTAAGCAATTTTGTCTTTTCTCCGCTGATTGGCTTCTCAGTGAAATTAATGGTGGTTACGCTTTTTTGTGGATATTCTATTTCATTTGTCTTTTTATTATCATTGTCTTGTGCGAGAGATCTTGCTTGGTACTTAATAGTAGTCTTTTCTTTTTGTTTAGTTCCGTTATTTACATATTCTTCCGAACATTGTTCTGTTGATAAATCCACAAATTCATAAATGTCTGACTCCTTCTGCTTATTTTGCGTTATGGTTGTTGATTTATGATTCGTAATATTCGCAACTTCCTCAGGCTCATCGCTACTACATGATTCAGAATCAATTAGAAGAGGAGACATAATAACTGCATCCTCCGAAGCTTCGTTGTGCTCTGAATTCGGCACCTGACTTCTGCGAGCATCTAAAATTTGTGATATTTCACTATTGAGAGCCAGCGCTTGATTGAAAAGTTCTTCTGTAGCAGTTTCAGAATTTGCATTTAAATTATTGCCATTATCGTTCGATTTTTGTGAGCTATTCGAACTGCTTATTGTACGCCATAAATCTAAACTAATTTTATAGCGCTCCGCATCAACGAAAGGCAATTGTTCTTCAAATTGATGGCGATATCGACGCAAACGGAAATCTCTAGAAGAGTAAATTAATTTATATTTTTAAAGTATATTTAAGCATATTTTGTCAACATATTTACAACAAACAATTTTGCATGCATGACCTATTTTCTTACTTGCAAAAATCACTTATCATTTCCCGCTTTAAAAAATATTGTTCCAAATCAGCAATTTTATTAAGTACATCTTTGGAGTTGGGTAACTTGTATTTCGCCTCGAAAACTTTATACTGCTCATACTGATGCTCCAAACGGCCTCCCAAACGTAGAGAATTGTGTAACAATTTCAAATCAGACTAATATTATAGATATTATATATTATTATAGATATATAATATATTACATTAAAAACTAATACAACACTTACTGTTACGTCTATACTAGAAATTAGTAAGTTTGCTTTATGCTCGTAGTTACTCATGAGCATCGACATGCAGAAGTTATTACTCATCATTTGTCCCCGATTATCGAGAACAACATAATCAAAATTAAATTTGCTTCCATCAACAGTTGCACGTAGCGTTGCCCATTTTGCAATAATTATGTTGGGAAGAGCTTCTAGGCTGCCTGTGCGGATACATAATATATATAATTATTAAGTGCACATGGCTTACATTACATATTTTAAACATTCAACCACATACACACAAACATACAGACATGTGAATAGAATGGTGATTGATAAGCATGCATTGATTATGAAATGTGCGTGCGTGCATTTAAGTACACTGCAGCGAGACAACTCTTGTTCGTTCTAAGCGTGTGGTAAAAATTATACACATAACTTAATTATTTTTATATATTTCTATTAATATATTATATGTATGCACATATGTATGTATGGATATACATCAGCATTGACCCAAAAAAAAAACACTTACTTGTATTCGGCCCTAGCACACCAACGGAAAGATTTGTTAGCACGTCAAAGTGGAACTGCCAACCTGTCACAAGCTCATCGTCGTTTTGAACCACAATAAGACACCTTTTGTTTTTTGCTATAGCACCAAGATATACTGCTGTTGACACACATTTCCCTAAGCCACTCTCATCGTTTAATATACAGAAATCTCGATTTTCCAAATGATTGTGTAAAAAACGTACTGTCTCCAATTGGAAGTCCCTTAGATATTGTCTTATATGACCAGGTATTTGAACTTTTTCAGACAAGTCTAGAGGTTCAGGTGCACATGTGGCCACAAAATGATACATTTCTATATTAAAATCCTCCTAGTCTTCTGCTTGATCCGCTTTTATCACCAAAGCCCCCTACAGGTGCGTATTAATCGCCGATCGTATTGATGTAATGCAGTGAAATATATAGAACAACCAAAACGTATAATAATTTTATGTAAAAGAATATTACAAACATAGAGAACGGGCCAAGAAGTAATGAGCTCGGCGTATCAAAGTATTCCTGAGTAACTCGGGCACTTGTAAAATGTTGCATGTGTGTAGTTTGCTCGTAATAGATGATGGAAGTAATCATAAATCGCTTGATTTTGTTTCAGCTCCAGGTATTCGCCTTATTGGGTCAGCGTGACAGGGTCACTGAACTTGTAATGCCGTCGTGCACATTCAATAATTAAATACAATTTATGCACATATATTGCTATTTTCCAATTTAAATAAGCTATTATCAATTTTGTTTTGGTACAGATGAATTTATAAACTCAGTTTTGTTTTGAAATACGAAATATGTACCCAAAGTACCAAGAGATGATGAAGAAAGCAACTCAATGGCGGGTTTACTGATATTGCCACTTTGACAGCGAAATCCACCCATCAGCAACGCGCGAAACTGCTAAAAACTAATGTGGCCATATCTGCTGAAAAGAGAAATGTCATGTATTGAAATAAGCCGTAAATTTTGATTTTCCAAATTATTGTAGTAAATAACACGAAATGTCACAAGTGCAAACGCAAACAGATGAAATTTTGAAGAAAATATACGCGGAACAAAAAACGTTAATTAATTTCTTTGATGCCATTCTTGGATTCCTTAAACGCAAGTAATTTTGGATGTTTCTGCAAAGTTTTATATGTTTTCTTCATTTCATATATTTCAGCACAAATTTTGATGTGATAGACGCTGCAGAAAGGAATCGCTTACAAAAATATTTATCCAAAGAATTGTCGCTATGTGATCCTGCAGCTGAAAGTTCACCACGTTTAAAAAGTATTGCTGGCGAAAAACGGGCGCTTGCTGAAACTAATGAGATATGTACCGTAGATAAGAATTTGATTACAAAGTTGGAGTTAAGATCGCCATCTGAAAATGCTCTGAAGACGAATTCAATTCCTAGGTTTGTTAAAATGGGAATAATTAATACTGAACCATCATGCTATATCCAAAATGTTGAGACACCCAAGCCAAAAATACAAAATATCGAAACCAACATTCGGAAATGGCGCGCAATTTTACCAAAAGAACAGGAAAAAGCCCAAGGTGATATACAAGAAAGTATTTACACTCTAAATGATAAAACCAAAAATATCAAATCTAAGCGTGTATATAAATGTACCGAATGTACAGATGTATTTAACTCATTTCGCCAACTTAAAGTTCATGAAGCTATTCACCCAACCAAATCGGAAGGAAGCGCTATTAGCATTTGCATTTATTGTTGCAGCTTATATGCCAATGCAGAGTCTTTAGAAAAACATATTAATGAATGCCATGCCAATGGACACTATATATGTGTGCCTTGCACAAAAGAGTATAAAAGTCGTGGACAATTATTAAAGCATGTACATTCTAATGCACATAACGCTAAGGCATTGTTATACTATTGTGGCTTATGCCCCCGGTCCGAAAAGTCGCCTATAGAATTCCCTTCACGTTCTGCTTTACAACAACATTATCAAGAAACGCATTTACTTATGCCCGTTAACCAAGATGAAGATGATGTTGAAATTGAAATGAATGAAGAATTTCTTGATGAATTTCTTTTAAATAATGTGAATGAAAATTCTTTTAACTTTTCAGAATGCTGGGACGCGTTAGATTTAAATTTACCTGATATGTTACATATGACAAATTCAGATAAAAGCCCAACCCAGGCTAAAGATTATGAAAATGCTGAATTCTTGTATAAATGCCCAAAATGTTATGATGGCTTCAAACAGCAAAAAACTTTATTACAACATATAGCACACAAGCACGAGTTACCTCTTTTAATATGCAGTAAATGTGATGCTAGTTTCAAGGATTATACTCAATGGATACAACACAAGGAAACACATCAAGTGCAATTGGGATGTAGGCGTAATTCTAAAGATAAGGATAAGGTGTTGCAATGTGGTATATGTGATAAGATATTTCGAAGCAATCCAGCTCTAAACTACCATATTAAAACACATTTACGTGGTTTCTTAGATGCACCTCATGAATGTCCTTATTGTAAAAAATGCTTTCATACTGATACTAATCTGAAACAACATATACGCATAGTACATTGTCAAAATAAACGACACACCTGTAAGCTCTGTGATAAGCTATTTTCTACCTTAGACCATTTAAAAAAGCATGTCCTGAGTACGCATCAAAATGAAAGGAAACATATTTGTCATGTCTGTGCGAAATCATTTACCCAACTGTGTCATCTTAAACAACATTTAAATATACACAATAGAGGCAAGACACATCAATGTTTAAAATGCGATGAGAAGTTCTGGCGAAAGATTGATTTACAACGACATATTATAAAAAAGCACAATTGATATTGGAATACAAAATTTCTATCAAAATCAAGTCTAGTACTAAATAATAAATCATAGCAATATTTATTTACTTTAGAAGAAACCGTATGTTCAAACCAGAGTATGGTAATTAACTTAAAAATATCAATTTATCAATTACAATATTTCACTTTCCTTCTTTCAAAAAATATTTCAAAACGGAGCAAAAGCGTTTAGCACCCTCAACTAATTTTTCTTTACTATGAAATGAAATGGAGAGACGTAAACAATTATTTGCGATTGCAGGATTGTATGCGAAACGAGATCCTACTAGAAAAAATATGTGTTCATCTTGCAAGCATAATTTCAATAATTTGTTTGCATCTGCATATGACGGTAAAGTAATCCAAATGAAATATCCGCCTTGAGGTTGAGTCCATTCGCAGCTGCTCGGTAAATTAAGCTCAAGGACTTTGCACGTATGTAACATTCGTTCTTTGTATGCGCATTTCATTTTCTCAATATGCGTTTGTGCCAATTTCATCTCGAAAAGGCTGGCTAATATACCAGCAGTGTAATTATTAAAGCATCCGCCGCTGTTTATATACCCACTGTAATATAAAAATGTTTTAATTTTTCAACAACGGTAAATGTTAAATAGTGAATAACTTACGATTTTTCTAATATAGGTTTTAAACGGGGAGGAAGCTCAAGCCATCCTACACGTACGCCTGGTCCGATTATCTTTGCAAAGCTACCATTGGAAATTATATTTCCGGCACCTTTGTCATACGAAAACAGGCGTTTAGATGGCAGTTTACTTGTGTAGTTAAGAATATTGTAGACATCATCACAGAGTATTAAGAAGTCATACTTTTTGGCTAAATCAACAAGTGTTTGACAAATGGCTAGAATATTCAAACAGGAAACGAAAGTTAAAATTTTGTTAATTATTCTTTATATATGTTTATATATGAAAGATAATATATACCTTCAGAGAATACAATGCCAGTAGGATTATGGTAGATGGGGATAGTGTAATACATTGCCCAGAAAGTTTTTGTTTTAGACTGAAAGCGCTTTTCCTGAACGACTTGCTCAAGTTGCTTCACATCAACTCCATCCTTATTAAGTTTAACTGATTTTTTTTTTTTTAACAATGAACATCGAATAAATAACTTTAACCTTCACTTACTTGGAATAACCGTGAGAGTTGTGAATTGTTTAATAGTATCAAGTGCGATCATATAAGTAACTTCGTCAATGAAAATTATACCATTAAAATCGATCAGTGTAGATAAGACGAAATGTAACCCTTGCGTTGCACCCGTCGTAATTATGAGGTCTTCGCTGTCAAATAAATATAGTAATTAGTAATTAGGATACTCGATGAAGAAATTATGCATTATATATTTCAACAAACCTTTTTACGGGGTTATCAACATACAGAGAACTAAAATATGTAGCGATTGCATTACGTGTTTCTACTGGTCCACTAGTGGCTCCGTATTGAAATAGATAAGATAAATTTTTTTCCTTTTCATATTTCTAAATTATACCATTATACCAAAATTAGTTAATTATTAAGATATTTAGATATCATATCATTGAAATTATTTCTTACTAGTCGATGGCTTGTAGCTTTTTCAAAGATATCGCAGCAATTTTCCAAAAGATCTGGACCTGGTGCACCTACGCCCAAATTAAGAACACTGCCGTCGTAAACATTCCACTCGGTACCATCAAATAAGTGCTTTAGATTACGTTCAGTATTTGCCATTGACATTTTGCAAGTTATCACGATAAGAGATGTTTGATCACTGATTTCCACATCTATTCTGTTTTGCTGAAATACATATAAGTATATCAAATAATACCGTAAAGTAAAATGTAGTACCCTACATCACGCCAAATGTAAAAAACAGGTACGAAAACAACTATTTTGCAAACGAACTTTGGAATTATTTATGGAAACGGAAAGAGCTTAAACCGGAAGTCGAATCTATTGAATTATTTTCAAATAAATATGAATAAAATTACTGCATTTACAAAACAATTATTTTGAATATGTAGAGTACATTAATGGTCTGAAATACCTATTATTATTTGATGTTATCGTTCAACAGATAACATTATATGCAAATAATTAATTTTTTTTAAATTTTTTTTTTAATATTAAAATTTATGTATTTTCATTGGCACGTGAGTACAGTTGAAGAACTCGTGAAGAACCAACTAACGATCAGAATAAATTCTTACGAGCTTTTTTTGTTTAATTAATAATTTATTTGTATAAAAAATAATAAAGGATTTAATTAGCAGTACACAAAAATCAAAATAAAGTAATCAGCTGTTCTTTTATTAACAGTGTTGCAAGCAGACCCAACACTTTTTTTAGTTAAATATATTTAATTAAATTTGTATGTCTCTCATATATATAAACATTCCGGCGATATCTACTCTTCAGTTCTGATATTCTTTAAGCTCATTTGAATCTCCAGATAACTAATTAATTAAAGTAATAATAGCTCTGTTTGCTGAGAAATGAAGAATTAGAACGAAGTATCAAAATTGTGCTCTCTTGGTGTAAATTTTACTGGCTTTTTGCCTAACCGAACGCAGTTAAGAAATAATTGGTAACTGTTGTTAATGTCCATTAGCTCACCGAACAGGACGTATGATATTGTACAGGGTGGCATTACTGGTTTTGTGGAAATCAGATGTTGTTTGTTTACTATAGTAAATTTACCTAAAATTTTCGTATCTTTAATATTTTTCGAAAATAGGACTATTTATAATTAGTAAATATATTTTCAAACATTGCAAGTATTTAAAAATTTTTAACAATGGAAAACAAAGTGGAAAGCTGTACAGAAACATCAACGTCGCAAACTACGCAGGAACATGATGCATTCCTGGATTCACCAATACGTGGCCCAACCCTCTCAACTAGTACATCTAGTTTTGAAGCATTAGATCCCCACGATCCCAATTTAAGTAAATTGGCTACAAAAATGTTTCGCAAAACCGAGGAGTATATAAGTAATGAGCTGAACGCACCACTAGAAGATTACAAGCTGTTGGAAGAAATGAATAAAGCTACTGTAGCGAAATATTCCGATATGCAACAAATAGCTGAAAATTTGAGCGTGTCAACAAATGAATTAAGCATAAAATTTCTACAACTGGTAACTATCAACTTTCGAATATTTGCTTTAGCCTTAGCAGCGTATTTAATATTGTTGAATTATTTTTAGGTACCCCTAATGAAACAAATCGATGAAATTTCAGACACCGTTGACAAACTTGAAGCTGCTGCATATAAATTGGATGCTTATAGCATTGCTCTTGAAAATCGTGTCAAGTCAGTACTCCAGCGAAAATCAACAATGCATTAGACTTTTATTATATTTATTACTCTTTAGATTTAAGCATTATTAGAAAAATATTTGTAAAACAAAAATTCAATTTATTAACCAAATATCAGTTTTATTATTATAGCAAGCACATTTAGAAATATCAGTGGAACTGAAAATGAAAATTATAAATATTTCAATTTCAATTTTAAAAAACTTGAGGCTTACTTTTAGCAACAGTCCGTATGGATCGTATAAGATTCAAGATCTGCGCCTTCGCCGTTGGTTGTCCAAACTCCTGCATATTAGCTTGTTGAGCACCCCAGCCGACTACAAAGCAATGGATAGATTACTTAGCCCTCCCCATATTAAGATAATTACTTACATTTTGCCAAAAAGCGTTCTTCATGTAAAACACATACGGCATTTAAGCACAACAAAGATGCTTCCACAAGTGTCCACAAGGTAAACATTTTGTTAATTGCTAATATTTTTAGAAGATGATGACGAAGTATCTCAAATATAACACGGCTACGAAATTAATCACAAAAACAAATTATTATGCTGCCAGATCTTATCGAAATAAAATATGAATACGTGATGATGATTGTTTTGATCTACCATTTCTGAACTAAACTGTATTTGTTATTGTTCAAAATATTCAAATATAAATTCATGAAGAATAAACATGGAATGGGTTGTTTATACTTAACTTCTTTGGCTCAAATAGGTAATTGTAAAATAGTAAAGCGTACGTCGGCAATTAATCTGGCAGCAACAGTGTGTGGAACTCAATGAGTTCTACCGAAGAATATAGCTCTTTAGTCATACTAGTCACACGTACCATTTTCAACGTCAATATTTTGTAAATATTAGGCAATAAAAAGGGATGGAGTTAGCAATAGATTCTTCAAAAGTTAAGAACGTGAATACCACACGAGCAAATAATTGCACGTTTTAATAGTCACCTTCCTAAATTAATCAACTTCTGCGAATGTTTAAAAATTTTAGTTTAATCTGAAGTATTATTTAATAAATTGGTATCCATAACTTGAAATTATAACAGCGAAAATTTGTGTAAATTTGTTTGTGGGAAATATGTGAAAGAAAGATCTGGGTCCTTCCTGCATTTATGGCAACGCGGTTAAACGAATGAAATTATTACATACACATATTTCACTGCGTTTGTTCATGAATTTGTGCGGTAGAGAAAATTTGGTAAAAATAAATGTTTGATTAATGATATTATTAATAATATCTGCTAAAATAGTGCAGTGTGCAGTGCAGATCATGAATAATATCAATTTGTTTGTTTATGAGTGTGTTTAAATATAGAAAAATTAAGTTCAATTAGTGCGTATAAGTGATACACAATTTCCCCAACCCACTGCAGCAACTACGGACTGCAACAACAACGGCTCTGAAGAAGAAAATTTTGTGAAATTAAGTGTTCGCCGAGCAATAAGCGCGCCCAACAAAACTTCCAACCATCTCACTCTGGCTCAGTTTTCTGAAAACTGATTATTTTTTTCGTTTTGTGTTTTGATCCCTTATCGTTGATGGAAGATTATTACCTGTCAAAAATGGTAATATCCATTTTAGGACTATTAATTTAAGTGAAAAGAATAATTCAATTTTAATCTATTGTATTTAATATCAGTTAAACTTTACCGCATGCAAATAAGGAAATCGAAATGTATCAACACATTCGATTGCGAAGGCTGTCTAATGAATCAACGGCCGCTTCCTCTAAAGTTGTAGAACTCGAAGAGTTTAAGCAAAGGGAAAATGATAATATATTCATTAATGATGATGTACTCAAATTGAAAGAGCTATCTAATAAAATGGATGAGCTCGAGGAAGTAATCTTGGTGGAAGATGAACCAGCCTTAACTTTACCACAGTTAAGCAATGAATGCTGGGACAATTTTGTGGAGGAACTATCAAAGAAATATGAGAATGATGAGATCCCGAATTCAGGATATTCGACAGAATTTCAGAATGCTACATCAGTATTTCAAGCGCAAAGGTGTTTAGAAAATACTGTTAATACAATATCCGCGACGAATACAGAACGGGTCGCCACTAATGATAAGCCAATTCACAGTATTAGTAGCGGCGAAGGTGATCTTAACAGTTGTGGCATTTTTAAGGGTAAGATATGAAATATTATTTTAACAGTTTGCACAACATTAATTTGTTAGTAGGAGGGCTACAATTAGCAATAGTAGGAGGGCTACAATTAGCAAAGAATTCATTTTAAAACTAAAAAACATTCAATATTATTTTGTAATTTTAGATCGAAATGCTACCACTTGCCCAGTACCAGAAACTGGCGAATTACCAAAATCTTCGTTAAATGATAACGGAAAAACAGACGAAATAAAAGCTGACAATAGTCAGTTAAATGAACATTGTGGAACAACAGAAACGGATGAAAACAATAAAGATATAATTCAAGGCAATGAAAACTCGAGGCCCAATAAAGAGCAAGAGGATAGTGATTCGCGAAGCAAAGACTTGCCTGAGTTGAGCAATTCGAGAAATAACTCGTGTTTGAATCGGCACAAAGAATTGACAGGTAAATTATTTTGTACTGGTGTTATGCTTTTTTCAATTAAATTAATAATGAATTTTGTTTTAGGAATCACTAAGAAATATCAGGATATTAAAACGATATCCTATCAAGTGACGTTTCATCAAATTCTTCGCTCATTCGAATTGGATAAGTCTGCACCAGCGATGTTAAGTACAGTGCCTGGTTTTCCAATTGAGTTGGATTTTCCTGATTTTAATATGAAGGAATTTGTGAAATTTGTAAAAAATTTTCAAATGACTGAAAACATTGATGATGTACGGCATTTATGGATACAGGTTAAAACTTGGTTGAGTGCCATGAAACCTCCATATGATAGTACAACGAACTATGTGAGTATTTTGTTAGTCAATTTATTTTCAATCAAACTTATAACGTCCAATTTTTCCTTTAGACAAAATACCACAGAAAACTCAATTGGTATCTGACTGAGTTAATGGCGCAATATATAAAATTTGAAATCGAACACAGCGTACAAAATGAAAATTATTATAAATTGAAATTGGAGTCACTATTGAACACTGTATCATCATTACTGAATGATGATGTAAAATTAAAAATATTAACGTTGCTACGCACAGATTTCCCATACAAGCCGAGTAACATATTAGATGATCTGTTCAAGTATTTGCAAATAAGTTAATAGATGTATAAATTATTACTAAATGTTAATTTTTCTTTAGAAAATTTTTAACGCACCCGCAATTACGTCTGGAAAACAACAGCTATGGAAACTATCGTTTGAAAGTTTTAGCCTACCAAAAATGGATGCATTATACGAATAGAAAAAAGCAGGATATAATTGCAATCGCCATCAAGGAGGGTTCAGCTTATTTACCCCGTTTAGTGCCGAAGAATATTGAGGATCCATTTTATAATGTTGATAATAGCGCTCATCATATTGATGATTTCGATAAACAAGGCACTAGGTGACTATTATTGGCATATTAGTTAAATAACATGTTAAATTCATTTGATTTTTTTTTTTCAGAAAATTATTGGAAGAGGTCGTGAGCATCGACATCCTGCAAGCAACAATCAATAAATATTTACAAGTATACGAAAGTCAGCTCTATGACAGCTATGATTTTAGTTTACTGCGCCCTTATGAACTAGAGAAAGTGAGTTTAGAATATGTGCAAATAAAAAGACGTAAAAGCGATGAACAGTCTTTATGATGAAAAAAAAAAATTTAATATTCTATATTGCATTGTGCAATATATAACACTCTATTCCAGTTGCTAACACATAATAATCTGTATACCAGTGGGAATAATTTTTAATTAATCCTTTGTGCCATATTAATGTTAAGGTGTTAAATTTGAGTCATAAATTAATTTATGCAAATTGAAAGTCATCAATAAGTGCCATATTTATTGAAATTTATTTAATTAAATAAGGAAAACTAAAAACTTTTAATTCAGTTTACTAATGTAATTGTCATAAAGTTACCGTTATTTTTTTATGTAAAAAAAAATACATATTTTGTGGATACGGTTGAAAATGGCTACTGTTTTATAGTAGTAGTTTAAATATCTCTTCGGGGAAAAAACCTACTTGCGAATATTATAGAAATGAAATATAATGAAATTCATCTGGAGTCATCAATCAACATATCGACGTTCTACAGTTGGAGTTCTCTATAGCGAATAGCAGTGGTTAATAAATACTCTGGTACAAAAAAAGAAATGAAAAAAGCGATTTAACGCGTGTTCTTTAGGTTTCGGTAAATTTTTTTATCGTAAAATATAAAAATTTCTTTTTTTGTAACAACAGTTATTTTTAAACCTTCTGTATGAATTTGTGATAAAAGAAAAAGACGGCGTTAATATTTTTTAATTTCTGTTAAAATGTTAACGTTAGAATTCTTTTTAATTAGGCTTACCATCTTTAGGGCATCATATTTTTTATCTCATGAACCTTAACAAGTTCGCTATAGAGAAATTCAATTGTATCTACAATCAACTTGGTACATTCAACAATCAACAATCAACGCACCGGTGTTGACCCGGATTTTATTCGACCAAGGACACTGCAACAAAACCAACACTCAAATAAAAAATTTCTCCTATCAACACAAACATTTCTACCATCAACGCTAAAATCTCTGCAAACAACTGTAAATGACTGCAATCAACGCTCAATTGTCTGCAATCAACGCTAAAATCTCTGCAAACAACTGTAAATGACTGCAATCAACGGTCAATTGTCTGCAATCAACGCTAATTGTCTACAATCAACGCTAAAATGTCTACAATTACGCTAAAATATCTACAATCAACGCTAAATTGTCTACAATCAACGCTAAAATGTCTACAATCAACGCTAAAATGTCTACATTCAACGCTAAATTGTCTACAATCAACGCTAAAATGTCTACAATCAAGGCTAAAATGTCTACAATCAACGCTAAAATGTCTACAATCAACGCTAAAATGTCTGCAAGCAACTTTAAAATCCCCAATCAATATTTGTCTTTCATAATTTGAATTCACCAAAATATTTTTTTTTAAGTGGCCACAATCAATTTAACGTAAAATTCCAAATTATAAAATCAAATGTAAATTAACCTATGAGGCTTTTCTTAAAATTTTGATGATATAATAATAGGAAATCAGGTTATAATCATTAAAATTATTGGCTAAAATTTAAAATCATTTCCTATATGCGTTAATTAAAGGGCTAATTTACTCGAAAGTAATTAAAAATAAATAAACAAAACACAAAGACATTTGATGTCAAAAATAAAACCTAAGGAAAGGTGCAAAAATTATACATAAACATTGTAATCAAGCTAATTTTTTTTTAAATTATTTATAGAACAGAGTATGTATGGCACACCTTATGTTGAATACTTATTTCTGAAACCGTAAATATATATTTTTAAAGTTCAATTCAATATCACATACATATATGTATATACGCAACGTACTGAAAGAAGCTGAAGTATAATGAAATTAACAAATTATCTATTTAACACAATTGCTAACAAATTTCATATTTTTTCCCCCTCCCCCCTTTTGTTAGAGCCAAACGTTTTGTGTACAAAATAACGCTTCCAGTGCAGCGTCTACGCACATACAAACACACAACAGCCCCACGCAGCCAGTTTCAGCGAGACATGATGTGCGACACTGTCATCGACGGCGAATGCATCATCGTCATCAACATCAACATCACCACCACCATCAGCATTGCGAGCAACATGATTCAACAAATTGTAGTACTGGTCGATCAACGCATTTATCAGTCGGATGTGATATACATAGAAGAAATAGGTTAAGTAGTAGTACTTTAAAATCTTGTAGATGTAATTGCAAATTTTTAGGCTGTAAGAACCAAAGTGATACTAGTTTAAGTCATACAATTAGCACTAATGATATAATTTCGCTCGATTCAACCGATGATGAAGGTGAAAATGATAAAGTGAGTGTTGAAAAGTCAAAAACAATTAATCAAAAAGTCAACCATACTAAAACACAACGAATGGTGAGAGCGCACAGACATTTAATACCTTCACAATGTGCAGGCAAACGTTACACGCATAACTCTAAACCAAGCAATATTGCATATGAAAGAAAAAAACAAATAGGAGTGAAACCGAAAAAAGTGGATACAATTGTATTGGATTCATCAAGCGACGATGAAGAAATAGAAAAATCCACCAATGCACCTGTTACGACCGATGATAGTGTAAATTTAGCCGAGAAACCACCTGAGAAATCGGATCATGCCGACAATATAACAGCACAAGACACCGAAGCCAACAATCAACAGCTACAGCAGGCAACACCAACCCAACAAGCGGCGGCATGTACCAGAGCGCAGTCGCAAAGTGTCGCAATGCCCTTGCGCTGTGCGCTCATTGGTAGTTTAGCGATAAAACCGATAAGAAAGGAAAAGCATTGCATACCAGGCGAGGTTTCAAGTACAACATCACACGATGATATCGTTGAAACGCAAAGACTTAGCCAAACATCGGCTATATCCAGTAGTGCCCAACCGGTTGTGGGTCATGCGACAAGCGGCTATGAAAATGCACGTGAAGTTGGTACGGTTGAGATACTCGAGAGTAGTAATGTTGTTGCCGTCAATGCTGTCGGTGATGAGGATGCGGATGAGAATGATGAAGAGGTCTCGAACAGCGCCATTTTTCCCATGTGGGGTTATTCTAAAGTTGTAGAAGAAGCCACCTCATCGACCGAGATCTTTCAGAGAATACAATCGCTTGAAAGTGTCTCGGTATCAGCAGCTTTGCGTATAGTTGAATCGGCGCCAGTGGTAGCACCTGTTATGCCAGTAAATGAGGAAGCGCCCACTTGCTCCCGCTATGTTAACAACAGTGCGAGAAGTGGCAATGAAACAGATGCTAACAATCAACCAGGTCCTACGATAATGCCACTGTTGGCAATAGAGTGGAGAAAGAGCTTAGAAAACATAAGTAATGAAACTGCAAATGTTGGTATTGAAAAACTCTCAAAATCATGCATTGATTTGGCCTATGAAAGTTGCAGTATTCAGGATACAACTGATGCAACAAGCGCCGAAAAGCAGTCAGTAGTTAGTATAGACGCGGCGGAGGAAGAAGAGCTTCGCAGTGAACAGCAACTTGAAGGGAATACTACGCCTATACAAGCAGACTCCGCTGATGAGCTAGAAAAAGATGAAAAAGCAACGACAATAAAATCAACACCATCGCTCGAAGTAGTTGGTAAAGATGCTGAAAACCTAAATCTCGATGTGGAAGATAGTACGGACGACAATAGCACATGCCATGTGGATGACGAAACTGCAGCAATCGATCGAATTTTAGCTGATATAGATCAAAATTTACGCGAATCACATGAATTCAATGAAAAATACATGAAAGCCAAAAATGCCGCTAAAGTAGAAAGTGTTGGTGGAGCGTCAGAAGTGAGTGAAGCGCCAGAAAACAGAACACAAGAAATCATTTCAAAGAAAACCACAACAGATAATCTGGTTCATAATGTTAATTTGTGTGCATCCGAAAAAGTTATCGAAGAAAAATCATCGCTAACAGACACAGACTCAGACGCAAATGAAGATGTCAATGATGCGAATAGCGACGAAGTGTCTTGCGAGGCTGTTGAAGAGGAGGTTATGGATTTGTTAAATAACTCGAATGAAGTTTGCAAAGACCAAACAGTTGCCGAGGAAATGCCAAGTAACGAGAACTCCGCCGAAGTGTTGTTGGGGACATCAGACACAATTGAGCTTGCAGAATCTCTTAAGCCGCCGAGAGTGGCAGAGGAAGAAAATGCTGGTAATAACCTGAACGATACACAAAAAGACATGGAGCCAAATACAAGTCAGCTTATGGTATCTGAGAACATAAGTGAAAGCTTAGATAAGATTTCTAAATCTGCGCAAATCAATGACGAAGAGGAAGTTATACAAAGCGAAATCGATGTAATAAATCAAAAGGAAGTCAATGGACAAACTGAGTTTGTATTGGATCAAATTAGTGAAAGTGAGCTCAATGAAATAATATTGAATGTCGAGAATGAACTACTAAGTGACACAGAAATCATTGAAGCTGTTGTCGTTGAGGAGCAAACTAAAGATGATGGTAAGCCACTGAATGATCTCACACAAAATTCCAAAGCAATAACTACTGAGGAGCAAGTAAAAGCAAATAATATCGTAGAAGAATGTAAGTCTGTCAACTTAAATGAGCACAGCACTAACGAAACATTTTTTGAAGATAAAGTCGAAGAAACAACAGCAACACAGCTTAAAGCTACTAAAACCGAAAGCCATGCGGGGGAGACAGAAACGTTGATGACGTCTTTCGAAGTCGAAACAGGAAAAGACGTAGTAAACGAAGTTAAAAACGATCAGAGTGTGACGGAAAAAGCACTCAACACAAATACAACGGGTAAAGAACCAGCCGATGAGCTACTTCCAACAGAAACCAAAACAACGGTAGTTAGCGAAAGTGAAATTGTTGAAGTAACTGAGCCTTCCACTGAAAACTACGAAGTCACCTTAAGTAAAGAAGATAATTCACCTTTAATGACAACACTGAAAACTAACCAAGTCGAACAAGCAAATGAATGTAGTCTAACCGAAGAGCATGAGCCCAATGAAGGCGTTAAGTTGTCGGAAATAAATATTGGCGAAACTCAAACGCATGCAAATCTTGAAACCTCTGTTCCGGAAAAGCTCTTAGAAACTGCAATCGAGGACATAGAAAGTCGAGCGCTTGAGATGAATAATATATCTGCAGGTCCAAAAATTAATGCAGCGCGTGTTGTGAATACAACTGGCGATCAGGATTCTACAACGACTGAAAAAGTAGAACTAACACTGCGCAATGAGAAGCCGGAGAGCATTACAATAAATAATAACTATGAGATCGTTGATGAAACTGTGTCTAAAGACGCGCAAGGATATCAAGAAACTGAATGTACTGAAACATTTTATATGAATACTACCAACAGAGAAGACCGCCAAGACAGAGAAAATGTATGCAATGATGAATATTCAGCAACAGTATCTGCTACGGAAGCAGTTAATAAAATCACCACACAAGATTCGTTAAATGAGTTCCAAAAATGTGCATTGACGGCTGATGAAAAATCGGAAACCATATATACCGAGGAAACCGTGGCAGAGTTAGAGGAATCTAACGAATTCACAGGTGCAATAGAGAGTGTAAATGAAATGAGTATTGCGTCTAAAGCTGACAATGAGAATTCAATAGTCACTGAAAAGGAAAAACCAACCTCGCAGCAAAAAGAAGTTGAGGGTATTGCAGACAGTGAAAAGTGCGCTTCTGTTGAAGAAACCATGACCGAAGGTCAAGAAGAAGTTGAAGAAACTAGTTGCATTGAAAATTTGGATGTTGATCTCACTAGCGAGGAACTTATTCAAGGCACCGTTGAAAATAAAGTACATATTCTCAGTGGCGAGACCTCAACAATTGATGCAGTTAAAGAAAACACACAAAATTCCGTAAATGAGTTGGAAAAATCTCTTACACAGCATAATGAAATATCTGAAACTATAGCTACCGAGAAAACAGTTCCACAGTCGGATGAATTTAACAAGTTAACAGTACAAAGAGAAGACTTATGCATAGATGGTACAACAACATTCGAAAGCTATGATGAATCTCATGAAGTGAGAGAGCCAAGTGCAAGTACCATTGAAATAACAAACGAAACTGAGTATACAACCAAACAAACTGGGGATGAGTTAATCGCAACAACCTCAATCGGTACTGCAACTGCAATGGAAGACGTAAAACTAAGTCAGCCAACAGAAACAGTTCAATCAGCGACTGAGTCTGACATTTTTGTTGATAAGGCAACACCATCAGAAGCAACATATCAAGAGAAATCACATAATCAAACCAATAACACAGCCGACCGTAACGTAGAAAAGTCTGGCAACAAACTTCAATTTGAAACAACTTCAATATCCGATAATAAGTTCTCCGAATGCGCTGACATTTTCATTGAAGAAGCAACTGAAGTTCCAGATATTGAGCCATTATTAATTGTCACGCCGTCTGCCAGCAATGTTGACGCATCGAAAGACATTGTGGTAGGTGTGGAAGAAGCATCCATGCAATCCATTGATGATGATGTTATTGAAAACGTAGCAGAAAGCAAAACAATTGAAGAAGTATCTGAAACTATTGACATCGAAACAACGCAAACTGAGAAAGAAATTTCTTTAAATGAATTGCAAGAAAATAACGCCACCCAAATGTGGGAAGAGAAAACTCTTGACTCTTGTGAAAACGTTAAGGTTGCAAGAGTTGATGTTTCACCAACTGATGGGAACACTGACAAAACTGGTAACAGAGCTGTGGAGGAAGTAATAGTGGGTACAAAAGACCTGCAGGACTTTCATGAAAGCCACACTGCGGAAATTCACGAAGAAATTGAAGAGATGTCTGCTGAAATTACAGAAGAAGTGATGGATGAAGAAAATTCATTAACCAACATGAATACAAAGCAGCAATTGGAAAAAAATAAAGAAGCTGAGATTTTTAAATCACACACAACTGCTGAGACTAACGACACATGTAGCAATAATGCTGAAATTGTAGGTAAAATGAGTGAAGAGCCAAACAGTAACGCAATAACGGTAGCAAAAGAAGACAATCTGAAGTCTGCTGAGCAAAGTGGGGATGGAGAAAATGATGCTGCGGCAGAAGATGCAGTAATAAAGAGTACTAACACCGCTGAAAGTAATGAAAAGGGTATAGATGCTGACCCTGTGGAAGTAGCAGAAACTGCTGTGGTTGAAAGTGATGAAATGGATGAGAACAACTGGATAGTTTTAGAAAACGAAAGTGAGCAGAAAATTTCAAACGAAAATGTTGATATATTCAGCGAAAAACTCGCTAAAACCACAGAGCTCACGGAGTCTGATAAAACACCCTCTTTGGTCTTGCAAAACAGTGTGTACGCAAACTCAGCGGCCGAAACAATTGGCACAGATGATTTATCCGGTAATGAGAAAGTCGCGCCTACTGAAGATGTTGAGTCGGTCGAAGCTATTGAAGAAACTTCGACTGAATCACCATTACCTTCACACATACAAGCAGCTATTGTAGAAGAAACCAAAAAGAATAGTAGCGCAAATGAAGAAGCAGAAATAGTTGCGCCAAATGAAAATTTAGCGGAAATAGAGTTAGAAAGTACTACGGAAAAGGTTGATCAAATAAGCGAATGCATTCCAACTGTTGATGACGACTGCTCAACAAAGATTGCTTCAACGGTGCTTCCGCCAAATGAAGCTGTTACAAATAATATTCGTGACAGTAACAGTGAGCGGGTGGAGGAAACAGCCAATGAGAGCAACTTTGAAAGGGAACAAACTGATGTAGAATTTTCCATGAATTCGGCTGAAAACATCGTTGAAGAAACTCAGCCCATAGAAGCAACAACTCGAGAAGTGCTTGAGGAAAGCACTCAAACCACAAGGAAGGTAACAGCAGATGCCGTAGTTATGGAAGGAATAAAAGAATCGGTTGCAGAAAAATCTGATAATGCCGTTAAAGAATGTGAGAGTAAAAATTCTGTAAATAAGCAAACAACAGCGTTTGCCACTTCTGACAATACCGAGCTGAATGCTTTTGCGCCAAATACTACATTCGAATATCCAGACAGTAGAAGAAGTGACAGAGAAGTTGTCGATCCTTCCTTCAGCAAACAAAAATCCAAACAGAAATTGAAAATACATAAGTTAATGAAGTCGTGCTCAACGCAGAAGAGGAGGTCTCCTTTACCTTGTGTACACAAAAAGATTATGAAATCCAAATCTTTACGTATTCTCAGTCTGAAACGTACCAAGAGTCGTCTTGCTTCCGGCACCGAGCTGAATCAAAATTTATTGTTGGATAAAGAGGAAACGGCTGAAAGTGAACTGACAGAAGATTTGGTTAACAATATTGCAAAATTAGTTATCGAAGAAAGCACTGAAGAAGTGAGTGAAAGCGAAGCTTTAAACGAGGACACAACTTTTACTCAGCCCACCACACAAGCTAATGACGGCGCCACAGAAAAAGATAACCAAGAAAGTTTGTCGCGCGTAGACAGCGAAGAGTTGGCTGTAAGTATGGAAGCTGATGCTGAGAAGTCAACGGTGCAGCAGACTACGCAACCGGAAGTTGCGACGGCGGAAGATTGTTCAACACTGCAGCGTTTGCCGGCCGATTACAATTCAGAGGAAATATTAGCAGTGGCCACATTGATCAATATGCGTAATAAATACAATTTTATTGACGATGAAGCGCTGGTTGCTGAGGTGTCGCAGGACATAAGTCGCCAGCATTCAGGGGAAATTGCAAAAGAATCTGCAGCGGCGGGTTTAGAGCAAGCCGAAGCACAAATTGCGCCAATAAAAAAACGTGTGAGTTTCGACGAGGAAAACCTATTGCAGTTGTTTAAGGAGAAGCGTAACATTGTAAAGAAAGTTAAGAAGTTAGCCAAAAAGAAATCGGGAAAATCTCACAAAACGGCGGGCAGTTTACTCAGCAGCGGGGGAAGTAGTGGCAGGAAATATGTCCAACAAAGATTACTCGAATTAGTTAACGCTTCTGATGAAACTGACGAAACGGCTACAACAGAAAGCGAAACTGAGCCATTGTCGGAGGTTCCGAAAAGGCGTCAACGTAGAAAAGTAGAAACTGAAATTGACGCTGCGGTAGAGGAAGCGCAACCGTTGTTAACTGAAATGGCTGCACCGAGAGATGAGTCAAAACTTGAAGGCGTTCAGCATGATAATAAGATTTACCCAGTGCGGCTTACCTCTAGGCATAAGACGGAATCTATCATAGAAATGAAGTCAACAAAATCTACTAAAAATGTCGGTCTTCGGCATGTACAACGCGATTTGGCGCCGAAAACGCATATTGAGGAGTTCGTTTCCGATTTTATTGTACCCGACGAAAAAGTTGAACCGTTATGTGCCGAAAATCGCCTAAAGCCCAAATCAAGCAGGGAGAATGTTTTAAATGTCAGTCGTTTAAGTGTTGATGGTACAAAAATGAAATTTAAAATAACACAAAAGGATGCAGTTGGAAAAGAGAAACCGACCACGAGTAGCCAAAATGAAGCACAATTAAAGGAGATAGAAATTAAAAAGGAAATATTTTCTCCGCAGAAGATAATGAAGACACGCCGATTGGTGGTAAAACTTAAACGTTTGAAACTCAGCGCGTTTGGCATTGTGAACTCGAAGACGAGTGTAGTTAGTGCGATGTCTGCGTCAGAACAGACTGCGCCCACTAATTCCTGCGAAGATGTAACGAAGACTTGCTCAGATTCGTCCATTAAAACAGGCGAATTAGAAACAAATATATCAGCCTCAAGTAATGCAGAGCCCGACATCGCAACGGTTGTGAAAGACACTGCAAATATGTCGGCTAAAGCAGCTAAAAAGAGGGCGCGCGGCAAATGTGCTAATGTCCTTAAAACAACGTCAAAAGATGTAGAAGCAACTTCGAAAGAAGAAATCTTTACCGCTACGAAGTTAACCCCAATAGAAGAGGTTGCTACGCCACCAGAACCACTTTCGAATAGCGAGCAATTGGATATCAATTTTGAAGCTACTATAGAAAGCACGGCTCAAACAACACTTTTGGACAACAACGCTGAAGTTGCGGCAACACTCACGACGACTCACTCGACGGCAAAATCGCCTACCAAGAAATCCGTGGAAAACAAAATGAATACAACAACTTCAACTAACAAAGAAACTTGTTCCACCGATGCATCTCCTAATAAAGAGTTTTCTATTATAAAAGCTGACGCTCTTCAAGAGCAACCTCAAAGTCAGCAACAACCAGCAAAAGAGCATAATTCAACAGCAGAAGCAAACTCTAGGGTGTCTTCAAATAAAAAAGGCAATTCAAACAGAAAGGCTTCTCATAGGAGGAAACTTGAATTCACAGAAGAAGCAACAACTTCAAATGAAGAATTCACAAAACAATCAACGCTTTTAAAAAATCTTGATCTCATGATAAATGAAGAGTCTGCTAGTTCCAATATAATAGCGCAGGTGGCACAAAAGAAATCACCGGTGAAAACTGCAGACAAAACGGAGGCTGGTGCCGTGTCGTCAGTCAGCAAAGATAGTGCTGCTGTTAAAACAGTTACCAATAAAGAATCACCAAGCATGAAAGGCAATAAAATTCGTGAAAGATCGCCAACTAAAAAGCCGCGCTTTACCGTCGTCGACAGCGCGTTCAAAGCAGCAGCAACACAGAAGAAAGTAACGATTATAGAAGAAACTACGGCGAGTAAAGCAATGGCGAAAAACGAGGAAATAGTTGTGCCTGTAGTATCTGCCAAAACGGAACAAACGCAGGAATCAATGCCACATGAGAATCTTGAGCTTATAAAACCTAAGGAATCTACTAGCGCCGATATAACTGTAAAGGAGACTCAAGAGAAGAAGCGCCAATTAAAAACAACAAATAAAGTGAAAGCTGCGGCCTTGATTAGTGTCAGAAAAGATCTTGCTGTTGTTCAAATGCCAATTATAGACTTGCTGCCAACCACACAAAACGCCACGATTGAGCAGATAACCGCTGAAATAGAAACTTCAACATTCAAAGATAACAAGTTGGCAAAAGCTTTGGCGAGCGAAAAGCATACAGCTGTGGCAGAAGATTCAACAGCAGAAGCAGCGACAAATGCGGAACTAGCTAGGCAATCAACATTACTGGAAAATCTAGATCTAATAAAAATTGTCGACCCGACTTCCAGCATAACTAAAAAAGGCGCTGAGAAGAAGCGACATAAAAAATCTGCGAATGAAAAAACCGTTAGTGCCAATGAAGAGATTGTGCTTGCTCAAACATCACCCAATAAAGCTTTACAAACTGCGCCAACCGTTAATGCGGCCGAAGCTGTATTGACGGAAACATCTTCGGCTAAAACACAGTCAACTGTTAAGGACGATCGGAAGAGCAAGAAATCGAGCAAAAAGCCATTAACCGTTGACTTTGAATGTATTGATATTAAAAAAGTTGGAGTGTTGGCGAATCCGAGACGACAGACGAAAGGCGCCAATGAAATGAAATCTTCCACTTCGTCTACTACTCAAGAAGTAGATAAAACATCAATCATCGAAGACGTGCAACCTAACGTGGATAAGAATTCGGTCGAAATATCGTCAGTCCATGAAGAATTGCTGACTTCAGAAGATGCCATATTGGCAGAAAAATCATCGAGTAAAGAATCGGCAAGTGTTAATAAAACATCAAAGGTAGAAAAAAAGAAACGGCCAAAAGATATTGAAAATTCAAAAGCCGAAAATACGACCACGGCCACAGAAGTAGCAAAAATCACGCCTTCAACCGAAAAACCTACAACAACATCGGATACCGTCTTGACAGATACTAAAATAAAAACTGAACCTTTAGAGCAAATTGAAAAAACTCATTACTCCACAGAGAATATACAGATTAAAGAGGAAGAAATATCCCAAGATGCAGTTGACGTGCCAGAAACATATCTAAATGTGGACGCAAAGAGATGCAGAAAAGAGATAGTTATAAAACCGTTCGATGTCATACTGACTGCGGAAAAGATAAACCAGCAAGCCGAAGCACATCGCGGCTGCCGAAATAAAGAAACACTTAGGAAATACCAGCAAAAAGTTGTAGACAAAACTGTGCCGGTCGCAAGTGACCGCAGTGTCAGAACGAGAAGAGCCAAAGCGTCGTCAAAGAGGGAATGTGTGGAAACAGCACGTGGACAATTGAGCGAGATTGATACAACGCCGTCGACTAAAGTTATAAACACCGACAAAGTCGACACCGAACTTGTCGAAATTGCTGAAAAGGAAGCACCAGTAGGCAAAACTGTGTCGGTTCCAAGCAGCACCAGTGCGAGCACGAAAAGAACAAAAGCGTCCTCGAAAAGGGACAATGTTGAAACAGCGGATGAACGATTGAGCGAGATTGATACAACAAATGTGCTAAAGAAAGAGCAGAAAACTCTAAAATTTGTCGAAGTGCCGACCACCAAAGTCGTAAACACCGACAAAGTCGACTCGGAACTTGTCGAAATTGGTGAGAAACTTGCTTCGGAAGATAAAAATGCCACAGTTGCAAGTAAGAGCAATGTCAGAACGAGAAGAACCAAAGCGTCATCGAAAAGGGGAAATGTTGAAACAGTAGATGAACAATTGAGTGAGATTCATACCAACAATGCCATGAAAAAAGTGCAGGAAACTTCTGAAGTTGTTGAAGCGTCCACCGAAAAAGACCATCCCGAACCCGTAGCAAATGCGGAAAAAGAAGCTTCGGCAGATAAAGCAGTGCCGGTTGCAAGTAAGGGCAGTGCCAGAACGAGAAGAACCAAAGCGTCGTCGAAAAGGGCAAATTTGCAAACAGCATGTGAGCCGTTGAGCGAGATTGATACAACAAAAACGTTGAAGAAAGTGAAGGAAACCCATAAAGTTGTTGAAGCGCCGTCCATTAAAGTCATAAACACCGAAAAAGACCAGGCCGAACTCGTCGAAAATGCTGAAAGAAAAGCTACGGTTGAGGAGAAAGTAAAGCGCGCCTCAGAGCTCACAAATTCTACTACTACCACAATAGCGGAGGTAGCAACTGTAGATATTGCTAATCAAATAACAGAAAATGTGATTGCTGAATTAAAATTACTATCGCCGGAAGGCCTCCCAGACCCCGAAGCCGAGAAAGAACAAGATAATACCACTTCATCTTCACCAAACGCTGATTCCGCTGCTGATGCGGATGTCGAGAAAGATACTATTTTGGCGCCGAGTGCTGTGCCAGTTGTGGCGAACAACTGTCCAGTGACAAAGTGCGATGAGGAACAAAAGACAGCGCTGCTACTTGATTCATCGATTGATATAGTTTTGGGCAACTCTTCCCTTATGAAGATCAATGTAAATTCGGCAGAGGAGATAGCAACAGCGTCAACAGAAATGTTTGCGGAAAATTTAAAAGAAAACACCATGGCAAAAGAGGGCGATAGCGGTAATGTGACCAAACACGCACCATCGTCGACCAAAAGTCGTTTGGATGTTTTGACCGCTGAGAAAATCAATAGTGTGTTTGAGAAACTGCTTGAAGAGCAATGTAGTCCGATCAAAGACAGTGCGAATAGTAAAGCCAAAGAGTCAATTGTGCCGCATGCGCAGTTAAAACGACAAACGACCGTGAACGAAGACGAAGGACCACGGAAGGCATCCAACAGAAACTCATTGAGCAGTGTAAAACCGATTTCGGCCAAAGTGCCGGAGGCGCTGTTCGCTGATGATGAGAGTGAAAGTAGCAATGCTGACGATAGTACAAATGGCGAACAGTTCTTCGCACCAATATTAAGTCTCGACGATTTATTGATTAAAAAAGATGAACCCACAGCTGACGTAGCCCATAACTTTCCGTCACAAGAGGACACCAACACACTACAAACAGCCGAAACAGGACATGGTTTGGGTACGCCAAACTTTGCAGTGGAATTGGAAGTGGAGACTACACAACCGAGTGTTGATAATACACAAACAGAGCAGCAAGCCGAATGCGCCAATGAAAAGCTCGAAGAAACTGTCAAATGTGTTGGGGGTGAGGAGCTTAATACGAATTTAGAGGAAACCGATGCAAATTTTTCGCTCTCCATGACCGATATTAGCGCCATAGACATACCGGGTGATCTCAATATAAACAGTGAATATCCCGATCTCTTGGACGCAGTGCTCTTCGAACAAGTACGTCAATCTATTGATTGCATGATCTCAGGCACGAACTCGGCAAAGAAATGGTCACAAGACAGTTTTGCCACCGCACAACCGACTGTTATTAACTTCAACCCAACAGAGCCCGTTGTCGCTACTGAAGATCAACATCATATTGTGCCGTTGCCCCAAGAGAGCAACACTATACCAACCATCGACGGTAAGATAGCGACGAACAATGACGACGCGATTGGCATAGGACAAGAAAGTTTTCTAGGCAGCATTAACTCACTCGATGAGGTGGAAGTGCCTACAACCGGTTTCGATTTGGTTGGCAGCTTTACCATTGCGGATTTCCTATCCGAAGCCGGCAGCGATTTATTTGCCTTTCCCGAACTCGATAAAACGCAAAGTAGAAGTAATTCCATCTCCTCTGAATCGAATACGTGCGAAACGCCGCCACCGCCTGCTATCGACACCGTCAACGAGGAGACGAGCAGTGACAAGCCGTATGAGAGCGCAACAATGCAATGTCAACAAAGTCAAAATACGAATTCGGTGGCGTGTGATCATAGCTATAATAAGGATATAAACGAAGTGGCAAAGCCAAAAACCAAAGTGCGTAAAAAGTCCACATCTTCCAATACATCGATGTCAAGTCAAAAGATTACGCCATCGCCGTTAAAAAGTCCTGATTTATTGAATGTATTCTCAAGAGCGAAATGCCATCCGAAACCCTTCTGGAAAGTAAAAAAGATGGATGAAATTAAAACATCTACGCCGAAGAAAGAAGAACAGTCGCCCAACTTGCCCAATGCCCAACAAGTTCCTACGGCAGTGAAGAGAGCAATTAACCTTTCACCAACTGACGTGGAGAACAGACAGAGTAACAAAAAGAAGCGAACGGGTTATAGCATGCCGGCGCTCGAATTGGGTATTGAGTCCAATCTGTTGGACGTAAACGTTTCGCGTGAGTTGCCCGAAAACATCACCAATACAAACACCAGCGAAAAAATTGAAAAAATTGCTAACAATGCCGATGAAAATACACAAAAATCAACAGAGACTCCTGGCACATCTCAAGATACCACCAAAAACGACAATGCAAATTTATCCAACAAACCAGAAACAATAATTCCCGCAACCATAGTCAATAATCGCTCCACTACACCCATAGAAATAACCGAGGTTATAACAATACCCGCGCCAGTTTTAATACAACCGATTATACGCTTACAAAGCCAAACCAATCGCTTGCAACGCATAGATCCAACGCCAAGTACGTCACAGCAAGTTGTCACCCATGTCACAGCAATCACAGCAGAAAGCCAGGTAAATTTCACCAAAGCTCCATTGGCAAGTTCATTAAAAGTGGATGACAACAGCCGCACCATCCGCGACTCCACGCCCACGCTCGATGAACATGATAAAGATGAATGCGAATTGAGTCCACCGAACAAGAAGCTCACCATAAATGTATCAGCGCGCAAGGCGGCGAAAGAAGAATCAACAGTGGGATCGGATGAGCCGCCTGCCAAGCGATTTTGCGTGGAAAGTGTCAGCGAGTCAATGTCGACAAATGAACTCTTCGATATGTTGAAGGTCGAAAAGACATCGCAGAAGACTGACAAAGTAACATGCGCTGCGGGCAACTCGCCGCCGAAAGATTCAGAAGCGGGTAGCAGTGGGTTGGGAAATAGGAAAAAAGAGCATACGCCGATAAGCTCACCCACAAAAGAGATAAAAACCGATGACGTTCGTGTACCGCAAAATAAATCGCCCACGGCAAAAACTCCAGCGATTAAGGAAACGCAGGAACCCATACTTATCAGTAAAGAAACATTAGCAGCATTAAGAATTCAGGAGCAGGCTTTGAAAAATAATATAAAACCCACGGAACTCTTTGAGCCACTCACGGCCGAAAGCACGGTTGAGGAGTCGCCGATCAAAGCTACATCCTCAACAATAGCAGATGCCGGGCATAAAAGTTCCCCTAAAGTGTGTACGGAAGCGAGTAGAGAAAAGAACAGTACACCCTTGGATACGACATCCGACTTACCTACAAGTAAAAATCGTCCAGTCGCTGCACAACCAAAGAGAAGAAAATCTGTTGAATCGAAAAGTGCTTTACTGCCTTCAAATGAATTGTCTAAAAATGTGTGTAACGTTCCATCATTCACGCCCTCAAGTGCCGAACAAAGTTCCAACGCACTCGTTAACAGCATTCAGTTGATGAAACAAAAGGATAACACAATCATAAGTTCCAGTTTGCCGAAGGAGACATCCTTCAAAAGTAATGCCAATACAGGCATCAGCAAAACCTATATTGACAACAACACCTATCTAGCAATATCACAAGAGAAGGACGCCACAAGCAAAAGCAACAATGTGAAAACTAAAGATCTTACCACTACAGGAGATCTAAAATTGGAACTGAAAATTATCTCCCCATGTCAACAAGCACAGCTCATATCACCACACAGTAGAGTGCCACCAAAATCAACACACGCCGCAGTGCCCAGCTCGGTCCCAACGAACTCCAATCGTTTTCATCCATACCAAAAAAAATCTACAACACCACCACCACCACCGCCCCCATTAACCACCTCTTCGTCGGCGTCGTCATTGTTACTTAAAAACCGATTTGCGCCTCATAGACAAAGCAGAGACAGTCAGTCGTCATCGAGTACAACTTCGAGCGAACAGGTTACCCACAAAAGAAAGGATATACTCAAACCTAATGATAAATCTTACTCACAACGTCTACCGTCCGGTGTAACAACGCTACCGCCATCAATGCATTCTCGACCCTCTTCAAATTCTCAACCTTCTATCAGCTCAATTGTACAACCCCCGTCTGCCATCGAATTGGCATCGATAAAACTGACTCCTCAAGAGGAAACCGAAATATCACGTAGACTGGAAGAATATCGTGCTACCTTGCCGACGGCTAAAACTTATGGTGCGCATAAGGAAAATCAACGTTTGGTAAATGTTAAGGAGAAGGATTTGCGCCGATATTTTGCTGAACGCGCATATCGTCGCAAGCAAGCGCAACAACAGCGCGTAAGCGGAAGTGGAAGCGGAGATACACAACGTTCCAAACGTAAAGCCAATATCGAGTCATATGAATCGAATTATAAAAAAATCTCTATGCACACTCACAAATCGGATGCTACTACTAGTGGTGGTGGAGGTATCAGAAATATTGTTGGTGGGCCTGCTGCTAGCGGTTATCAAAATAAATTTAAACCCCAGCAAAATCATACAAATCGACCGTCTAGACCACATCATGAATATGTCAATAAATTTGGCGAAATCGAAAAGTTGGTTGAGAAAGAAAAGAAAGGTACTACGGCTAGTAAAGCAAAACCTGCGGTAGCACTTACTGCCTCCANAAAATTACATACGCATATATGCGTATGCGTATGTAGAGAGAGAGAGTGAGAGATGGGAGAGAGAGAGTGAGAGGTGGGAGAGAGAGAGAGAGGGAGAGGGAGAGAGAGAGAGTGAGAGACGAGAGAGAGAGAGAGTGAGAGATGGGAGAGAGAGAGTGAGAGGTGGGAGAGAGAGAGAGAGGGAGAGAGAGAGAGAGAGAGAGAGAGACGGGAGAGAGAGAGAGAGAGAGAGAGAGAGATGAGAGAGAGCGAGAGACGGGGGAGAGAGAGACGAGAGACGGAGGGAGAGACGGGAGAGAGATGGAGACGATAGAGAGGAGAAGAGAGGGGAGATTGCACTCTTACAGCATGAGATATGCAGAGTGTCAGCTTTTATATTATAAACGAAGGTTTTTCAACCAAAACCAACATTACCATAATCTGAATGCGGTCTTTTATTAATGGAATAACCTCACGACCACTCACAGTATATGAGATGCGCAAGCTTCTAAAAGACTCTGAACAACGTAATTTTCAATAGAGAGAGAGTGAAAGAGTTGAATGACGGATTAGCGTGCAAACCTTAACGGCCGGCAGGACCAACCATATCATGTGTAATAGCCCACTTTTTGAACAGCCTCCAAAGTAGGAAGAACATTAAAATACTATGCTTATATGAAGCTGGAGACTCTAGACGACAGACTTACTGACGCAGCATCTCACTTGTGACAAGAAAAAATATCCTTAAACACACTTATGGACTCTTTCAATATCAGGATTATGTACATATATTAAAATGTTTATCTTAAAAATATATCTGTTTAATTATTGTAGAATTATTAGATTAGTTCAAAATATTTTAGGTTAGGTTAATTATTTTTAGGCTCTTTACTCGCATTCAACTCGTGCAACTTTTGAGTGAACCCAGATTATGATCTAAATTTTTTTTAAGTATGTACGTATGTATAGTATTTTTTCTTCGATTTTATTGTATTTTTATTTATTTTTTTTTTTTGCAGTTATATACTTTTACAAAAAATGATGTACCAAATTTTTAAATATTTTAAGTGAAACTTTTTCGAAAAATTATTATTTTTTCCTTTTAAAATTGTATTTACATATATACATATAATATTTACTGCCATTAATATGTATTTTTAATTTATGATTTTACGTACTAAAAATGTACACCCATTGCAAGACTTAACGCTCCTCCGGACAAAAAAAGGAAGAAAATAAATAAAAATAAACAAAAATAATTGCAATAATAAAATATCACTGCTAAGTTAACAACAACAAAAAAAACAACTTTATTATTGGTTGAATGAGCCTAACTAACATCGCATATTTGTTAAAAAAAAATAAATAAATTCGCTTTAATAGCATTGTTCAATAAGACTAATTTAAAATATACGCTTTGGTTCTGCTGTAATATAGTACTTGTACATAAATATAGTATAAAAATTTTTCTAAACTCAAATTATTATTAGTATCTATGTATATATGTATGTATGTAAGTGTAGAGCGTAATGTCAGATCTGACCGCCGAGCCAATATCTTTGACTATTATTTTATTGCACAATTATCTTCTAATTTCTCTCTTTTTAACTTAATAGCTGTAAGTTGGTGTGTTTAGCTATATATTTTCAAATAAATAAATTTATATATAAAAAACATAGACATATGTATATAAACATATTTGTTAAGCTTCAACTGAATCTTCAATATTTTATTCTATAACATACACACAGATATGTATGTGCAACGCGAAATTAAATTTTCTTTAAATGTTAAACTGTAAATATAAAGTCAAATACGTTCAATTTCGCTTAAAAAAAGAGGTCAAAACGCATTTATGTATATCAACATTAAATGTAAATTAATTTTGTATGCTCATAGTAGATTAAGTGAAAAGAGTATATAGTATGGATGTAGTATATATATTTTAAAGTATTTATTATTTTAAGTTCACCGACAATATACGTATGTATATACATATATATAGAAATGTACACCGATAGTTTCAAGCATTTTATTGAAAACTAAATAAATGATATATACGTAAATATGTAAACTTCTTTGTGGAAATATTAAATTAAATAAAAATTAATAAATACACAACAAATACAATAAAAATTACATACGCATATATGCGTATGCGTATGTAAAACAATCAATCAGAATTCTTTTAAATGTTTAATCGAGATTTTAATATAAAAATGTTCACATAGAGTCTATTTATATTAAGTTAAAACTAAAAATTTTTAAATATACAAAAATCAACAATTATATATGTGTATGTAAATGCAGTATAAATATCTATATATTTTGTGCAAAAATAAATCTTTAAAAAATTCCTAACCTCAAAATGGTTGTAGAGAAATTTCTATTTTTGATTTATCAACACCAAAAAGAATGTACCATCCAATGGCACCGGCTGTTCGGAGAGAAATGCGCCTCTGTCTGCCATATTCTCAAACATTTCATCAACATAGAGCTTACGCTGCTCATCGGATGTGGCATCAACGCTACGAATTTTATGATCCGGCGGCTGTGGGGGGAAAAAAAATTAAAAAATAAAGCAAAACTATGTTGATATTTTTCAAATTTTTTTTCCTTTGTTTTTTTTTTTTTTTTTTGTAATTTAGGATTGAAATGAAACCATTAAGGAGGATTACCGTTTAGTTTTACCGTGTCAACTTTTCGTTTCCACAATCTGAAGAATTTTTCACCATTTGTATAAAAAAAAACTCGAAGCGAATGCGTTTTTTACTACGCACATAGTGGAAAATGATAAAAGCATGCAGGCTCTAATGGACTGTCAGTAGAGTCGACACCCTTTGAGTGGTCAAGCGCTCTCCCCATATGAAACTCGCAACGTTACTACCACTTTTATAACCTGCAGTAGATTCATGTCGACAAGAAGGCGATGTCAAGGTAGATGTTTAACATTTACAGACAGAGCTATAGGGAAAAAATTCATTCTTGGCGAAGAACCCAAGCCAGCCTAGTGAAATTTGTGTAGGTGAGTGAGAGAGAGAGAGTGAGAGAGAGAAATTCATTCTTGGCGAAGAACCCAAGCCAGCCTAGTGAAATTTGTGTAGGTAATCTCTATTAGACCAGGATGTGTAAATTGCTACTTTTCCATGTGCTGGAGTGTCAGCCACCCTCTGCTCTAATTTATGTATATACAGCGATTTCTTGCAAAAAGATTTATACGAGATTAGAATGCTAAAAGTACGTAGAATCGGCTAACATTTTATTCTCCTACCCGCGTTGGGTCTTACTCTTTCCAATACGAAAAGACGGGAGAGAGAGAGAGTTTATTCTCCTACCCGCGTTGGGTCTTACTCTTTCCAATACGAAATCCAACGGCGGCTGTCGTCACAGCTAGAACGAGGGTGTATGGACGAGTAGCCGATGTAAGGGTCAGTGACCTTGAAATTTCGAAGATAAAAAAACAAACATTTGTCAAACTAAAGAGTCGCGAAAATATTTTAGTAAAATCTTGAGCCAAAGCATGTGATCCGCATGACCCTGGCATAAATTACTGTGCTAACCAAATATTTCAGACGAAGACACTACCTATCTAGACGATTAGTCGTTCTTAAAATTATAGAAGTAAGGTAGACTACGTTCGTATGGAACTTAACATTAGATAATCGTCCAATATTTGTGTTCAGCGCCAGACCGCGGACTAAAGTCTAGTTATATGCGTGGTGCGTTTGTTTGTGCGCCCATGATAGTATTTTTTGGCTAACGTTCGCAATTACTTTTATTATATTCAATGTCCGGGATCAAGTTTTCTCGATAAATTTCTTAAATAAGCGATCTTAACTCTTAAGTCTTGCATATTAACATTCGGCTGGTCAGTGTCGGAGTCATAAAAATTAATGCTTCTAATTGTGGCGACCACCAGCAGGTGATTTCAAGCTCTTGCGTTTTTTAGGAGAAGCTCTCATTTCAGGTCATTAATTCACTCGACTCGGGAATGTCAACCCCCCTGCTGAGGATCGACTGCAATTGGAAAAATTAACTTAATTTTTTTATTTAAATAAACTTCCAAATGGCGATAAGGAATGTTAACTACTCGTCCAACGCGAACGCTGTCGTGAAATAAAAGCTCCATATAAAAATCTATCGGCCATGCGAAGACGGTTTACCATAAACTGTAGGTCCCTCCTTTTGTTGACGCTAAACTACTTGAAGGAGGAGCTGATCTGAAAATCGCTTCAGCGATCGATACAACATTTAAGGTCTGTTACGTGAGAGGTAGGTGAGAGGTAGGTTACGTATGTATGCTACCCATTTATGGACTTTAATGTCCATTAAAACTATAACGTAGAATGAGCTCTGATGCTTAAAGCCTTGAGGCAAGCGGGTAGCCGAGGGTAAAGAATCCCTTGTATGGTATGGTAAGGCGTATTCATTACACGATTGCGTCCATATTCAAATAGTGTCTCTTATTGAGATACATTAGATTTAGAAAAATCAAATTATATAGAATTCTGTCGTCTGTTCATGAGCGATACCACGGCGGCCCAAAATTTTTTTTTCAAGCCTTGCTAGATTTCTCGTGTCAACGGGTGGCCACGTAGTCGTTCTTATATCCATATCTATTTCGATTATTTTATACCGTTAAATGCCATCGATTATCGAACAATGCCAACAGTCCTTTCGGTGTGCTGATGGGCAGTAAAAATTAGCTCTGTTCTGTAAGAAATGCCAGCAAGAATTAGTAAATAAGAAAATGCCAATCTCATTGCTCACTAAAAATTGATAACAATTGGTACTGCCCATCAGCTTTGCGCCAATAAATAGCGCAGCCGAATAACAAATGAAAAGTTTCAAATTACCAACATATAACGCAACTTCTGCAAAGGCACATTTGGTTGTGGCACTCTATTGAAAGGCTCCGAACTGAATATACCACATTTCCAACAGTTCACAAAGTAGTCGATGAAATCTAAACTCAATTTCAAATCTTCCACCGAACCAGTTGCCTTTTTCAATTTCTTTATCCACTCCGTAGCAATGGACTTCTCGCGAAAGTTCAACTGCTGATGAACACATTCCAATTCCTCCATTAAACAAGCAAATTCTTTTTTGAGTTCCTCGAGCTCAGACATATTTCCTTTTATTTTATTTTATTTTATTTTATTTCTTTTTCGCTAGATGTATGGGGGGAGATTTTGATGTAAATTTAGCGGTATACTTATTTCTTTTTGTAGTTTAGTTGGAATTAATTGAATACGAATTTTATTATCAAAATTTTTTTACTTTTGTTTATTTGAAATGGATTGAAATGTTATTTATATACATTTTTATAACTAAAAATTTTTGAAGAATAATCATTTTAGGACGGAGCAGGTTGTTGTGAGTACCTTTTACACAGAATTGTCTTTTCAGCCAGATTGCGTCTGAAACCGTATAGAGTTGTCTTATTACTAAAACATTCGAAACACTTGGTCTTATATGCCAACCCTCCTCGACTCTGGAATTCCAAGTCATCCCTATAAGATATCTACAATTTTCATGTGCGGAGTCTACGCTGACTCTTTTCACCAGGAGGCTAAATCTGAATGCCTAAGCCTAAGACGGAAAATTGTTACTCACTTACTGAATGAAATCCACAAATTGCGAAGCATTTAGAAGTCGGACAGAGACAAAGAATCGTCGAAATTAACTTATAAGACTAATCATCGGCTGGTGCTGATACGGCTACAGTGAGAAACAGATGAAAAAGGTACAGTCATATCAGAACACTATCTTGGCAATCATTACAGGAAATCCCCATCTACACTGCGATACATCTATGCTACCGTTAATGAGCACCATGTGTTGCTTTGCAAGAGATATACAATAATGAGGTGTTAACGCAACTACTTCCTAGATGCACTTAGTATCTGACGGACTCTATGTATTATCGAAAGGATTTGAATCCTCTTCTAACGGATGGCGTTATCGGAACCCAACCACCACATATAGCGGAAGAAGAGCGGATGTTGACCAGATGTTGACCCGAGCAGTTCGCGCATCCAGACTCGCCTGATATACCCAATGTAAGTAAAGCAAGCAAGGAGTAGTAAAAAGAAGCTAAGTGGTTTGCATAAACCGATGCATCTAATCCCTTTCCATTTTGTTCGAACCAGCCGCAGATTTTCGTTAGAAGATTATCGTCGTCATCGACTAGTTTCGCATGCCCCTCAGTGGGCATACCAAACTTATCTACCTACAAATTTCAAATTTACACAAATTTCGAATATAATTTTTAACGCATGTAATAAGTTTTTGTAATCGATTATTAAGTGCCGCGATAACATTGCATTTAGTAAATGGACATATCGTTGGCGATGGCAACTCTAGCAAGATAGTGTAAAACTTAAATTTGTTTACAATTTTCAGTTTATTGGAGAGATACACAATTGTTTAACTAACTTTCTGTCGGGGAAAAAAATTGTTAATATAAACAAGATCATGGCATCTTTCAAGCAATTAGTTATATTTCTATTATCACTAGTCGGTTTTGTGTATACATTTTATGTAGTTGGTTCATTTATGTTTTTCCTGTCGAATCCGCGAACTCCTTCAAAAATATATGTGTGGGTATTTAATTTACTGGACAATAAATCCCGTCTCGAAACAAGCTATGGTCCAATATTATATGACACACTCTACATTATCGGATTTGTATTAACACATAGCTGTATGAAATCTGGTCTTGTGAAAAGCGCTATGGAGAAGATGGGTTTGGCAGCAGCAGAACGTTCATTGTATTGCCTTACGTCATCGTTAAGTTTACAGGTATAGAATAACTAATGCATATAGCTTGTTGTTGTCGATTATTAATGAATATGATTATATATTTGTTTATTTTGAGTGTAGTATCTCATTCAAAATTGGAAACCAGCACAATCTATAATACTGTGGCAGGTCGATGTGTCTTCTAGCAATGTTTATTGGTGGACATTTATTTTGGTACATGCCTTTGCTTGGATGATAATTTATGGTGGAAGCATAATAATGGATTTGCCAGAAATATTGGGAGTGAAGCAGGTAAAAATTCATTTGCTTACATAAAAAACTTTGTCTTCTTTATTTTCCTTTTAATTAGACATATTACGATATGAAAAACTACGCTCAGCCTATAGCTTACAAATCATTTAGACTACGTCATTTGTACACCCACGTTCGTCATCCATCTTTTGCCGGTTTATGTGTAATCTTATGGGCTACAAACCTTATGACTTTAGATCGCTTTTTCTTAGCATCATTAATGACACTATATATGTACTTCGCCTGGTCAACAGATCGTAGTGATATTGCATACCAGCGCAATCAGTTTCAACGCAAAGTACAGGAACTGATAAAGGAGTAATTGAAAACAAACTGGTGACGCGAAAGAGTCGTAACGGAATTTAATTTTTATTGGGATTTCCTAAAACTATTTCAATAATATTATTTGCTATTAAATTAGTAGAAATTACTAAACTAGGTACTTAATATGTTTCTCATTGCACAAATCTCATTTTTAAAAGTATAAATATCTTTATTTGCCATAACGTATTCTATAATAAATATTTTCTACCAAAAATTGCATTCTAAGCGTTTTATTCGATTCCCTAACTAAATTTTATAAGGGATGGATCGAATGGCTGACCCTTGAATGGTGATCCTTCTGCATTCCATGCTTTACGTAAACGTTTCATCTTTTCTTCATTGCTAAAAGTTTTCTCAGGTTCATTATTTTGATTGTTTTGTTCCATTTGTTGAAGATGTATTTTTTGTATTGCTGCTTGCGAATCTTCCGGTAGCTCATCTATATAACGTTCACATTTTATTTTCTTCGGGTCAATCGGATCTTCTTCACAAAACAATCTGTCCCACCAAATATGAGAGCGTTTATCTAAATTAAATATACATTTTACATTAATATATATGCTTTATTTTATGGTACTATAATATTTACCCAAACAAATTGTTAATTTTTCCTCGTTAATTGTCCAAACTACGTCCTTGTTTTTGACACGATTGCTCAGTTGGCCACTTATGATAACATCATTAGGATCACTTCGACTGCGTACCAAGATGTTATCAGATTTTATGTCAATGAGAATTAATTTGGAACTACTTAAGTCGGAGGGTAATTTAATGTGCAATTCTAATTCTGTCTGTGTTTGTGCCCAGCAGTAATTTTCAAAACAAGAGCCGTTTTCGTAATCAGCAGCTGAGAAGCCGTGTACTCTAGAAACATCTTTTTGCTCAATTTTTGCGACAGTTTTTTTGTCTTCTTCAATTAATATAGTAGTTTGTTCTTTCTTCTTTTTTTCTATTTTAAGTTGTTCTAGAGCAGGAGAAACATCGCCAGTTTCCTCTTGTAATTCTTTCATTTCAACTTCTATTTTATCTGTTTCCTCATGTATTTCTGTGGTGTCCTCACGGATTTCTTCGGTATCCTCATTTATTTCTATTGTGTCCTCACATATTTCTTCGGTATCCTCATGTATTTTTTCAGTGTCCTTATGTATTCCTTCTGTGTTCTCATGTGTTTCTTCTGTGTCCTCAAGTATTTCTTTGGGGTCCTCCTGCATTTCTTCCGTGTCTTCATTTATTCCTTTTGTGTCCTCATGGGTTCCTTCGGTGCCTTCATGTATTTCTTCCGTTTCAATTTCAACTTCCTCTGCTGCAGGTGGTACATGGTTTTCGTCACACGTCATGTTTTGAACGAAAATGTTTGCTAAAGATGTTGCGGGGTCATAACGCGACATTGCCGTTAAAACCATAAATTCACGATCCCTTTTTTCAATGTCCGTTTGGTATTGGTAAAATTCGGTACTGTAAAATGTAGCCAATTACATTCATATTAAGGTATCCAAATACAAAGATATAATCGTTAATATACTTTCTTAGAAGAAAACCAAATACTGCATCCAAAAAGCCGACAATTGTTCTTTGTTGTTGGAGAACTTCCATAAAAATAGCATCTGTGCGTAGAAAATCCATTTTGAAGAAAACAAAAAATGCATATAGTGAAAATAATCAATCCTTTTTAAAGTTTATATAGCTTTATTAAAATGATTTTATGAATGTTATATATATTGTTGCGAAAATGCGAGGCGAATGTCAGATGAAAGAGAGAAGCCGATAACTAGTACGTTCTAGAAACGATAAAACAAGAACCTTCCATAGCGAACAATTCGATGCTTCTACGCTTTCGTCTGCGAGCAGCCGACTGCTATATAAAGGCGACACTCAGCTGCAAGTCAAGCTAGT